CTCGTAGCGTCCTCATGCCCAGCCGTTTGCCGTGCCTGAACCAAGGACGGCTGGTACCTGGCTGCAAGCGTGGTGGCTGCAAGCGTGACCCCGTATTGCGCCATCGTTCTACAAGCCGAGGTGAATTCGCTGCGCACGTGGGTGCGATGAAGTCAACGGCGCCTGCGCCATGTTCGAAGTTGAGTCGAGTGGCAAGATGTTATGCTGCTGTATCCGCATTTGTGAAATGGCTGATGAGACGTGATGTGTGAGTACCTGCGGGTGCAGAGGTGATGGACGGAGGGGCAGACGTGGCCGACGCCGGCGAACATCATTTCCACTAGCGCAACGCTAAAACGCGCGACGTACCAGACGGGAAGGAGCTATACGTTGATGTCATGCGGACATGAGACAGACGGGTAAAAAGTAACATATCAAAACCAGAGAGCTTATTGGAAGGTAAGAGCTTTGTTGTGCTGTAAAAAGTGTATTGCACTCCACCTTGATGTTATCGCAGATCTAACGGCAGCCGAACCCACCCGGTACTAAACATCTGTTCTAACATCGCATCGGGGAGCTTCACTACAAGTACCAATGAACTTCATATACCATCGCTGCACAGACTGGACATTGCCTCAACTTTTCCACATGCGTTTGAGTTGTATCAAATGTTCTCGGAGCCACTTCCTTGACCTTTGGCTAACACGTTGCCTTATCCTGTTCTTCGTAGTTGTGGCCGAGGATTCATGTAGACCAGAGCCAGCGGTGTGCCCGTGCGATGCTTCCGTCTGTCCCGGCTCCAGCACTTCTTCCGAGGGCTGGATGTTCGTCCTCTGAGGGGGTGTCTCCGTTGCTGCATCCGCTGCAGGTGTTGCCCACGCGGCCTGCGCATCTGTGCCCGGTGCGAGATTTTGACGAACCTCACTTCGCTCGCGATTCTCACGTGTCAGTCTTTGAGACCTCGTGCGCATAACGATACCGTCGTCCTTGTCATCTTCTGTGGGCGAATCTGGGCTCTCGGTGGTTGACTGGCGCGTGTCTTCAATGCTTATATTCCTTGGCGCGTCTAAGGAAGGGGCAGAGTTGTCCCTTTTGATGCCAGCAAGATCTTGTGAGACGTCTTCGGAATTTGATTGTTTCAAAATGGCATGCAGGATTTCCGAAAGATCAGTCTTGATAACGTTAATCATTTCCCGATCACCGGGTGCGCATCGAAGCATCTTCTTCTCAATAATGTAGAGCAATTCTTTCGCAAATGTAGTCTGCGCACTCAAGCACTTCAATGTTTCCAATCGCTGTGTGAAATTTAGTACCAGCTTCTGCTTCTTGTCGGTAATCTTACCTCTTGAACAGCCTTTTTCACGCGCGGTTCCTTGTGTCCATCTTCCGTCTGCTCGATATTGAAAAACTTGTCAGTATACAGATGTTCGTAAGTGATCATGTCCTCGTCCTCCCTATCGAAACTGAATTTCGCAACTTCATCATACCCTTGGAGGTACCAAACGCAGAACTCTAAGAATACGCATCCCAAGGACCAGATATCGTATCTTTGGGAGATCTTGTCGTCCATATCGAGATCGGGCGGTCGATAAGCCAGAGTATGGCCATCGATATCTGAGCGCGGAACAACCGACTTCGAGAATTGGGAATGATAGCGCGTGAGACCAAGATCGGATATCACGAGGAGATTAGGATCACGTCCGTGGTTCTGAAACCAGAGGATGTTCTCAGGCTTGATGTCTCCATGCCTTCCCCAATGGCGCTCGGCTTTGATAAGCGAACTAAATGAGGATGACCTTTCATTCATCTGCCATGTAGTAAGCCCATGAATTCGACTGACTGCTTTTGCAAGGCCCAAACATTGTTCGGCAGCCCATCTCTCGTCCAGGATAGACGGTGGTCTTGAGGAATATCTTTTCCAGAACTGTGCGAGGTCGCCGTCCGCCCATTCGAAGAGGAGGTAATACTGCGATCCGTGTTGAAATGTAAGAAGAAGCTTGATCAAATGCTTTTCTTTCTGTAATTGCGTGCAGGTTTTCTCGAGTGCAGAGAGTTCTTCTCTGTAGGCTTTGTGATCCTCGGCCTGTATAGCTTTCAAAGCAAACATTGGATTGACCTGGGACTGTAGGGCTTAGTATCAGTCATGACAATGTACGGAATAGGGACTAACATTGGATGATGGACAGTTGTGATGGTGTGGATGGATCTAAACCTTATGCACAACACCAAATCCGCCACTAGACTTGTACTCGAAAGTCTTCCAGGGAAGCCGAACATTCGACCCGAACTCGTACGAACATAGTCGGTCGTCTTTGATGTCAAAGAAAGGAACGAAGAAGATCTCCTGATAAAGGCAAAAGAGGTCCATGTCCCTTCTATCCCAATTCGCCATTAAGCATCGACGTTCTGAGCTTCGAAGTTTGACCCACCCCTTGCTCCCACTTGCTAAGCCGTCAAGCGGCAGCTGGTCGTCCCATATGTCTTCTCGTATGAAGTCATCAATATGATGAACTTGTTTCATGAAGACCAAAGTCCCTAAGATTCGACGCCGACTCCTACCCGAACTTGCATTTACTATACAAGCAAACTTATCTTGCAGTTCTCTAACTGTTGCGGGACTGTAGATTTCGTCCAAGAGTAACACGATCGATTTGAGATTAAATATAGTTTCGAACGAATCCATGGGCAGATATTGCGCCGACATCTCGTCAGACTGACACGAGTCCAAGGATTCTTCCGTTTGTTTCCGTAGGCGACACTGTACAGACGTCGCTTCTGGCGGCTTCTGCATGTAAGCGGCTTGGCGTTGCTCGCGTTCGAGAAACACTTCTCCAAGAGAATTGGATACGATGGAATCGTAGTCGCTTGGTATCGAGGAAACCCTTAGGCGATGGTTTGCAGCTGCTTCGAAGCCCATATCTTCAACTTTGTGGATCGAAGACTCTTCATCGCTCCGACTGCTTTCCAGACCAGTGATCTGCCCATTTCCGTAGTCATCATCGTGTGCTGGGCGACTTTCGCCTTTAACGTCGGCGATGAAGATATCCGGGCCACCGCCAAACTCGTTGTCGTAGTGAAGTGGCCTTCTGGTTTTGAAATAAGTCTCGAGATGACCTGAGGTCAAAGGTAGGGTTGCGTTTCGTTGGTGACGTGAGCGTGATACGTCGGAGGGCTGAGCGGTTCTATCGACATGCGTATCGTAGTGGAGAGTGTCCATCTTCAGCGCTATGTGTGCAACCATAGCTCCCACACATTGGTTCTCGTTCACGTTTGCTCAGTGTTTTGGAACACCAACTCGGGTCTGTTCACATAACGCTCAGAAGGGCCGGTCCTTTCAATTATGACTGAGCGCAGTCGAAGAATTCAGTGGAGTGTGAGATTGGCGCACCCAAATAATCGCTCTTGAGTCTGTACTGATCGGGCCTGGAATAGATTTTAAGCCTGTCTAGCGGTCGGAATTTTGCACATCTTGAGCCCATTAGGCACTGGCCGCCTCCCCCAGTTCGCTCATTGCAGGTAGGCGACAAGGTTGTGATGTGCAAGCACCTGTTCATCTGTCTCGAATATGATTGGCGTTGGGGCCAGAACACTGCATGTAATGGCGCACGGCTCAAAACCAGCACAGCCCCACATACCCGCCCATGAGTCGATCAGCCGATGACGAAGAGTGCGCCGTGCCCCAGGTGAGTCTTAAGTATTCCAGGAAGCATTTTATGGGGTAAAAGACGTTCCTAGAATGGTTCAGACTTTCGGCTCTTGGAGTGTATTCTGTTACGGATCCGGAGCAAAGTCGCTTGGATGAGCTTTGAACTCTCCAATACATATGAATACAGTCCCGCTGCGGCGAAAGCTGACTCTGAGAGAGCCCCCAATAAACCCTAGAAGGACCAGGAATTTGAGACAATAAGTTTTATAGAAGTACGAGCCGTTCGAGAAGCCTGATTGAAGTCATGCTGGCGGCAGACCGCGCGACAGATCCCAAGGTCACCTATGTCGCGCTGCGAACACTCTCACCCTACCCTTACAGGGGTTGACCGCATTTCCTAAACAGTGCAATGGTAGTTCTGATGCCTGATTTATAAAGGGAAGGCTGAGTGGTTTTGGTTGGGTAAGCCTTGTTGCGCCATCAATATGTTGTTGCATCAGCACAGCCCCGTGGCCGCAACCGGTGAAAGCTCAGACAGCCCCCATGCTGGCGTTATCCAGTCAGGCGCAACCTGTCCCCTCTGACAGTTATAATACGCGGACATCGCCCGTACCCTGGACCCGGCTACGTCTGCTAGCGCTCGCCACGTGGGTTTATATGTCCTTACCTAGGTATTGTCTCTTCGCTCAGTTTTGCCTCTTCGCCATCAAAACCTTTTGGCTTCATATCCTGATCATTTTCAATGTCCAAATGGCATCTAAGAAGCGTACGCGAAAACACGAGTGTGAAGGTCTACACAGAACATACCGACCGCATACATCCTCGAGATCTTTCGGAAAGCCTTGCAAAGAACGTGGGGAAGGACCAATTTCGCGTTTCGCTGCGAAAGAACATATACGTCATCTACATCGATGCGCGAAGTCACGAAAGCAATACCGTGAGCACAGCGGATAGTCTCAAAGGCCACGCTGATACATGGACACAGAAAGAGAAGACGATCTCAACCGATGACAAAATGCCTCGCAAGTCTACGATCGAGCCACAGACGTATCAGCAGAGGTTAGAAGATTTCAAAAATGCCGAGGAGATCTTGTGCGATGTCAACCGCCGCGTTAGTGAGGAGCGTTGCGTGCAGCGGCAAGTCGAGAGAAGAGAAGAGTATTTCGGCAAAAGGGATTCTTAACTATCGAGATTAGCAGCATCTGGTGTAAAGCGTTTCTTTTGGTACAATGCGGTGCTCAACTTTCATGAGAATTTATCAAGAACAAGTTCAATCAATACAGTCAATCTTAAACGTCTCTGAGGCGATATATCTAGCACCCCATCATACCACAAACGCCTTTGGCTTACAACGTGTGAGTCGATAGGCATGCGGCTAATGTATATCCACCCATGATCCTTCATCCTTGATGACACTGGAGTCGAGTGACGCAACTCCAACTCTCTCCCAGATAAGATCCCTCTTGTCGTTCAGCGATTGATGAATCACCAGCACGTGGTTCTTTGGGCTCACCTGCCCTTGTCCAATTCTATCTCTTCCAATGACAACGCATCGAAGACCTTTTGCCTCGAAATCCACATCATCGTCAAACCTGATGCCTATCGCCATGTCTTTCGTCGAGAGATTCATCTCCCTAGCCAAACCCGAAAACTTAAATATTTTGTTCTCATCGGGGGTATCTTTCAAGGTCACGAAGGGGCTTTTAAAGTCGTCAGCCCAATCAACCTCTTTGAACTTCAACTCATGAGTTGCATCCAAGTACTGTATCTTCCCTTCTTTCGACAGTGATGACCAGCTGGGAACCTTTCGGTCAGGTATTTGGGGAATGCGCTCCATGCGCTGCGGATTGCGGCGTTTCCATAGCAAGCCTCGAGAAAAGTACGCATCGAAGAGTCCGTGAGCTGCTTTCATGTTGAAAGCGTGCGAAAGTCGTTTTTGCAACCCTAGTATAGCGACGGATCGATCCGCAGGCTCGGTGAAGGCTAAACCCGAGTATCGTTCGTACAGATCTTGTATGAGGAGCTGCCTACCGTCTTTGTAGTGTCCAACGGCGGTCGTTGGGAAGTTGGCATCACCCAGAAGAGCCCCTCTCGAACTGCGACGGATGATTAGCTAAGCAAACTAGACAGCGACCTATTTCATTCGTTCCGCAGACTTACTTTTTAAGACGGGTCAGAGTTTCACAGTGTATCCCACCACCGCACTCCCAGTAGACTTGCTTCGAAGTAAAGAACATCGTGCGACGAGATAATGCCCTCTCTTGCAGTACCCAGCCTCGGCTGTTAAGCGGCGAGAGCTCAACATCGTTATGGAAGTTGTCGGTATCTAAACAGGCATACATCATCCCGGATGTATTACTAGGTACCTTCAACACTGTTCGAGGCTTGCGGTTGGCAAGGAACCCTTGGAGCGATGATTCGGCTGAACTTGCGCCAATTGTGAAGAATGCGGCGCTGAACACCTGTTCCATCTTGCTCGCTTCGCTTTCCCAATCCGTTTTGTCGTCCTGGACGATGCATAGCGAGTCGATCCAGATGTACTCTACGCAAAGTCTCCGTGTCACAGTGATTGCGTCGCGGAACGTACGTGGCAGGGCCTCGAAGTCAATCCCTTCTTTGCGGTGCGTGAAGTTGTTCTTGTAGGTGCAGAATTTCTGGTGCGGTTCTAACTTCCCCCAGCAGTGACTTAGGGCCGCGTATCGCGATGGTTCGATGTCTGCTGTTTCGACGAGGCGAAGCTGTCTGCCCACTTCTATGAGACGAGTCGGCATAGTCAATGTTTCATCAGTACGTCGACACTGGACATGCTCTTTGTCGCAAACTTGGATCCACCCCTTCAAAAGCGCATAGAATTCGGCCGTGTCTGTATCGAAGAGCTGCGCAAGGCCCAGTTGTGCGCCCTTAGGAATTGGTACTTTTGAATCTGCATTACGCACGTCAGTGCGTTTAGTAATGTCTGAGAGAAGGAATCTTACCTGGCTCGCAGTACAAAGAGAGAAGATTGGGCCCGTCTTTGATACCTACGTGAGCAGTATCGCGGCGTAGGTTGACTACTCCTGGTGCTCTCAAATGCTGAGTGTTCAATGCGTCCTGAAGCATGCTACAAAGCTCGCAGGCCCTCGCCTTCTCCTGCAGTACTTCAAGATCACATGCCGTGTCGAACAAATCCATTGAATCACTCGAGTAGCAGTGCTTGCAACGGCCATCATGAACACTGTTTGGTATCGGGACAGCTTTATCCCACCCGATGGTATCAAAATATCTTGCAGCAAAGTCATTGTCTGGAAAGGACGTCCAGTCATCGTTGATTTTGCTTGAGCTCTGAGCCAGGTCACCGAAATTCTGCGACGGATCTGATTAGTAGCGCATCGAACCTTCATGACGAGTAGCGAAGCTTACATACTATCAATGTTGTGTTAGTTCATTCTCTATAGATACTCTTCAGACACGATGTTAAGATTGACGTACTTCTTGATGATTGGAGGCCTGTGACACCTGACTATGCAGGTTGTCGCCAGATTGCCTGAAGGTCGGCTTGCGAACAGTGAGTTGAAAGACATCTGGCAGTTCTGGCTCCAGACTGCCTGCTGCTTCAGCAGTCGTACTCTCTGCTATTGTCTGAAATGGACCCAAAGTAGGCTTGGCAGCAAGTCGTTGGTTAGGCACCGCAAGCTTACCGTTCTTTTCATGAAATTCACTGCGTTGGACGCTACCCCGCCGTGTCGCGTTGGGATCGGGTTGAAAATATCTAAGCTTATCTGGAGAAGGCGACAGGAAGGTCTCATCAGTCTGACATCTTTGAGAGATCTCGGCAAAGCAGTCGTGTACTTTGGTGGCGCTTCCTCGGCAGTCTTCCGGTACATGTTCTTGATTTCGTGAGACTTTGACGACGAGAAGCCGGGTTTCTACCAGCTGGAGGATGCATTCATAAGCGGAACCGGGTTTGAAATATCTGCTCAGGGCGCCCATGACCGCGACGACGTGTTCGTGCACCATGTATTCGCCATCTTCGCGTTCTGAAGCCTTCTGCCAGAAATACAAAGTGTCTCCCCTGAACACTTCCACATCTCTAGGGCCGCAAGCAAGCCATATGAGGAGTTCGAGGACAACGCATCCTAAAGACCAGATGTCATATTGGCGTGACCGAGTCCCGTATTTCGGTGATTGAGGGTCATGTGGATCTCGTGTGCGACGCTGTTGATCCATTTCTGGCGGTTCGTATCGAGAGGTGCCTGACGGTGTTTTGGTCCCAGATTTACGAAGTTGAGTGTGTTGTTCCTTCTCATGAAAAGCAGCAAGACCGAGGTCTGCGATCTGCAAGGTTCCTCCATCGATATTGCTACGATCGAACCAAAGGATGTTTTCTGGCTTGAGATCTCCGTGTCGGATGTTATCATTGTGAAGTGCTTCCAATGCAGAGCAGATTCCTACGAACTGTCGAATCTGCCATAGAACACGGCTCTTGTTTCCCGCATGACTTGGGAATTGCTTCCAATAATCGCCTAAGTTGCCTCCATCTGCCCAGGGAAAGATGAGACATCTGTTATTGCCGTGTCGATAGCCTGAAATGGGCTTGATGAGATGCGGTGAGTTGTATTTCCGTAGCCGGTCAAGATTCTCCACTTCTTTATCGAAGAATGCGGCGCGGCTGTAGCTGGGATTGGGGTCCTCATCGCCCTCCTTAGCTTTCTTGACTGCGATTACTATCGCATCCATCTGCAGACGCTTCCCATCCTGATCAGGTTCCTTAGAGGTCCAAATGAACGTCGACAGTTTCGATGACGGATCGATGTGCTTAGCGTGAATGACAGTCCTCGTAACCTCTCCAAAGTACCCACTGCTCGCGGGTTGTGGTGCTACCTCCAAGAAAGGCAACCATTGCCCCACAGGAACTTGCTGATGGAATTCAGTCGTGCCAAAAACAGGGGCCGTGAAACGATATTGGTAACTGGCAAAGAGTTCCTTTTCGCCGCGTTCCCAATGGTGAAAAACGCAGTGCCGTTTACTTTGATCCGGCCCCTGCACAGCAGATGCTGTATTGTCTCTATTGAACCTGATTGGTAGTGCATGATCATCAAACCCGTTGTCTTGAAAAGATTTGAGTTCCCGCTCTAAAGATTTTCTTTCCATCAGGACGAGGATCAGGAACAGCCGCAGCGCTTCGTTCTGGATGAACCTTACAAGGTCGTCCATGCTCGCAAAGGCTTTCACGGCACCGAAAATGGATTGAATGCTGTCTTCGGAGGCAAAATGGCGCATCTCGTCGTTGGGGAGGAATTTCTTGTCTTCCCAGTTGTCGCAAAGAGCGTTATAGATATCCGCGGACAGATTTTGAATCCCGCTACCTGTAATCGGCACATCCTCAATCGAGATATTGGTATCGGGGCCTCCCGTGCTCGAGCTGTTTGTCGTATGCTTGGAGATACCTAGACGATAAGTTAGGTTTTCATGATTGCATTGTCATTTATTGCTAGACGTACGGGATGCGTGTTTGGGACCCAGTCCCAGACATGACCGGAGAGACCTCACCATCTTAGTCAGTAAGTCGACTATTGGCCGCATCATTCTGAGTGGATAGCAGAATCAGGGATAAGTAAGCCGGTGCGGGCTCGTCTCGAAGAAACCAGGCATCTTTTCAATCTTTATGTCTGCCTGGAACGTGATTATAGGAAGGCTGAGAATCGTGCCGTACATGCGCTGCAACGCAAGGTAAGCTGCGCATCTTCTTCGACCATGCAGAGTGAGTGCTGCCGTTATATCATGGATGTGATTCGTGGCGATCGCGAGGGTTGAGCAGCCTCTTAACGTTAGTCTAGACAATTCCGGCGGAAAGCACACGGCAATAGAATGTGGATGCATTGCAGGCTCGCCTATAGACCCGGCTGACCAATGTCGCGTCGCTGTGGTATTGCGCATGCGCATTGTGGGATCCAGCCTTTCTTCGAAGGACCTCCAAACAGGTATTAGCTGAGAACTACGGCTGTGCTTATCTAGCCACCGAAGTCATCCTCCCACAAGTCGGTCAAGATTTGGGTGTAGCATGGTGGCGCTAGATATCGGTAGGTATCTCCTGCAATAACGTAAATCAGCTCGCCTTTTCACGGCGTCAACGTCCATCTCGAAGACGGCAGCCTTGACGTTTACCTCCGTAAGTAGCGACGGCAAGAGCGGAGACGGCGGTCGCAAACACCGTTTTGGACATTCCAACCTCCCTCACACTTATAGTTTCTCGCAGAAAAAAATCAGGCTCCAGCGCGAAGCCCGGAAGACCGCGGTCGCGAGGATCGTCTCGATGGCCTTGCTGAGCCCGCGCAGAGCTTTCGTATCATGAGCGTCTCACCTTGCTTTTTGCGGGAAGCGGGAAGGCATCGGATGGCCAGCGGGATCTCCGTGATCGACTGCCGACCCTCGTACACATTTGCACTTCATCATCTGCAGCGGCAAATCACTCGTGAATTCCAAAGATCGAGGCAAAGAATGTTGAAAACGACCAAGTGAGTCGGATGCGCGCATCTTTGCTCGAGTTTATTGAGGCGAAGGTGGCTGGTGCCGGCGCGCACAACCTCCGTTAGCTCTTCGCTAGCGCGACGCTAAAACGCGCGGCGTTCCGGACGGGCAGGAGCTATACGTCGCTGTTATGTAGACATAAGACAGACGCACCTTATACAAGAAAAGGCCTATACTAGGTATTCTTATTTACGCGCTTGTTTTATAATAATCTAATTATAATAACTTTAATAGTACTTTAAGTAGTTAAGTATATAATAACTATAATTTACTAATAACTAAGTCTAAGCTAGTATATCTTTATATATATCTATAGTATAGTAATAAGTCTTTAAAATAACTTTAAAATAAAATAGCTTATACTATAAAACTATAGTTAAAGTTTAAGTATATAAAGTACTATTATTATTTTTTATTATAGTATACTATTTTTATTTAAACTCTCTATTAATATATTTACTTAGCTTAAAATTTTAGTTTTAGTTCTTAACTAAAAGTAAGTATACTTATTACTACTACTAAAATAGTACTTTAGTAGCTAGTTACTAAAAGTAATAAAAATAATTATAAGAACTAAAGCGCTTATTAAAAAATATAATAATACTAAAGTATAAGATAATAGCTAAATAATTAAGCTAGTTAAGTTATATTACTAAAAAGTTAGCTTAAGTAATATAAGTAATAATAATACTTAAAGTGCTACTAATAGTATATAGTAATTAACTATAATAAAGTTAACTTTATTTAGCTAGAAATTAATACTTTAAACTAGCTACTTATAAAGTATATTAATAGTACTTTTAGCTAATATAAGATAAAGTAGCTTAAGCGTATATATATAAAAAAGATTAGTATTAGTAATACTATTATTACTAGATATAGTAAGCGCTTTAATTTACTTAAATAAGTATAGTTTAAAGTAGCTAGTAAGTATAAGTTAATAAAAATAATAAAATACTAAAGTAAAATTATAAGAAGAAACTTACTTAGAGACTAGCGTCTTAGTAATAAAATTACGTTAAAACATTAGAAATATTAGAGCCTATACTAGGTGTGTAGAATGTGTTAAGATAGATTAAAGCATGCAAAGTAAGTAAGCTGACGTTGATGTAAGCTCTAGGGTGTTTAGTATTTTCCTATCAATTGGTGGACGGGCCTTGAGTGATATCACATAGGTACATTGCACCCGTCCATTCTGTGAGATAAGAGTTATGCCCACAACGCTACCCTAAAGACATCGCAAGAGGCCTATGATTTGCAGGCAAACTTGTCCCAAACCGCCGCTTTCCTCTTGTCATCGGTCTCCAGATCCCCACACTGTGGCGCAGAGCGTTTGCAGAACAGATCCGAGGTGAAGGGAAAAGCAGAGTACCAGCATGAGCAGATCTTACGCAGTCTTTCCGTCTCGGTAATATCGACGGGTGCCTTTGTATCCGATGTACCTTCGATAGATGTTGCTATACGCCAGTAGCTCGTGTGGTTGTAATCCGAACACTTGAGGTCTCCGAGAGGAACGTAGTCAGTCAGCCACGGTAGATTGCCTTCTCGGTCATCCGGAGTGGTATAGACACCGTAGAGGCGGTCGTTCAGTTTTAGTACACCACCACGTCTTTTGGTGGCATCCGTGTCGCACTGGGGTAGTTAGTAGCTGGACTACGATGCATTCGAGATGAGACTGGTATCTTACGTTGCGTATAATGTCTTTGTACGTCAAGCGACAGTGGTCGATTTTGGCCTCATCCGTTGCTCCTTCAAAGAACTGTCTAATGTTCCGAGGTTGTATGTACAACGCGGGATCAGCGACCGCAAAGAATCCGAGATGTGATTCAGGATTTGTTCCCTCGAGTGAGTATACTCTACTAGCGTTACGAAAGTCCGAAGTATCCCGCACAGCTGGTGGAACTGGGGTTGCTACGTCCCACGTTTTGATGATGTCTTCACAGAACTGTCCGGCGAATTCGACCGCCTTGTTTCCATCAAAGTCTTTCGCGTAGGGATGGTTATCCGAATCTTTGCCGAAGCAGGTGAGATCGCGGTTCGCGTCCATATTGACCAACTGATCCTTATAGGCTTCACCAAAAGCCTTGATAGACTGAAGATTCTTTTGCGTTCCAGGGCTGTCTGGCATGTTCTTAACGTAAGGCATTCTTGTGATGTCGGCCTTTTGATCCGCACGGAGTAGATTCTCAATATGAATACTTTTATCAGGCTGCAGTCGAGACACGTTGTAGTTTGGCTGAGACTGCGTACGTTGACTAAAGAACTCATTCAGAAGGATTGAGGCGCCATCGTCGCCGCTGAAGGGAACTGCAAGTTCGTTATATCCGAATGCTTTCCCCGCCACATCCGGAAGGAAAGCGAACTTTCCAGCGATCCTAGGTGCTAGGTACTTAGATAGCGCGAATAGAGCATAGTTGTCCGCTAGATCCATTAGTTCATGAAACGCTTCTGGATGTACAGTATAACATACCGTTGACTGATGCCCAGTCATGGACACCATCGTTTACTCGAGCCAGGACCTTCGCGCAGAATATCCCGTAGCACGCGGACCACCTGTCTACAATCCCAACACCGCTTTTCTGCGAGGCGTATACCCAGAGATCCAAGAGTGGCCAGTTGAGGTCGTCAGATTGTGGGAGATAGTGTAACAATGTGCGAAGCAGTGTAGTTGCTAAGCGTTATCAGCGTATGTACTATGGGGCTGCAGTCTTCAACGATAGGCTCACCCTGATTCTCATGATGAATACCCAAATTGTATCGAGGCCGGACATCTGTGGGATGATTGATCATCCTCTGAATTTGATGATCTAGTGGGGCAAGTGTGAAGAAATCGCCACAGAACACAAGTTTGGCTCCAGAGTCTCGCCTCTCATCCGGTCCTGATTCTCCAATGCCTCCTATCGTGAGTGGACTGCTGCACGCTGGATCTGTGTTATCCAAACTGCAGCGGCCTTGAAATTCGGGAGGGTTCTGCGCAAATTGCTCAAACCTGTTGTGGACGAAAGTCACATTTCCCTCGGACCCAGGACCCCATATGTCCGGAGAAGAAGAATCATCTTTATGATCCGTCTTGTCCTTGACAGTATCCAACACCATCTGCGATAGATCTCGCAGTGCCTGGTTTATCGTATCTTGAAGATCTGGAGTACATGAGTCGTCGATGGAGGCTGTTAAATCGGTGGACGAAGGAATGAGGGTCCCTGAAGCCTGAGAACCTGTTTGTGCGAGGGTCTGGGAAGGTGATTGAGGATTTGCTTGCGAGGAAGCTTGTAAGCTGGCCTGAGAAGCTGCAGAGGCCACCTGAGAAGCCGCAGAGGCCGCCTGGGAAACCGCTGAGGCCGTTTGCGAAGAACTTTGTGCGGCGCCATCCGCGATCAAAGAAAGTATCAAGAAGATCGTCAGGATTAGGCCGTTCGGTCGAACCACTGACGTGGCGAACGAGCGGACTTTCTTGACGGCGTTGAACATGTTGGAGAGTGAGGGATGGGAGAGGAATAGCCGTATGCTGGCAGGGCGCAAGATATGGTATGTTGATACAAACAAGATGTGAGGTGATGTTGGTTCTTTGGTATTCGCGTGATAGTGTCTATCGAAAAGAGATTGTAAAAAGAAGGAAGAAACCTGCGATGCGAGATCTTGTACTCAGCGATGACTATTGCGAAGGACGTGGCAGAATAGTTTTGGTCATATATCGGAGTCATCATGACTAGAGCTCATCAGCCGAATGACTGTTGCTTCGACCGTATATCACATCTCCCATCCGTCCCAAACCGCGAGGATTCGCTTGAGGCGGGCCTGCTCATCTGGACCGGTAAAGATCGACTTGATAGCTCGCTCGCAAAGTGCTCTGATATCTTCTCGGTCCAAGTGGAAGTGCTGCGCTGCGAGGTAGTACTCTTGCGAGAGAGGGCTGCAAAAGACACCTACATCATCTGTCTGCCGGGTATTAGTCATCACGCGGAACACACAGTTTCCAGAGCTGAACGTACGCTCAGAGCGACGGGAACACTGCTGTGTCGCCACACTCCAAAGTGGTGGTCCGAGTAAGTGCCCGTGATCATCTTGGCATGGACGTTACAGCTGAGGCACAGCTCAACGCCGATTCCGTGCAGCTCGATAGTCTTTTTGAACTCATCTTTGACATGTATGACATGGCCCAGTCTGTCAGGTTGCCATGACAGGAGTGTTTGCAACTCCAAATCCGAGGAAGAATTTTCGCTCTCGGCAAAGTGCAGCGTGATCTTCAGTCCGGCAGCCTTTGCCCGAGCGAAGCTGTCGCCGAATATGCGAATGTCACCTTTCGCTGGGTCGCCGCAGAGGTCGACACCGACAACGCCGGTGGAGTGATACTTGATGGCGAGATCGACGACTTCTTCCGCGTCTGCGATGTTGTTGCGACGGTCGATTGACAGTATGAGGAAAGCTCGCATGGTGTTGTTAGCATCGTCGTTGTGGGCATTGAGTATGTCCAAAACGGTCTTCACGTAATCATCCTTGGTTACGCCCTCCCCAAGGATCGCTCTTGGGGTTGTTCGAAGCTCAACGTATACTACCCCATCATCCTGGAAGTCTTGCAACACAGCCCTGGTGGAGTACCTAGATTGATCAACCGCAGCTCACCATACACGTCCGTGTCGACAGACATACTGGATGCTCGGCAAATCACTGCAAAGGCGATAGATGTATGACGAAAACAGCGGGAAGAACCTAATCTAGCTGTCAGACGTCTGCTAGTATTTCGCGTGGTGAGCCAGTTGTTTGGGACGACCAAGCGGGTAGCGATCATTTGTCAGGGGAATATTGGCCGCGAAATCGCTTGCGCGATCGTCTTGGCCCATGTATCCCCAACGGCACGCCGGTGTTACAGCGAGGATTCCGAACGACGAGCAAAACGAGCTAGGCCTACGTTTTGATATCGTAGTCGACCTTGCCCGCGGGTATGGCGACCAAAGGGTCCTCGAGGTCGAAGTCAGGCTGCCGTGCTTTCTTTGTCTCCCATATGGCGTGCAGGCAGTCGCGACTGATGCTGCCGGTTAAGTGGGCATGAAGCTGAGTCGCGTCATTAGCAGCAGCGAACGGAAGTCTGAGCGTCCTTGGCGCGATGACTAGGGACCGAGGAGGCTGGAGCAGTACCTCAATCTTGGGCAGGCCCTTGGTGAAGGCAGCGTCGACGGGCAGGTCGTGTGCAGTCGCGATGGGGAGTGCAGCCATGCTGGGGAACACGGCGGTATTGGTGGCGTGGGGATGGTTCTCGAAGCGATAATGGAAAGGTGAATAGACTTCAGGAGGAGGCCTGGGGGGTATAGCGGCGGACGCGGGTCATAGTGCCAGCCGAGGCTGCTCGCTGCTCATTCGTCCGTCGCCTAAAGGAGGAGGTGCGCTGCAGGAGATTGCAGCGCGCGCCTTCTTCGTCAGGTCTGGACAGGAGCGAGCATAGCAACACCACGTTGACGCCCTCAGCAGTGCAAACACCCGACCCGACAGCACGCAGGGCTCCTCCACGTTACCGCCCCTTCACATCGCTCACGTGTCACGGCAGGTGTTTGCAGTGAGCATCTTCGCGACAGACTGGCGGAGCACCGCCCTTTGATCTCCAGCGCTCGCTGCTCGGCTAGGCCAAGCTAAGCTCACCCCGGGCCGCTCCTGTACCTCACTCATCTCCAAGCACTCACCCTTCCATCCTCACGCCCCCACGACCGTTTGCCAGCCGCCGCTCCCTCTGCGCAAGCAATTGATTCTGCTCTGCGCGCGTCTAGCCATTGCTGCCGCCTGTCCATCGCTCCTTCCGCCGCTCTCTCTCGCTCCCGGCTGCCGCGCTCCCTAGGAGGCCCCTGGATTCGCCTGCCTCGCCGTTTCGCGCCGCTCGCGACAACACCCTCACCACCAGCACACCACTAATATATGGCCGATATGAACCAAGAAACGATCCAGCAGAAGATCCAGCTCGCCCGCCGCGACGCTGAGGCGCTCAAGGACAGGATAAAGCGCAAGAAGGATGAGCTCGCTGACACGACCCGTATGTTCTTTTTCCAGCCGGCGTGCTCACCGCATCGGAACCTTGTAGACGGCTAACACAAGAGCGCAGTTCGCGATGTCGCCAGAGACCGTGTCGAGGCTCTGCCGCGCCTCACCATGAAGACGAAGCGCACCCTCAAGGGCCATCTGGCTAAAATCTACGCCATGCACTGGTCCACCGACCGCAGACATCTCGTCTCCGCCTCGCAGGACGGAAAGCTCATCATCTGGGACGCCTACACGACCAACAAGGTCCACGCCATCCCTCTGCGATCGTCTTGGGTCATGACGTGCGCCTACTCCCCGTCCGGCAACTACGTCGCCTGTGGTGGTCTCGATAACATCTGCTCCATTTACAACCTGTCGGCGCGGGAAGGCCCAACACGCGTGGCACGCGAGCTGTCCGGCCACTCGGGCTACCTCAGTTGCTGCAGATTCATCAGTGATAAGCGCATCCTTACGTCATCCGGTGACATGACCTGTGTGTTGTGGGATCTGGAGACTGGCTCCAAGGTGCACGAATTTGCCGACCATCTCGGTGATGTAATGAGCTTGAGCATCAACCCGCTCGACCACAACCAATTTGTCTCCGGTGCTTGCGACGCCTTCGCGAAGCTCTGGGACATCAGACAGCAGAAGTGCGTGCAGACCTTTGCCGCGCACGACTCTGACATCAACGCCATCCAATTCTTCCCCAACGGAAATGCCTTCGGTACCGGTTCCGACGATGCCTCCTGCCGTCTGTTCGACATCCGCGCCGACCGCGAGCTCGCATCATACCAGGTACGCCCGCTGACATATCTGGCACTCTTGGCATTTGGATTACTAATGTCTGCCATAGATTCCTGAGCCCGTCTGCGGTATCACATCCGTAGCCTTCTCCGTCTCCGGAAGACTGCTATTTGCTGGTTACGACGACTTCGAGTGCAAGGTAAGCAGTCAGCGCAGCCCCCACAGGTTCCACAGTCTAATAATATCCAGGTTTGGGACGTACTCCGCGGCGAACGCGTAGGCACATTGCAAGGACACGACAACCGCGTCAGCTGTCTCGGCGTTAGCAACGACGCGCTCAGTCTATGCACTGGTTCATGGGACTCAATGGTAGGTTCTCTCGTGCTCCCGTCTGCATCACACAACTGACTTGGCATAGCTGCGCATTTGGGCATAAGTGCCATCAGCCTCCCGAACTTCCACGACGCCATGTAACGACGCCAATCCGAACGTGTGCGCCTTACCGTAATATTGGCAAACTACAACCTACGACAGCGATCTCCGCAACTCCTGGCATACCATACCCCTGCTGCATCTTATCAACCAGGAGACTGAGCGCTGCCATACTCTAAGAATATAATACTCGCACCTGTTGGAATCGTCGATGTGGCTACGGTGCCAACTGATGTCCCGGCGCCCGGAATCTTTTTGTGCTCAAACTACTTTTTCTTTTCATACCACTGTTCTATTCCTTTCTCGACGGTGCGAGCATACTGCTCACACCCGTCTTCATGTCCGGGCCGGCTGTTCTACGTACATGAGTAGCACCTATCTACATCAACCTTCGACATAGTCTTCTCCTTGCGTTCTGCCTGATCATTAAAAGCGACCAATTGTACTTGCACTTGCGTGGGAAGAGATGGGGCTGTGCAAGACGGGGAGCTTCATTACTGTATGTTTCGGATTCTACTACGTGCAAATGGTTTTGGAGAATCCATGGATGAGGGGGACTGAATGGACGGATCATGGCTTTCTGGCGCATGGGCTTTCAATGTGTACGATTTGATTGGGTTGTGAAGGATGAGTCGGTAGTCAGCGAGTTTCTATATACCTCTTTTAAGTTTATCGAACGCTTTTGCATGGTGATAAGATGACTGATATTGCCTATTCCATGAACCTTGGAACGTCTCGAGCATTCCAAGGTTTGAGCGCGCTCAGTCCAGGTCAGCTCGTGAAAGAAGTAATCAACGTCAACGTGCCTTCTAGACCTTGTCGCAGCTGTTATTCGGCGCTCTCAGCGGTTACTGTAGCCTCAGCGGTAGAAGTTACTTTTCGAATGCTGGCCTAGGCCATTGTGCGAGGCATTAACAGCTCCAAGGTGATTGCACCACCTGGGATGATACCCGCTCGCGAATCTAGTGGCGCGCACACCGTTATGCATATGACTAGGTTGGCCAGGGGACCCCAATTGTCTATCCGGACGTCACTCCGGGACAAGCAGTGACAAGCCGGAGTATCAGCGATCAGAGCTTATTGCGGTGGTGGTAGCGTGACCGTACTTTAGGCGTTCGTCGGGCAGGGCTGATAGATTATGGTTGTGATCTTCATGGATGACAGCAGAGCGACCGAGCAGAAGACGCAGGAGCCACGTCGTATTTTACTTTCACCCGGGCGGTTATGCAACGTCTTTCTATTTTCGAAGAGAAATCAATGTATCGAACTATCGTCTTTGGCATTAACGTGCCTCAGCTAATGCCCGCAATCTTAGGCTGCATGGCAACTGGACCCTGGAATCGACAAAAGGAAGCGCCTCAGCCGATGCAGGAGTCGATCGGAGAATAGGAACGCGATGGATGGCATTAATGCTTCTAGAAGCGAGCACAGAAGGATTCCATTGCATGTGCACCGGGGGACTCGCATCCGGGATGTGGCCGGGACGAGAATATCAAACAAGACCGAAAGAGAGATCCCTCGGCCCCTTTTGGTCGGCGGTGCCATGGAACTCTGGTGCTGCATGACAGTTGGTGCCTCGAGGAGATTGAAACATCGAGAGCGCATGAGAGGGTTAGCAGAGGCGTAAGGTCATTGTGACGTGTAGCCTCCAAACAGCAGCGAGGATAGGGCAGGTTGATGCTGCGACAGACGTGTCGAGGAGGCGTGTAGCAAGATAGTTCGGCATGGTGTTTCAGCAGTCGTCAGGCTTTCACGCGGCGCCCCAAGCCATTGCGCGCCACCCGCGGGTCCTCGATTGGGCGGTGTACAGGCGGGTGAGCGTGTTTCGCAGTCGAGCATCCTGTTTCATAAGGCCGACATGCCTTTGCGCTTCGCCAATGGAGTGCGATGCGGCCCCGTGCGGGCGTCTAATGCATCGTGAAATCGGCCGGTCAGCATCAGCCCTAAAACAGCACCTACCAAGCACACCCCTACACACCGTACCGCCTCGACCACGTTATCCACGTACGCACGTTGGAATCCTCGAGGGAATTCTCCCGTGCGCGTCCAATTGCATCGCTGAAACCCCAGCGCGTACTCGAAAATAGCCCTGCAAGCACGCGCGCCAAGGCCTGTCATCTAGCGGAGCACCATCCCAGACGACCGACCCCAACCTTGCAACGACTCCCTTTCCTTCTGCCCACCACAGACCAACGCGTCACCAGACACCGGGACCTGTACACGGACTCTGCAAACAGCTGACGCTGACCGTCCCCCTTCTCCACACATATATCAGTCCGGCGCCCGTCATTCGGGTCCCGCTCTTCTTTTTCTTTCGTCATGACTACAGCCGCTCAAGACGAATTCAACGAACTGATCCGAGACAAGGACCGCGAAGACCGCCACCCAGAAGACCGACACAACGACTCCGACCTCTCCGACCCGGAATCCCCTGGTGCCGCCGACGACTACCTCGAGAAGATCGATACCGACGACGAGCTCGACATCCCAGCCGACATGAGGGCGAATTACTACATGCCCAACCTGCGCTCAGAGGCCAACACGGGGCCCAAGGGTGTCATTGCTGACGCCCAGGCGTTTGAACAGGCCAAGAAGCAAGCACGACGCTTCACATGGAAGAAGAACGCCGCACCCGCACAGTACAATGTCAATGCCTATCACGACGAGAAGACATCGAGCAGTGATGACGAGGTCGACGAGGGCTTCATGCGCCAATGGCGTGAGGCGAGATTGAAGGAACTGCAGAATGTTGGCGAGAGGATACGGTCGAGGACCAACAGCCCCAGCCGGAGGATATATGGAAGCATGCCGTTGGTGGATGGTGAGGGGTATCTCGATGCTGTCGACAAGACCGCGTCGGGTACTACCGTTGTCGTCTTCATCTATGACTCCCAGGTATGTTGAGATGAAACTTAAACACACTGCATCAACTAACTCATATAGTCGAACATCAACCTCGATGTCGAAGAGTGCATGCGTGAGGTCGCCAAGCGCAACGACACCGTCCGCTTCGTCAAGATGCACGGCGACGACGCCGAAATCGACCATGTCGTCCTCCCCGCTGTTCTAGCATACAAAGGCGGCGACAAGTTCGCAAGCCTGCTACCGCTCCTCGAGGAGCTGCCAGACGACTCGGAGCTCAGCCCCATCAGCCTCGAGACCGCCTTCAGAAAGTGAGTCTCATCTTATCATCGTTTGATAAGATCATCAACTGACCAACGATCAATAGGAACCGCATCCTTTGAGACCGCGCTCATATCTCCTGCTACCACAGCATCTCCACAACACTCGCACCGATTTACACAGCTCCCTCTTCGGTATACTCATCACCACTCCGGTTGACCACGGCACACCACCATGCGAACTAGCACCCGCTAAGACCGCTACGGTTTCAAGCCACCACATCATACCTCCGCTCAGACCCCCTCATCTCAGCACGTCATGACATGGGGTATACCTCACCGACTCGCCATGACCACCTCATCACACTATGAGTCCTGGTCCTTTCATCTATCGTGCATAATGCATGGCTTCACGACATCGCATTACCGGCGTTTCTCTTTGTTCTTTTAGGTTAGACGGTATATCTCACTTGATCACGACTTTGCTTAGTTTTCGCGCTTGAGTTAGCGCTTCAGCATGTTTGGCGTTCTGTGTTGTTTGGTTTACCCTTTGGTAAGGGCGTGATCTATTCTTCTATAGAGGAATGAAGGATCGGCATGATGGCCATGTAGTTTCAATACCCTGATATGCATTCTGATTGAGCATCCTCATTGAGGGATGCGTTACTCTCTACTCTATCTCTTCTAGTCTTGGTGTCATGCTCTGTCCCTTCGTATCTGACACTCGTCCCTGCTCTCAATCCGCCTTCAGTCCCTTCTCTGTCATGCATCTCTCCCCCAATCTTCCAATCAATCTAATCACTGCGCAAGCTTCACACCAGCCTGACTACTTCGTCCGTCCATCTCTTCGAAAGCACAGAGTACCCACGCCATCGTTTAGCAACAACTTTCATGTTCACACTCGTCACTTCGATCCCGCTGATGCGCACTTGAAGCTTCCACACACCTATACGTCTCCAGGTACCTCTTTCTCTTTCTGGGGATAAAACTACACCCATTAGACATCGCTGAATCATATACTTGCCTCCTAATCTGACAATCTGGACATCCGCTACCAGAGCAAGGACAGCATTCTTCGGTGGTTCGCTGTCACCCCTGGATATGTCATCGGGGTGATATCTGAAGATAGGGCTACAATCGAACCCTCGATCCGCCACACATGTGCTTTCTTGCCGTATGCGACGCATCTGCGCCAAGACGTCTGTCGACAACGCAACGCTTGCCGGTAACATCTTCGTAGCGAGGTCAAGCCGTTGACCCGCGAACTCGCTGTATACCTCACCAGGGGCTTGATTATGCGACAACGCTCTCACTGTTGCCCAGAACACGTTATCAAAACACACCCGCGCCTCGCCCAACAAACTCTTTCTCTTCGCGCTCACCTCATCATCTCCAAACAGCAGCGCCAAATGGTGGAAAGCGTAGATCGGCGTGCTGAAAAAAGACCACGTTGGAATCTCACCCGGCTTATCAACACTCTCCCTGACTTCAACCACATACTCAAAAGGCGGCCCTGGCGCGATGTTGTTGTGCGCTCGTGCAAGCGCAGAAGGCTTCTGATCTACATACCACAGCAACGTCACGGGAAAACATTCTCTCCACAGCCCAGCCAGATACGTTAGATTGCCCAGGTGAGCAAATGCTCGCGCAATCCCTGCGATGGCTATGATTCTGTCTTTTCCGAAACTTAGGTTACGTGCACGGTATTCGTTTATTAGGGAGAGCCAGTTGCGTAGGAAGGATAGGAGGACTGGTGCGCAGGGGTCGGAGGAAGACAGTTTCGATAGGCTGGAGAGAGACGGAGGGAAGTATTTTGATTTGCAGAGGTCGGTATCTAGACTCGGGGTTTCCGGTGTGACAGGTGTGGTGGTGGATGGGTTGGGAATGGAGCCGATGGGCCCGAGGAGCTCGTCGTAGAAGAATTGACTGCATTGGTACATGAGGTTTTTGTGGCCAAGCAGAAGGGTACGCGGACTGAGGAGGTATTCTTGGAATGTCCTGGGCTTGTAAGTGGGTGTCTGAGAAGGGAATTTGGAATAGGAGGGTTCTTACCACGCTCGCTGGAATAAGGGCCATTGGTTTTGCAGCAACCAGTCTCGACCGTAGCGCTTGTCGCCAAGTATCCACGCTCTGTTCACATGCTCGACGTATACGCCCGGTTGCGAAGATGTTGCAGGACGCAGGATACACGGATGCCAAACGCGTGGATCTTCTCTCGTAGTCGGTTGCTGGTCGTTGTTCGGTGGAAAGAGACACGCGATGTTGCATACAGCGTTCCCATACACGGTAGCCATTCTCGTCGCTTCATACTCCCAATCGCTCTTCGAGTCCTGTATGATGCAGAGACTGTCTATCCAGATGTAGCGGTATCCTAGTGTCCGCGTTACTCTGATGGCTTCGCGAAACGTCGCTGAAGTGCCGAGCTTCTGCATGGGTATGTCTCTTTTGAAGTCTTCAATGTTGGCCTCTTGGAGAAGGAGTTGCTGACCGTGGTTTTGTCCCCACATATGACTTAGAACGAGGTATTCGTAGGATTTGGTGGCTATGTCGCATCGAAGTCTGACCTTGTCTTCGCTTACTTCGAGGATGCGTGTAGGCATCTCGTGTGGACTGACGGTGTTTCGCTGGAAGTTGCGGCAGTGCAAATGGTCGGAGCGGCAGGCTTTGATCCAGCCTCCAGCAATGTGTAAGTTCTCTCGAGCTAGTTTATGAGTCCTCTTCGTCGTTATGTGTTGTTGGAAGGCATCACTGTAAGCCGAATCTAGTCTTGATCAGTCGCACTTTCCTCGGGCAATCAATGAGACGTACTCACATGTGAATCTTCGTAAACAAAACGCCGCTCCATACTTGCGCTCGTCTTCTCTCGGTGGTGTCTTGCCGCCCAAAGTGACTTTAAGCGCGACGCAGTCACCGCCGTCAACAGCGCTCACGTATACATTTGCATCGCTTTGACTCCTGACGTTCCTGTTCGGAAATAACTCCAACGCTCTAAGGATTAAAGCGCAAGAATGACAGTCTTTACAAGCTTGTATAAGATGCGCTACGGTACTTAACACGCTTGGTTCGCATGTGTGGCCTGGCAGTGCTGAAGATAACTGCACCGCATCGACAGCGACCCAGGAACCGAAAAAACGCTTGCAGTTATCGCAGAGGCGATGAAATGCAACTGGGGCGTCATTTCGTGTTAGTATAGGGAGTGATAGCCCTTTTTCCGAGGCGGTCGAAACGAGAGATCGCGTTGTTGACATGACGGCGACTGGACAGGTCGTGTGCAATTAGAAAGGAGATAATGCTTCATGTTCTCAGATGGCGGGGCTGTCTACTCAATTGACATCATATCAGCCGAGCGCATCGCTCAGAATGCAGAGTTGCAGATATCCATGCGTCTGCATGCTTGGAGCGAGCGCTTAGGTTGTGACTGTCGAATCGTCTTGCTCAGCGCAGCACCTCCCTGTCTCTAATGCATGACGCGGGGCAAGTTTTTGCTGTAACACGTAGCCATTGCACTAGACCTCGATCTCGCGAACTTTGACGCAAAATTTGTTTGTTCAAAGAAGCTCATCTCCTGCTGCATCGTGCTTGACGCGAGAATGTACTCAATAAGGCTGAGTAGATTGAAAGTATGATTTAGAAATACATGGGTTGATCTCGAGTATAAAAGGTGCAAGTTTACAGCTTGCAGTCTTCAAAAGGAAAAGTTAGGTGACTGACCATGCAGTGCATAGTAGAGTTGTGATACCAAAAGGAACAGCTCAATGAGCGTCGCATCCGGGCTCAGCACCCTTGGTACACTGTTCAGGTAGCTTTGCTGCGCGGAATGACTGATAGCTGCGTGTACGTATCCGCTCGAGTATAACATGCTTCTCCACATCCCACATCCAACTCATCTCGTGGTCTGCAGATTGTGCCGAAAGATCGCCGGTGACAGGATTTGCGTAAGCCTCAACGAGGCTCCAATTTGTGAGTAAATCCTTCAATGCCTGGAATTTCTCTTCGTCTAACCCAGTCGGGCTCACATGTACCACGTCAAAGCGCACGATGGCAATTAATCCGAAAAGCGGGCTGATCAAAGGACTGGCGACGCTTCCACGGAAGCAATGAACACTCCCGGCTTCTCTCTCGCCCGCCCATGGAGGTGGGTACTGGAGCTCATCTTCGACATCGATGCCATTGACCCCGATGCCGGTGACCCTCGCCTTCCGCCACTGCCATCTTATGTCGTCGGTCCGGATTGCGAACTTGGGCTGGCATCCTTCCTTTGGTCGTGGGCGCGGATGAGGAGATGATTACCCGTCAGAACCTTGAAGGGAAGCTGGAAACTCAGATACCTTGGTTGGTGGTCGTACCTGTTAGTGGTTCGCTGCTCGCTACCGGTACGGGATACCGCGCACTTCTAAATCAATCCGAGGTCATATTTCTGCACCAGTCCGCATCACCATCTCTCGCAAATCCCCGTTACCCATTGCGCGTCTCGTCTACTGCGATGGAGTCTCACGAAAGTATTGCTTCCAAATCTGATGCCATGATGCAACACGAAAATGCAGGCGCGACTGCGCCGCCTGATTCTGCCAACCCGACCGACTATGGCTTGCAGCGGATGCTCGATTTGCCGACAGAGCTACGCTGCTGCATACTAGAGCTCCTCATCAAGGACGAGTTCTTCGAAGCCTACTACACACTCCTCGAGCATCCGGAGATGGGCGATTTGGTACGCTGCAACTTTGCTGCGCAGTTCAAAGCGATCAAACAGCACCGCCATCTCGCTAGCCAGCTTCAGCATATCCTAACAACTACGGCCTTACTTTCGACGCATACAAACCGCCCGCGCTCAAGCGAGCAGCTAGCTGAGTTCTTGAACAGCAATCTACACGATGAAACCCTAAGTATATCAGTGGACAGCCCCGGTCATGCTGTCGGCATGCTCGCCGAGTACCAAGCACTCTTGATCGACGCGGATATCCTTACAGATCAGTTCGTTCACCTAGCACTAGGCAATGCAGTAGCTCGGTGGGCCTCATCCGATCAGTCTGACTATGGTACCGATACCCTGTCTGATGTCGAGCATCATCGTGTACTTCGTGCATTTTTCCGGTTGCAACTCTACGCTGTGCTCCGGAAACACTATGGAAAAGGGAAAGGCTTCAAACGGAAGATCAGAAGCTTGTTCTCGATGTGGACGACGTGGGAGTTTGACGAAGTGAGAAGTTTAGCCGAATGGATCAAAATCGAACGCCCATTCCTACCGCGAGATTACGACGCTAGTATCCGCAAGTTGTTTGCCTGCGTGGACAGACATTTCTACAACGACATGGTCCCGTACGTCAGAATTAAACCCGCTCCTTGTCGCGACCGGAACCGACGTTCTGCGTTCGCGAAAAAGTCGAAGACTTGGCTCGACACGCCTGCGACAACTCGTGAAGGTCGAGCTGATGCACGTAACAAGGATTGGAGACCGCTCGGTCACAGTTACGGTTGTTACGTCGGTTATACACAACAGGTGTATCGAGAGCATTGTCTTGCTGAGGGTTTCCCATTTTGGTGTCGATATACAAAGCCACATGGTGGATGGTGGCGTTTCCGCGATGCCGAGCTGTTCCAGAAATTCGGGCAGGCTGGGGTCTACGACACGCCGACAGGGCCGTGGCGGTGAAAGTCATGTAGACTCAATATTGGGCTTTACGATCGCATGTATCATGCTGTCAGCGCTACATTGTGGACGGGTTCACGATGTAGATGTTCCGTAGCCTCAACTCTAGGTACGGCTTGGCGATCCTCTCAATCTCTTCTTGTGCTTACATAACGACGCCCAGTGCGCTATCGTTAGCGTCCCCGCGCGTTCGCTCCTTCGCGTTTACTCATCAACAATCCATTTCAAATCATCCTTCAGCGGACTAGAGCCCGTGATTTGCGGACGAACACGATCGGCTCCCCAGAAACCCCTGGAATAATGGCCTCTTTCTGCTCAAGGCTAGGTCAGGTCATGCATCGACACCCTGCCATGCCGCCGTGAAACAGCTCAATCGCCGCATCACCCAACGGCCCGACTCTGAACAGCACAGCAACATGAACGCACAATTTCCACGTTCATTCAGCGTGCGGTCCGAACGCAGCACATATATGACATCCCGGCGATAACGGGCTTGATATGTTTCGAGCGCACCCATGAAGATCCGGAGGGTTGGATTTATATGCTCATCATGAGGAGGTTGTAGTGCACTCAACAGTCAGTCGTTTCTTCGCCCACCCAGCCCAACTTTCGTGCATTTGCGCACGTATCCATTCTTTAACAGAGCATTGCTCATCCACATTCATTTTCCATACATATCTCATCTCGAAGATGAGGCATTTTCACCAGTTGCTCGCCGCCGGAGCGGGCTTTTCTTCACTTGCGCAGGCCGTCAACACTCTCGTCGATGTTGGCTACGCGAAGTACCAGGGAGCTGTTGTTGACTCTCAGCTTGGCGTCTCTGCCTGGAAAGGCATTCAGTATGCGGCGCCTCCTACCGGCGAACGACGCTTCGCAGCCCCGCAGGACCCAATCGTCTCCGGACTCATCAACGCGACCAGGCACGGCGCAACATGCCCACCCAACCGCCCTGATGATTGGACCATATCCGGAGCCACCGATCGCTTTCACGTCGCGGAAGACTGTCTTTACCTGAGCGTTTATGCGCCTTCGGAGGCCAAAGTCAACTCGAAGCTGCCAGTGGTGGTCTTCTTCCAGGGAGGAGGCTTCTCATCGCAGTCTAGCGCCAACTGGGACCCTACGGAGATCGTGGCAGACGGTCAGGTCGTCTTTGTTCAGTTCAGCTACCGCGTGGGCCTATACGGTTTCCTCAGCAGTGAAGCGGTCAAGGCTGGAGGTGGCGACGTCAATGCTGGACTTCGCGACCAGATCAAGCTTCTCGAGTGGGTTAAGGAACACATCGACCAGTTCGGCGGCGACCCTGACCATGTTGTCCTTGATGGAGTCAGTGCTGGCGGATCTTCTGTTGCACTCATGCTAGCGGCCAACACCGGCAAGGAGTTGTTCGCTGGTGGCATCATGGAGTCGGGCGGCTGGGTCACAATGCGCACACCGGAACTGGGCGAGGAGCAATACCAGTGCTTACTCGAAGACAAGGGCTGTGCTAATGCGACAAACGGCCTGTCTTGCCTGCGCGCGTTGAATGAGTCGGCTATCCGAACTTCCAACTGCTGGTTCAACCCGAACATTGACGGTGAGCTCTACACCGACTCACTCGTCAACCTTTTCGAACAGGGCAAGTATGCCAAGGTTCCGACCATCATGGGAACCTGCGCCCAAGAAGGCACCAAATACAACGCACCAGAGGATCTCAACACCACAACCGACGCCGTCAAATGGGTAGCTAATCAGGACCCAAGTCTCAGCAACTCTTCCATCTCCATCCTCGATGATCTCTACATGAAGCCCAAGAAGCCTACATTCCCCGGCAAAGGCCTCTACTGGCGCCATGCCGCTGATGCCATCGGCGACATTGGCACCCACTGCCCTACGCGCAACATCCAGAACGCGATTGCAGCCGACGACGTACCAACATGGAACTACAAGTACGCCGTACAGGACCCTGCCGACGAAGCTGCTGGCTACGGCGCCTGGCACACCGTCAACGCCTACGCCTTCTGGGGCGTAAATCGCACAGATAACAGCGAGCCAGCCAGCTACTTCACCACCAACGCGCCCATCATCCACCAGGTGCGCAGCTACTGGACAAGCTTCATCCGTAACCTCGACCCCAACACTGACCGCGCCGAACGCGCTGTCGAGTGGAAGCCATACACTGGACCCAAGTCGCGTGAGAGGCTGTTCATCCAGACTAACAACACTAAGATGGAGCGTATGAGCCCTGCGCAGGCGCTTCGGTGCGATGTTGTTAGGCCGATGAGCGATAACCTTGGGAAGCCTGTTGCGAAGGGTGTTGTCACGAATCTGAATGCGAAGTTGGCGAAGAAGGTTAAGGGGGCTAGTGAGAATACTGCGTGGAAGAAGGGCAGGAAGGATGCCAGGGACTTTGCGCAGGACTACTGAGCAGGGTGATGACACATGGATAGACGCTGGTCGAGCAGGTCTGCCCTTATGTGAGGCTGCTGAGCATCTTGCTCGTTCTCGTTGTATATATTTTCGAGTCTTAAATCTTCTTTCCACCTTTCGCCAATCAAGTCCAAACAGGTCTAGAGCCTACATCAACGTTGCATTACCTGATTTGCGTGTTTTTGTGTTGATCTAGGCCGCGGACCAGGTTTGGTTTTTCCCCAGGCTTACATATTTCTCTTTCGGCTGCAGAAACGCACCTCACTTTAATTCATGGTGTTTGTAGTCCACTGCATTGCCTATGATGCGACGGCTGCTAGCTACACAAGTCTCTATCAAGACGCTACGAGATGTTCAGACTAGAGTGAGGCTTTCCATCTTTACTCCTTCGAGGCGCAAGAAAACCGATGGATCGCTTCGCTGCCACTGTCTTGACGTATGCTTGTACACTGGACCAGTCTGCTTAGTATCGAGCGCCTCGTCTACCGGCAGATCTATCTGAGCGTCCCAATATCCAATACGTTTCCATGTACCTTCTTCTTCACCGGGAATCAGCGCTAGGCCTGCTAAAATGCTTTGCGGAAAGTAAGGAACCCGAGTCTCAACTAGAAGAGCCAAAAGAACTCTCTCTGGAGGCTGAGCGTTGTATTCGATATCGTCACAATATAATGAAGTCCAGGTGTGTTTTGCACATTCAGGGTGCCTGACGTAGAAAGATGTAAGCTTCTCCTTCAAGCAGACACAATCAGCGTCATAAGAATCATCACTTTCTATTCGGGTTTCCTCGAACGTAGGTAACTGTAGGGTGATCTGCAGTCCAGAAAAGTCGTGATATGTTGCTGGAGGCATCGTATTAACCGGCCAGCCCGACCACTGGTAGTAAGAGAGCTTCGCTAAGAACAGTAAGTCGCTCAATTGGCATCCGCCGCCATCACTTTCCGGAGGCCAGAATTCGTAACGACCGAAGTACCTGAGCGGGTGATCCACGTAAAGATGGCTCGAGAGCCACGACCAAGAAGGCACCGTTTTTGATCCATGCTCACGTATTGATTTGGATATTGGCAATCTCTTCCCATCTTTATCCCACGAAGGCTCGGCACTTATATACCACAGTAAACCATCGGGAAAAGATTCTGCCCAGATACCAGCAAGATTTGTAATTCGTGCTTCAGCCTGGAAAGCTCTGGCGACACCAGCAAAGGCGACAGGTCTATCACTGGGCACGGTTAGATCCCTCGCTCTGTATTCCCAAACTAGGTCTTTCCAGTTTCCGAAATACTCCAGGACGTGCTCATAGTCTGCAAACGAGTTTGAAGTATTACGTCTGTGCGCAACATGACTTGCTAGAAGATGCGATTTCTGCGTAATCTTCCGGTTTTTGTAGCCATCACTACGGTTGTAAAGCCGGGTTTCAGTCTTTGGAAGCCATGAGCCCGCCAGCTCATCACAGAACTCCTCCACGCACTCCCACATGAGGGTTTGGTGTCCGTAGAATACTGTGCGTGGGCTTAAAAGATGCTCCTGGAGAGTCCATGCTCGCTGAGATATAGGCCATTCGTGGTAATTGAATCTAGATGTGAATATCTCGCGCTCTCCGGGAGCTGCGGGACCAGACACATACCGGCCCGGAGAAGCGACGATGTAGATCCCTTCGCTGGTCCTAGATGCCTTACGGATGACGCAGGGGCTCATGGTTCTCGGGTCTTCCCGTGTTTTCATGAGACCTCTTCCGGGCGGAAACAAGAAGGCTATGCTGCAGATCGCATTGCTATAAACTGAAGTCATTGAGGCGGATTCAATTTCCCAGTCTGATGGTGAGTCTTGAATAATACACAGTACATCCACCCACAGGTACCGGAAGCCAGTGTGGCGAACGATTCTCAAGGCTTCGACGAATATAGCAGGTAGTTCCGACCATGGTATTGCGACTTGGAATTCGTCAAGCCTTGATAGTGTCAGGCGAAGACGATGGGGCGCATCTCCCCAGACATGGCTGAGTGTAAGGTATTGTAGGTCTGTAATGGTACCGGTATCGCATCGTAATCTCACGCCGTCGGATATGAGTTCTAGTAGTCGGGTCGGCCGCTGGGATGACGCTGACAAGCTCGAGGCGCAGCTAGAACAGCTCCCGTGCGTTCGGATACAAGCATTGAGCCACGTATTGATCTGATCCAAATTGGCAATGGGCTGGCTCGGTACGCTCTGCTTTTGTTCTGGCGCGTCGAACTCATGGTTACTCGATCCTAAATTGTCAAATGGCTTCGCTAAAAGTTTGGAAACACCTGCTTACCATCGAAACATTTCAGGTACATTGACGCCCATCGATACTGAACATATTTGGTACCACCTAGACCCAGGATCAGATGCAAGTGGCCAGGCAGTTTTCTTGTCCTATCTTTGCATATCATGAATTCTACAGGTCCGTTGTGATCTAATTTATGGTAATCTAGTATAGAGAGCACCATTGCACACAAGTGGCAAGCATCCCTTGACTGCAACAATTGCGCAACGGTGGAAAAGTGGGCCGGATTGGGATATTCATCTCGGACGTCGTGTATGTCGTCGATACCATCCTTGACCCATCTTAAGGAATTCCAGCCATCGACAAAGCTTTTACAGCGATCGCAAAGTTGGTGCAGTATGACCGAATCTTTTGCGTCCGTTTGCGTCCGATCTTCCGCGTAGCCGCCCACGAATTCTGAGTCGTCAATATGGGAATCTGAAATCGTTGACATTGCGCCAGAATGGGTACTATTAAGCGTGACGAGGGAGGTTGAGGGCTGTTATGCGGTGTAAAGATGGATTGCGAGGTGGTGTATCGCATCAGGCAACCCCGCGTGAACACCCATGCAACTGTGCCACATGCTCGCATGAGCTCGCTTCTCTTGGCTGTCCCCATGACCAAAGACGCACTCTGGAGCTAAAATTGCACTAACTTGTAAGAATACATCCACATGCAACATGATCCATATGTCCAGTGTACGTTTGGGGGTTCCATCGTAGATTTGTACGGCGCAACTCTAAACAAACGAGCTTCCCAACTTTTCAGTTCCTCCGATAACTAGCTATTTGAGTGGATACGCTCCATTCCATCCACTGCCAACACTGCGTCTTTTCGAACCCAAACCGAAGTTCACAGCGGACTTCACGCATGGACGACGGGGAATCTTGTTTGAATCGTTTATCGGCGCATCGCTACATTAATATCCCCTCACTCTAGATACAGAGTGTAAAAGTTGTTTAAACCAAAGTAAAGGTCTCAATCTTCACTCCTTCGAGACGTAAAAAGATGGAATCCGTTTCCCATGTGTCATCGCCCAGGTCAACCCACGCTTTCCAGTAGCCTATGCGCTTCCATGTGCCGCTCTCAGCCCCGGGTGCCAATGCCAGTCCTTGTAAATCGTGACGGTAGTTGAGATCCACCTCTTCAGCAATGAGAGCTATGCGTACTTCGACCGGAGGTTGATACAACGTTGTGAGATCATCGCAGTGATAAGAGGCTGCCAGACGTTCTCTACCAAACCCAAGACAACAAGCTAACTCTTGTTCTAGACTGTCACAGCGAAGTCGAGGACAGTCGTTTTTGCCATTTGGCTCTTGAAGAAGGATCGTGGTCATATGTGTTGCGAATTCGAGCGTAATTCGTAAGCCTTCGAAGTCATAGTAAGCCGTTGGAGGAGCGTGGTTGACCGGCTCTTTTGGCCATCTGAAGTGCAGGAATTTTGCCACATATAGTTGCGGGTCCCAAGTTCTACTACCTCCTCCAGGTATAACAACATCGCAATACATATAGATTGGTCCGGCGAACCATGACCATGTGGGTACGGATTTTGATGGTGGCTCCCGAATCAAGAAAGGCTCAGCCATTTTCCGCACCCTCGCGGTCTCAATATACCACAGCAATGATCGTGGTAAGTGTTCCTTCCACGTTCCCGCGAGATACGTGAATCCGTGTTCAGACTGGAAGGCTCGTGCTATCCCGACGATAGCCATGAGTCGATCGCTTGCATGAGAGAGGTTTCTTCTCCTGTAGTCTCTTATCAACCTTGCCCATTGAGGGAAGACTTTGAGTCCCTCCACTTTTCTTTCAAGCGTTGAATCTAGAATCATTGATGGTGTCGTCTGATTCGGCTGGCAGCGGCTCATGTGTACATTGAGCTTCAAAGCCACGCGGCTGCCGTCAGTCCCACGGTCTGACAGGGCCAGCTCGTCGTAAAACCTAAACCCGCATTCCCACATGATGGAACGGTGGCCATAGAGAATCGTACGAGGACTCAATAAATGTTCCTGTAGAGCCCACGCTCTTGACGATAAAGGCCAGTTGCTGGATGAGAACCTTGATACTTCTTCTCCCTTGGGACTGACGAAGATGCCTCTCCATTTCCAGTCTACTCCGCTGCCGCGGACGATACAGGGTGTTGATGCTCGGGGATCGTCTCTAACCTGACAAAACTCAACACCGGGTGGGAACAAGAACGCAATCGTACAGACAGCGTTATTGTAGATTGCAGACATCATGTTGGCTTCATGCGTCCAGTCAACTGTGGAGTCCTGTATGATGCAAAGTGAGTCCAACCAAAGGTACAAAAACCCCAGGGTACGCGTTATTCGGATCGCCTCGCTGAAAATACTTGACAGCTTGTGTATGGGTATGGCCTTTTGAAACTCTTGCAATGTTGCAGCTGTCAGAAGCAGTTGTGTCGAAGGATTTTCACCCCACATATGACTGAGCGCCAGATACTCAAGCTTGTCTATGACTTGTGGATCGCACTGCAGTCTTGCACCGTTTTCGTTGAGCTCCAGTATTCGTGTTGGTCGACGTACTTTTGTATCTAGCTTTGGAAACCAATTGTTACATGTGACATGATTTGCACGACAATTTTGTAGCCATTTCTGAACTTGGACCAAGTTGCCAGTCGGCTGAGATGGGATTTGCTTTGCCATGAATGGAAAGCAGAATTTGTCATAACCTCTTTCGGTTCCTACCGAGGGGTTACATATTCAGTTTGAATCAGTCATAATTGGAGTGAAACTTACCATTGTATTCTTTATGTATTACTACACAGTCAGGGCTAAGAACATGGTCGTTCAACAATAAGGACATCCCTATTGCGTATCTGTTCCTTTGTGATTCCCAGAGGGAAGGGAGACCGATTTGGCACACTATAGGCTCGTGTAACGGTATACCATCGTTCTGTTTGATCTGCGAGTATAACATCTCGCACAAATGACAGGAGTGTCGAGACCCCATCATTTCTGTCAGGGTGCACAACTCATATTTCTCATATCCGCGAGACGGTTTCAGTTCCTCTGTTGCCCCAAACCATTGGCAGGTTTTATCCCACGTATCGAACATCTGGCGACACCGATCACAAAGCCGATGGAGGGGCACCGAGCCTTCAGGAATGGAGTCATCCTGAGAATCCGTCCACGTTGGCGCCTCATCATCAGGACATTCCGTCATCGTCTGGATCTCGTGGTGTATCCTGGTAGTCGTTGGTGTATCGCAAATGGCAGGTATCTGTTGTGAGATATAGAACAAGACACAGAGTCAGACATGCGTAAAAGTGGGAAAAAGAAGAGAAGAGATTTCCAGCGCCCAGAGCTGAAGATAACAGATGTCAGCTTACACAGCCACAGAAACAGGAAGGAAATGACGACGAGGCTGAGTATGACGACATGCTACCTCGACATGATTGGCAAGCATCTCACGTGCCTGTACAACAAGATGCCCAACCAATAGCGGCGCTTTACCACACCTTTTTTCCTGCATTCAAGCGGGGTGACAACAGACATGTGTTACCGTCTCAGAATACGCGCAACAATGCAGGGTCAAGATGAGCGACGAGTTCGCGATCGCATTCGTCACCACGAACAAGGGAGTTTGAGAGGTTGTCTGAATGAAAACGTCCGTAAAGATCGTTCAAGGAATACATTCCTACCAAAACCTCACACCCACCTCCCTACCTCTTCACATCCCCGAACCCCCGACTAAGAATCCTATTAACATCGCCACCATCCTGCACTCCTTCGGCGCCCACAACCTCAACCCGATTCCTAATCAAATCCTTAATCTCGCCCTCCCTCCTCCGTTCCTCTTTCTCCTTCTCACTCTCTTCCTGCCCACCCACCCTAACCACGCCAGCCCCCAAGCCCACACCCCCGTCTTTACTACTACTCCTCCCACCCTTCCTATCCCACCCCATCTGCAACTCCCCACTACTAGCCTCCTCAAACCGTCTCTTAACCCCCGGATCCCTCTCCAACGCCTGAAAAACATGCGTATCGCTCGTCCACCACGCGCTCGCCCCACTCTTAACCGCCAACTCAAAGACCACAACCGCGAGCAAGATGAGCACGAGACACAACCACCAACTCCAACTCGAGCCGAAACCACGGAGGAAAGTGTCGCGGACGTAGTAGATTTTATTGCTAGGGTTGTAGACGGAGGAGAGGATGATGTTCCAGAGGAACCAGCCGCCGATGGAGAGGAGGAGGGCGAGGGCGTTGGTGAGGGTTTTGGTGTGTGTTTCTATGAATCTATCACCCATGTTAGTACTTGTATGCCAAGAAGGAGGGGATAGGGATAGAGGGGATGAAGGGGAGTACATACTGCATCTTCAACGCAATAAGCCAAACCGCCGCCGTATACGTAATACTCCCCATAGCAAAGATACTATTATCCTCCGTCCAAAGCGCATCGCCATACAGTCCCAACATACAAAAATACACCAGCATCGCCTCCCCACTCGCCATGAACATCCACCAGAGGTAAACTTTAAAGTTGAACCCGCCGTTCACCTGACCAATAGTATAAAGTTCAGGAACAGCAAGCAGCGTACTCGCACTAAGATCCTTCTCAAACACGCCCATGAAGATAACAGGCAAAGAGGTGAACAGCGTGTTGAACATGCTCAGACTCCAGCTCTCGTACAAACTCGTCCCGGTATAACCCACGGAACGCTGGAAAAGCGCTTGCGTGAGGTAGAATAAAAGTTCTTTCCAAAACGTGCCGACGGTGTACTTGCACGTGCGTATGTAATTCCAACGTCCATGCACCAACAGCAATTTAGTTAGGAACCTGAATTGCGCGATACTGTAATCGCTCGTTCTTGCCGCTTGTAAGCCTTCTTTTCCGGTAATGCCGATCCCCACGTGGGCTTCTTGGATCATGGCGATGTCGTTTGCGCCGTCGCCGATGGCGAGTGTGATACTCTTCTTCACGCGCTTGCGGATGGATTTTACGAGTTGGGCTTTTTGGGAAGGCGAGGCGCGGCAGCAGATTACGGAGGAAGCGAGGATGGCGAGGGAGTGGAAGAGCGTGTCTAGGGCTGGGGAGGAGGTGATGCGGGAGAGTGTCTGGCCGTCTACTACTACGACGGAGTGGGCGACTGTACCGCTAATGATGGCCTGGATGGCGGAGGTGATGGTTTGTTCGACGAGACCGGTTTCGTGGTCGAGAACAGTTACGGTGCTGAATTCCTTGATTAGGCGGCACGAGTAACCGATATTGATGGCGGTTTCGCGCTTGTCGCCTGTTAGCATCCACATTTTGATCTGGGCGCGGCGCAGCTTGTCGATGGCTTCTGGGACGCCGGCTTGGAGTTTGTCTTCGATGGCGGTGGCGGCGCAGAGATCGAGGTCTTGCTCGATTAGGTCGCCGGCTTCTTCGATGAGACGGGTGCGGTCGACGAGACTGGTGGTGGCGGAGAGGTAGGTAGCTTTCCAGGATTGGTATTCGGATTCATGTAGGAAACGATAGCCGTAGAGGAGAGTTCGGAGGCCTTCGGTGGCGAATTCGTTGATGTGTTGGAGACAGCGTTCGATGACTAGGGTGTCGTCGCCAGCTACGCCTTCGTCGACCATGGCTTCCATGTCTTCTAGTTGCATTGAGCTTCGGGCTGAGGAAAAGGCCATGCTGAAGCGATCGAGACCTGACTGGCGAGGTGTTATCATGGGGGTCTGCATTGGTGAGTCTTCGTCCAGGGACGACATGTCCATGCGGTCGTTTTCACGCTCGCGTAGCCACTGGTCTACTTCATCTCTTGCTGACATGGAACCGCGCCCGCCCATACTAGGAGCGAAAGATGGACGTCCGAGGTTGAGACTAGCCCTGGCAGCCTGACCGATGGTCATGCTTTTCCGTCCACCAACACTGCTCATACGACCAGCCACACTACTCCGCCGTTCAGCGTGTTCGCTCATGCGCGCAATCGCATGTTGAGCTTCCATACTCTTGCGAATATTAGCGCGACGCTCAATCTCAACCATCTTCTTGTTCGCCAGAGTAGCCAACTTCAATCGCTGCATGACGATGGAATCAGCGCCCTTGCAGATGATGCATATTCTGCCATCTGGAAACCGCAAGATGATGGACATGCGCTTTCGCTTGCTGGAGAACTCGATGACGTCCAGGATCTCATAGACCTCTGAGACAGGTTCACTGTCAGACCCAGATGGCATGATCTTGAGAGTTATGGTGTGAACGTCGCGGTTAATCAGTAGGAAACCCATGTCTTGCGCTGCCTGCACTAATGCAAGTTCATCCGGGGATGAAGCCATGAAGTGTGTCTTGCCATCTTCCTGGATTTCAGGCAAGCAAGTATGGCATAGCGCTAACGAGAGGAGGAACATGCGCGCTTTCTTCGAGAACGGGGTGTGAGGTTTTCTTTGGATGTACCGTAGCATGTCCTGTGTACGCAATTCTCGCGATGTCTTGCCTGGCTTCGCGCTCGACTGCCAATTTGACGGTCCCCCTTCCCCAGGGCTCTCCAGCTGCTCAATCGTTTCAATCACTGGCGTCGTAGGTTCGTCATTCGCTACATCCTTGGCCGATCTCACACTCTTCCTACTCTTCGCAGGCTGCTTCCCCTTCTTCCTCGTCTTGTGAATCAGCTTCTTCTTCTTGTCTTCCTTCAAATCGGCATCATGCAACCAGCTCACACCCGCAACACTAAGCTTCCGGAACTTCATCGAGTTATCCGTAAGCGTACCCGTCTTATCTGAGAAGATGTAGCTAATCTGACCGAGCTCCTCGTTGATTGTTGATGTCCTCGGCTCACACGGCGTATCGGAGATAGGGTCGTACATGTCGATATCGGTATGCAAAAAGAACATTTGCGCCAGTTTGACAATCTCCAAACTGACGTAGAGAGACAGCGGAATCATGGTGTTGAACATGATGATGAAAGATGTGAAGCTGGGGAAGAAGGCGACCGAAGAACCGCGGAGATACCACATGTCATCTTCGTTCTTCTGCCAAATCTTGTAGGCTACGGCGTTGAAGACCGACAAAAGAATGACAAAGACCACGATGAGAACGACGATGCGGTTGACAAGGCCTTGCAGGGCGGGCGCCTTAATGCGGGGGTTCTTGTTCGAGTTCATCCGGATGCGACATTCCTCTCCGGAGTAGATGACCATGCCGATGGCATCGGGTGTGTTTCGCAGGATACTGCCTCGGAAGATGATCTCGCTGAGAGTCAGTGGCGCTTGCTTCTCATCGACCATCACACGACCTTCAAAGCTGTACAAGTCCCGGTTCGGATCTTCGACAACAAACTCGGCCTTCGTCTTCAAGACGTCCTCCTGATCGATGATGGTCTTGGAGATGGAAGCAGGCGTTTGCTTGCTTTTGAGGTTCGTCTCCCCATCCAGCGCCATCGTCTCAACAAACGCCACATTATTCTCCCCATTCGTATGAAGAAGCGCCATATCCGCAGGCGCTGCGTCGTTCCTCTCAAGCTTGATTATATCGCCGACGTTGATATCCTGCCACTTGATCGTCTCCCACTGCAGTGTCTCAGAACCAGGACTGGAACGCAACACCCTCGCCTCCCTCATGTTCTCCGCCTTGTCCAACCTCCATCTCCTCAGATCATCGTATCCTTCCTTCGCAATGGAAAGGGTAACAAAAAACAGCAGCGGTACTATCGTCGTAAACTGGCCCGTCGTACTAAGCCCGGGTATCATTTGCAAAATGGAAATAACAAGAAAGTAAAAGTTGGCGAGTTTGGAGAACTGGGCGACGAGTTGGCGGGGGATAAAGTTCCATGCTGAGTAGCGCGTGGAGCGGATCCAGTTGCTGGTGTAGGGTTGCTCGGTACGTTCGTCTGTGAGGGGCTCTTTGCGCGTGGGATCGAGGTGGATGTGTCGGCCATCTTTGCTGGGTGGGACATCTTTGATGCGGAAGATGAATTTCCGCGCCTGCTCTGCGAGATCCTTCGTCTGCTTGACGATTTGTGATCGCCGGCTTGGACCCTTGCTCTCCAACCAAGGAAGTGCGATTGGCCCTTCTCCCAACTTCGACTTTGATATATCCGAGGCTGACGAGGCGTAGTCCAGATGCTCTGGCGTGACGGTGATGACGGCGTCTCCAGACTTGCGCGACGGCGCATGTCCACTGGAGCCTTCCGCCTGTCCCATCGTAGGGTGTGACCCCCCAACGCCCTCCTCCAGTTCAATTTGTGTATCCGGTGATTGCGCCGTATCGTGGACGTTCCTCCTGAACAGCGCGCTGCGCAGCGAGTACCCGCGGTTGCGAGAAGTGGGCGAGAGCGGCGATCGAGAGACGCCATTCCGTGGTGGTAGTTGTGAGCGTGAGGATGAAGCCTCAGCGTGATCTTCCGGAGAGACCTCGCGCGTGTTGATGGACAAGTCTGGCGTTCCAGGCCTTTGCTTCCCGCCAGCACTCTTCCCAATGTGTGCAATCTCGTCCCTGCCATTGCGCTCGATATCCGTCGAGAAGCGAACGCGCGGCGACTCTTCAGTTGTCAGGCGCGCAATCGACGGGCGTGCCGTACTCTCCACCGCCGAAGTCCTCGATCGTGGCGCATCGTCGCCGTCTCTGGGAGTCTCGATCGCATACGGAGGGTTTGCGCTCTGTGTCGTGGGTGGCAGGCCATCCTCGTCGTGGGATGCGGAATGACGCCTTCTTACTCCTCCGCTACCTCCAATCCCAGCACTCGATGCATCGGAAGCATCTCCAGGCTGCGACATGATTTCCAGTCATTCCCTATTGTCGTGTACGCTGTTGTCCTACAGAAGGGTGCTGCAAATCGAAGCAAATCCCCAGCCTTTCCCGCAGAGTCCGGTCTAGCGGCTTGTCCACGCGGGTATTACGACGTCGATGCCCGCGCTGGGGGCCTTTGCGTCTTGGGCTTTACGCGGCGCCGGCGATATTACAATCAATACAAATGCGAATTATAGCAATCATATCGCGGTGCGCAAACATAGGTACAAACAAGGCGCAAACAGTACCCTTCCCTGTCGTTCATTCGAAAACGCGCGAGCAACGCGGGCAGTACCAAGGTCCCGGTCCACCTGGGCAGCCCTGTTCCTTCAGCCCACCACATGATGCCAGCCGCAGCTACCCAGGTGCTCCAGGCTATTTTAGGACTGACGTAGCTGGGGCTAACTCCACCAACTCCAGCTCCGCCCTCAGTAGTGCCGCTTTCCCCTCATGGTGGGCTGTGGGCTTGCATATGCGCGCTTCCCCAGAGCATGTCTGCTTCTTCTGCAGTTTGCAGTTCCCGATCAGCAAAAAAGGAAGATCTAACCCCGCAGGTCGCATTTGCGGCTGGCGCCAATGCAACACATCGCAGCTGACGTTCCGCCAATCGGATTCATTTCACACAACAACAGCAATCATCGCTGACAACATCGAAATCCGTGTATGTAGTTCATGATGTATTAGTTCTATATTGATTACAGATGCCGCTAATCAGATGCAAAAAATCTCACTCGCTTCAAAGAACAGATGTAACAAGCTATCCAAGATGCATCTTGCCATTCAATTGCACCCAAAAAACGCACTCTACTCACTACTCCAGAACCCTGGCTTTTTACGACCAATATGCTAATAATGCTTCGCTCCAAATGATATGGTATAGTTTCGTTCCCTGTCTCTGTCTCTCTCTCGCTTTCGCCTTTGCAGGCCAACTCTCTCTCTCTCATTCTCTCTCTCACACACACAAGTCTCCAACCCCCTTAGATTTCCTCCTCCTCCGCTGCCAAAGAAGAAGCCATTCTGAGTAGCAGTAGTAGGAACTTGCTTTGTGGTATCCCGGTAGTCGTGTCGCTCATTAAGTATTGCACCTTTGAAAGATTATAAGAAAAAGACATAGAAAAAAGCAGTGTGCCCAGCGCCATGCAATATGCAGCCAGATGATGAAGAAACCAAACTGGCGATGATGATTGGTAAAAGAGGATTAGAGAAGAAGGACTGCTTCGCGTGTCCTACGATGCAGCAACGCACCAGTGGCGGTGGAAAACCCACGCGCTCTTCTGGCATTCTTTGCTGCAGTACTTGGTCCGCCGGCACCGACGGCACTTGGCGAACTGGCGGGTGTATTCTTCCCACTTGCCGCACTTGTAGTATGCGCACTGTCGGATGCCGCCTCGGGAGTCGTCTTTCCGGCATAGGTTGCGCATAACAACGCTGGCCCAGTATTGCATGTCGGACGAGTGGTGCCGTACCGTGAACTGCTCAACCAGAGGGAAGATGTTAAAATCGTCTGGAAGTTCGTATTCCTCCAACTCCTCCTCTTCTTCCTCTGCCTTGGGTGTCGAGGCTTCTCCGTCAAGTAGCTCGGTGCCAATCTTCAGCTTGGGCACCAGATGCGAGTTCTGGAAGTAGGACCGGAGGTTGCAGTATTTCGATACGTAGGCGAGTAGTTGTAGAGACATGAGCACGTCTTCGTCCCGAGGCATGGCTGCGAGCACGCTAGCTGACGCATTGCGTTCTTGCTGGTATCTGGGTAGCCAAGGAGGCGGTGGGTTGGTGTTGACGACGTTGATGGTGGGCGGCATGGGAGAGAAACCGGTGATGGGGTTGTTCGGCGGGGTGGTGGTGGGGTTGATCAGACTGCCATCGAGCGCTGGACGGTGAGTAATGTTGAACGTCTCGTTGTTCTCGTCTGTGCCTTCCGACGGAGCAGCGATGGGGACTGGTGTGTTGCCAGCATCCAGCATCTCTGCGTTGTCGACAATGTCGGCCATGTTGATCTCATTGTTCTGAATGCCGACGATAGGCTCATTCACAGACGGACCCGCCGCTGTTGCAGCCTCTGCTGACATGTCATCTTGTTGTGCTTCGAGATCCGACTCGCCAGATACAGACAGCTGGTGTCGGATGGACGGTCGGCGGCGCGTCCGGGCTAGCCCCGCTCTTGGGCTCGTCTGGCGTGCCTGTGGGGCGCTCGGTGTTGTCGGTGACTCTGGTTGGGAAGTGATCTCCCCTTGCAGGGCGGGGAGCATGGAAGGAAGGCGATCCGCATCTCGCACCGGCCGTAGCGCAAACGCGTCAGGTGTTGCTTCCATGGAGGGTAGCGCCGTGACCAATGGCTGGCCGAGGTTGCGGGTGTTGTTGCCGGGAGCGCCAAACAGCTGTGCCCGGCTTTCGTGGCTGCGATGGTGATGGTGGTGGGGAGGTCGGCCGCGTGCAAATGTCGTCCGCTCAGGAGGGGAGCTCAGGGAGAAGGCGGGAATGGGCGTCGCGTCGGCCAAGGGTGCGTCCGTCGGCTGGGGTATCTCGATGGGAGGAGGAATGATGCGCCGTGATCGATCGGCTCGGTGTGAGGAGCTCGACGCAACCTCGCCGGTCCGCGAGGAGTGGTGTCGGCTCGATGCACCGAGACGTGCAGATTTGTGAAACTCAACCTCAGCGCGTGCCCGCATCTTGTCGATGACCTTGATGTAGTTGTCGAGAATGGAGGCGATGACGGGGACCATGTCGGCCTCAACCACACGCGTCCTGACGTTCTCGGAGCCGCGTACGCCAATGTTGAAGATGCATTGGAAGGCGAGGTTCCACTTCCACATATCCATCATGTCCTTGCTCCGGCCCTCCTTGAGGATGCATATCAGGCGTTCGATGCCGCCATCGACGGTGAGAATGTCCCGTATGCGGGCCGAGGAGGTTGTGAGGTATGCGAGGTGGTTGAGCGAGTTGATGAGCGGGAGCGTCGATGTGCAGTCGAGAGCGCGGCGGTCGTAGAGGGCGGTGGTGATGCCGACCGACGCCTTGTTGGCGTTGGGGATGCTAAAGTTGACTTCGCGCATGTTTGGAGCTGTGTGGTGCCGTGGCTGGGTGGATGGGCGGGAGCTGGGTGGTGGAGAGGTGCAGGACTAGTGTCGCATGTGGTGGGCAGCAAGCAGGAGGGTTTGGCTGCAGGCTGGGAGCGAGCAAACAGCGGAGCCCGGGGTGAGGGGAGAAGCAGCCAGTTGTTTGTTGATGCTTCAGGCTCGGACGCAATAGAGGGGCCCGTGTGGTGGTGTGCTCAGAGGTGCTCAGATGGTGCTAGGACGGCGCTTCACAGCAAACGTGTGCTCGAGGGCGGAAGGAACCCGACAACGCGGTGACGACGGACCACAGCCAGACTCGGACGAGACGGGGCTGTCACGGCTGTTGGGGGAATAACCAAAGCAGAGGCCGGTGGAAAGGGATGGTGATGGCGGAGATGAGGCGTGTTTGCTGTTGTTAGGGGGACCAGGATGGCTTCGCTGCCGCTGGCTGGCAGGCAAGAGCGCTCTCTGGCGTCGCAGTGGGGCCGCGCAACACTGGGGTCGTCTGGTGCGTCGCTCTACGGGTATTGGTAAGGCTGGGCTATGGGATGCTGGATGAGGCTGTCGGCGATGAATGGGATGTAGAGAGGCGGTTCGGGTGAGAGGTCATGGGCAGTGGAGCAGCTAGTCCCACTGTTAAGGATTGGCACCGACCGCCCAGAAGGGTAGCCTCGAACCGCTAATTTCATGCGCTACGGGCAAAAGAGAGCACCGAAATGACTGCCCTCACCTTCAATAACAATATGGCTGCTTGGAAATGCACCCTCCTCGAGGACCGTCAGCACGTGTAGCGACATGTCACGGGCGCCAGTCCCCGCCGTCCACGAGTCCCTCTACCGCCCAAATTCCCTCACCCCGTCTCCGCCACAGGTGGCGCCCTTGCCTCTGCCTCTGCCAATGCCGTGAACCCTTGAAACTTGTCCCCCCACTGCATTGCCAGCGAACCGTGACTACTGAAGCTGCGTCTGTTGGCGCCTGCATCTTTCGGCGGCACTCGAGGGCTGCGTGGGGCGCCGGCCAGCTGCACGATGCCAACAAGGCTGCTGACAAAGGCGGCCCTCTCCTTGGGCTTCCCATGCGGTGTCACCACTACGGACTCGACGCATCTGACTCAACGTACGAGCAATTCACGCATTTCGGCCCAAATACACTGTGACGGGAGTGAAGTGGTACCGGATAGTTCTGCGGGGTGCACAGGGTCTTTGCAGTCCCGTATTTACACATTGTCCCGTCATGGTGAGGGCCATTGGGCACATGAAACTCGCGCGAAGCTCAGAGGTTGCGACCTCACAACGTGGGCTACACAGGAGAACCGCCAACCACCAGCCAATCCGCGCCCTGCCATATCAATGGCTGCAGCATTCTATTCTTCACTCTCGTTTACCTGAATAATTAACCCAACCCCATTGCTCCACAGTTTCGGATTTCGGACGCGATGGCCGCCTCTCCTCATGAGACAAAAGTCCAAGACTTCGCATCCGCTCCACCCGCGCCCGACCAGCCAGAGCGCTCTGCTTCAGATTCGGCCGCCCCTCCACATCTGACTATCGATACCCAGTTCAACGAGCAGAGAAGTCGCGGCCGCTCAGCAACTGCCACCACGGCGACTGCAGCATCGACGAACCGGGAAGACATCCTCTCCCCTGACCGCTTCTCAGTCGATTCTACCCTGCGCCGACGCATAACGCGATCGCATACCGTCAAGCACTACCAGTCCCCGACGCGCCCGTACCAGCACCAGGAACCCGGTGCTGAGCCTGGTGTCGACACCAAGAACGAGACCGACGGCGCCAACTACCACCACCTCTACGCGCGATGCCAGATTACCGTCGTAGACTTCTCCGACGAAAAGGTCGAGTGCCATGAGCTGGACAACGATACATTGGAGGACTTCCTCAACTACCCAAAGGAAGACTGGGTGGCATGTCGGTGGATCAATGTCAATGGCCTGTCATGGGACGTGATTCGTTCTCTGGGAAACCACAAGAACCTACACAGGCTGGCTATTGAGGATTTGATGAGCACCCAGAGTAGGACAAAGGTGGACTGGTACTCCGATCAGGCCTTCTTGCTCCTGACGCTGTCCAAACTCGTGCGGACGCCCATGGACGAGGACTCCGAGAGCGACTCCGACTCGGATTCCGACGACAGCGAACGACGACGGCACAAGGCTCGCTCACGCTCCCGCTCGCGACACCCTCAGAAGAAGAAGGAGAAGAAGAAGTCGCTGTACAAGAAAGCGAAGAACCTGCTCTTCCCCAAGAGCGAAGCCAAGAAGCAGGTACGCAAGGATGAGATGATGAGCGCATTGGACAACCTAGAGAAGCAACTCGACGACACGCCCTTCGAGAAGGTCAAAATATCCACCCCACCGGCCACCACCGCCGTACGCACCCTCCAACGCTACCGTGGCGGTTACAATCTCGATCGAATCGTATACCTTGAGCAGCACTCTGCCCTCACCGAGAAGCACCTGACCGTCAGCGTCGAGCAGGTCAGCATCTTCCTCCTCGCCGACAACTCCGTAATCTCCTTCTTCGAGCACTCGGCCGACGACGTCGAAGACATGATCCTCAAGCGTCTCCGCACCGAAGACACCATCCTGCGCCGCAGTCAAGACAGCAGCATGATTGTCCAAGCCATAATCGACGCCATAGTCGATCTCGCCATCCCCGTCGTAGCCGCCTACGAAGACGCTATGGGCGAGCTCGAACTCGACGTCCTCGAAGACCCCGAGCTGCACCACTCCCAGCTCCTCTACCTGCTCACCTCAGAACTCTCCATCCTCCGCAACACCATCCAGCCCATCGTCTCCCTGATCAACTCCTTGCGTGATCACAAGGCTGACCCCATGGCCCAAGCCACCATGATGAGCCAGAGTACCGCTAACCTCGCTACCCGCAAGACCATGACGCAAATCAACATCAGCCCCCTCGCACACACGTACCTTGGTGATGTGGAGGACCACTGCATCATGATCACCGCTTCCCTAGACCAAATGCGTCGCGCAGCCGACAACCTCATCGACCTAATCTTCAACATGATGGGTGCCTTCCAGAACGAATCCATGAAAATCCTCACCGCCGTAACCATCTTCTTCCTCCCGCTTACTTTCCTCGTCGGATATTTCGGACAGAACTTTGAGCGCTTCAACGGTGTGCAACACCACTCTGATGCCTTCTTTTGGGTCATTGCTGTGCCGGTTATGGTTGTTACACTACTGGTGCTCATGGCTGATCGTATATTGCGCAAGATTAGGCATTGGAGCGGGAAGCTGAAGAGGAGGGAGGCGAAGCGAAGGGCGGTTAGGAAGGGGAAGGTTGGGGGTAATGGGATTTTGGGGGATGGGATTGGGTTGAGTAATGGGGTTAGGGGACAGCAGGGGATGCATCATAAGAGGAGGCAGACTATGTATAGTAAGGGGAATATTGGGTCGTTTTAGGTTGTTGGCATGGAGTCACGTTTGGTGTTGGAAGGATGCGCGATGGGCGAGCCTTGTTGGGCGAGTACCAGCGGGCTGTTGTATAAAACTGGCACATTGGCATTTTGCGGATTATTTTGATAGATTGTATAGAAGATACCCTGTTTCACGCTCGCGGTTGTATTCTAGTGTGTCTACGGTCGTTGCTACTACCTACGTACCAGGGGCGGCTTCCTTCAGGGCGATGGCGTCATGGCGTTATAACATGCCTTCCCCAGCCATCCAGTCGTCCAACTCACCTGTCTACAACCACGACAACACTCTACGAACAGGAAAAATGTGACAGGCCGTCGACACGTCCGCTGGTGGCCTGATCTGCTGCCGCGGTTCGCATGTTCGGCCAGACGCTTTCCTATCATCAACTTCATGCTCGTTCCATGGGGTGAGCGAACTGAGGTACCATGGTAGGAACTACCTTTGTAGCTACTACCTAACTGTGCTAATCTTTCTGGTACCCGACTTTTAGGACGCAAGCTTTTCTGCACAGCACAGTCAAGTCCGCTTATTTTTTTTTTACAAAAAAAGATCACTATACACATTACTATGGACGCCACGAACGTTGGATGGACGAGCGTCAGACCGGAGAGCGATGAAGAGCGATTCGGTATGCGGTCACAAGAACGGCAAGCAGCCTTCGACAAGATTGAAGCCGAGCGTAGCTCTGTCGAGATCGATCGCGTGCTTTGGGCGTTCTGCCAGTTCGCCGACCTAGACTTCGTGAAGAGGTTGGCAGCGTCAGATGCTGTTTGGAATGCAGAGACCGATTTTCTGCGCACGAACGCTGCTATAGATGCCGTAAGGCTCTGGCAACAAAAGCCAGAAGTAAAGAACGACGTCGCATCCTCCAACGCCGTTGCACCCGTCTCCCGCCCCCATACCGCCTCCGGGAAAGCATCGCGGACAAGATCAGGACGAAGTGAGGACGGCCAAGAGGCCAGCCTTGGAAGATCAGCGGTTGTCGCAGCTCGCTGTAAAGATCGAGACGGCAACTTTTGTGCCGTATCAAGGACAAAGGGTGCAGAAGCGGTCAGTAAACTCCCTGTACGAACTGCATATGAGACAACAACTGACTTTGTAAACCGATCTTTAGGCCCACATTTATCCATGGAGCGCGTTTAGAGAAAAGAGCCCGGACCGAGTGGAGAGCTTTTGGGCTACCATGAGAATCTTCTGGAAGAAGGCAGACGTAAACGCATGGCGCGAGCAGATCTTTGTCGACAACAATGCGAGCTCCAGAGGCACAGAGAATGTCGCCAACATGATCTCGCTGACCTCGACACTACACACCTTCCACAATCAAGGTGCGTTCGCGCTGCGCCCTGTACAAATCTCCGACGACAAGAAGCAGTTGGAACTAGAGTTCCATTGGTTGGTCATAGAGGAGCGCGAGAGAGGTACCAAGGCCAAGCTCATGGACATGCCGGAGTCCTCAGAAGACCGGGCAGAGTCTGGTGACGGCTACGGCCCGTTTGCACGAAGGGATCCCAACGGCAGCCAGCTCCTGAAGAGCGGACATAGATTCATCATGTCCACCGACGACCCGGTCAACACACCGTTGCCGGACCCAGGTAAGCTTACCTGTACAAAACGCATGTGAAACATACACTGACTTCGTAATTCCATTCTCTAGGCCTGCTCGCTTTGCAGTGGCACCTTCAGCGTATCCTCGCGATGTCGGGCGCGGCTGGTTGGCGCGACGAAGCTTTCGATGACGACGACGACGACGAGGAGGATGCGGATGGCGTGCCCGCTCGGGATGTTGACGGCTGGATGCGACAACTCCCTGAATCACCCTCCGGCTATCAAAGCCCTCCACTGTCGCCGAAAGTGCAAGACGAGTAGATGGATTCTATAGCTCACTTACTTTATCCTAGTGTAGTCTGCAGACCTGTCGAGGTTTGTTCCTGTATAAATGGAGGGTGTTATGTCTTCGTGTGTGTGTTCTATGTTTCAGCTGCAATACTCACGATTTCTATTCGCATAAATACAAGACCCCAGGTAAACGAATGCGAACGCACTACGATGCCTCCGTGAAGGATGTCTCTTAAAATTTGTCTAGATGCCGTCGCTCACGTCGCGAAGAAACCCGTCCAAGTAAGCCTCAATGGTTTCGTCTTTTTGCTTGTGCTCAGCTAGCGAGTGGTGTCTTCTCATCAGAATCGCAGGATAATTATAGCTGCAATAACTAAATGAGCACTTTACCACGTACATGTGGTCCATAGCGTTGCTTCTGATAGTGCTTTCATTAAAGTGGCTCGCGAGCCCTGGAGGCGTTCCTTCCTTGTCATGCCATGGCGTCATCACATGCCTTTGGAGAATCTAGCCAGCGCAGCTAGCTGTACACCACACCATCACCAACAATACTCGAAGGACAGAACTTATACCACGCGCCTTAGAGCCAGACCTTATAAGTCTGAAGGGGAAATGTGTTCCGTGTAGTAGGTTACACATTACAGTAGCCTGATTTGCTGTCGACGTTCGCGTGCGTTGCAACCTCGTCCAAGGGAGACACTGATCACACTAGAGTCTACGTTGCCCTCAGGTCCCCTCATTTGCGTATTTATATCTTGATGTAGGCTGCAGACCTGTTCAGGCTTTGCCTTGCCTAAGGCGCTACTACCCGTAGATACGCCTTTCCAGCTGACCCTCAGCCCCCAATCATCAAAGCCAGAGCTCTGTTTCATTGGTTGCATCGTCGCGAATGATGTGCTTTCTGCATAATGCACAGCGCTGCGCAGCAACGCCAAGTCCATCAGGCTGAACCTTCTCAGGCTGGGTAGGCATCCATTCTCCCCCTCTGTTCTTCAACTCACCGGCTTGGAACGCTCCTTAGCCATTGATCACACCTGGTCTTTGCCTGCAACACGGACAAGCACGATACTGGAGCACCCAAATCGAAGTTTACCTCGTTCACCAATACCTTGACTGTGTCCTATACAATATGGAGACCATCGAAGAAGGACCGTCGGCTACAACGTTCAAGCACGAACCTCTTCCAGACTCAAACACATACATACGCTTGTTAGAGATCCAGAGCATCGAGAAAGATGATCGACTCATCTGCAATTTGACCGCCTGGCCAATCAAAGATGCTCCTGATTACATTGCTCTATCGTACGTCCCCCGCAAGCAAATCGAAGTCGTGCTTCATACTGATCGATCACTGTATCAGATATACCTGGGGCCCACCATTTCCAAGTCATCAGATCTTTATCAACGGATTCGTCTTCGCGGCAGGCCAGAACTGCGTCTATGCCCTCAAACAGGCACACGGATTCAAAGAGTATGCCGCCAAGGCGTATGCACTCAAGGCGCATGCACCCAAGGTAAGCGGGTACTTCTGGATGGATGCTCTGTGCATTGATCAAAACACTACACGGGAAAAGAGTCATCAGGTTGGAATGATGGCGCAAATATATGAAAGAGCAGTACATGTGTTGGCGTGTGTTGGACCCCGCACGGACAACAGCTCGTTGCTATTTCAACTTATTGATGTGAACTCTGAACTTCTGACAAAGATTTATTTGCCACTCCACGGAACTGAAACTACCGATTGGAGCGACTGGAAAATTCCCGAAGCCATCTCAGAGTCTACATGGAAGGGGCTTCGACCTTTGTTCCCGATTCATTCTAATGAAAGAGAATCGATAGCCAGGGCCTTTATTGCCTTCATGAAACGCCCGTATTTCTCAAGAGTCTGGGTTTTGCAGGAGCTTCATCTGGCTTCAAGGGTATCACTGTGCTGTGGCATGGCAGTACGTTCATTTGAGCATCTCCTGGCTGTCAGTGTTTTGATAGATCACTGGATCGTTACCTCCGAATGCGAACAACGCTTGTGCAACAGCTTCCCGGCTGTTACACATGTTTGCCATCGGCTATCATGGTACTCCCGTGAATGGAAGGACAGCCCAACATTACAAGAGAGCTTCCAAGACATAGAGCCTCAACGCGGCTGTCTTACTCTTGCTTGTGGATGTGCGGGACGTCGCGGATTGGGAAGCGTGTTGGAGGCCATGCTGAAATTCCAGTGTACTGACGTCAGGGACAAGTTATTCGGTGTTTTGGCTTTGATCGAATGGGGAAGTAGCAGACCCCTTGTACCAGACTATGGGAAAGACAACTGTGAAATCGCTATCGAGGTATTACGATTATATCTTGATCATCCCGAAAGCGCACCAAACTGGCATGTGGCTACTGAATGGCCACGTCTACTCCGGGAAGTCTTCAATATCAGGACTGCAGGCGAAACAATGCGTGCGTCGATAATTACGAGATTTAGTTGCACTACCATGCCACTTCATATAAAATCAGCGTACAATAACATCGGCATAGGGCCTCACCACGTGCCCAGCCTGCAAGACAGAGGACCATGGCAAAGTTGCCTGAACCTTCCATCCCCTCCGAGTGACGAGTGGTATGGAACACAGCTACAGGATACAGTAAGAATTGGAGATAAAGGTGCTCATCACAGAGTGTTCCGACAATACTTCTGCTCCGACGACAATCATCAAAGACACTTGACTGATCAGACGTGGCCACTGAAGAAGATCACGGACTGGAAAAGGAGGATTTGCGCGTATGCTCCGGTAGATACGAGACCCGGGGACTGGATTTTGACTAGTGAAGTCGCTTCTGTCAGGGGATGGCAACCCCTCATCGTAATGGTCAGAAATGTGGATGTTATCCGGGGAAAATACGAGATCATTGGCCAGGTTTCCGCAGAACGCATCGGCGAACATGGTACGTTTGCTTATCGTTACTGGGTCCCTTATAAGCCGCATTGGGGCGGAGAACACTTATACCATTTTCAATCATGTTGGAACGCAGAAGATCTATTTCTCTTCGACTGGATGTACATCAGTCGTTCATTGAGTCTCCAAACCACGGAAACAACACGCGACTGGCTTCGGATTCCAGTCTGCTCGAACGAATCGTCATCACACTTTTGCGGCCCAAAACAGTTGGAACTGGAATGCATCAATCGCCGCGAATACAACGTGTTCGGTACACCTCCAATCTGAAACACACTCTTATGTAATTCTTCGTAGAGCAGGACATGCGTATGGACGTCTTTTGCTGAACATGTGGGTGAGGTTCAAAAATTGGACGCCTAAGCGCCGGCAGAGGAGCCTGAAATTTGTGTCGCGCTTTGGAGAACATTATTCGGGTAGAAGCATACGGTGTCTTAGCAACTGCTTATTGATAGAGGTTGGGACGCATATATGCGACACGCATACTGGCCATTCCTAGTGACAATATTTAGGGATAGGGAGATTGTAGATGAGAATGAAATCTTTCCTTGAGTTGAACGACAGGAGCAACTTTCGAAAGCTTCTCTACAACTCTAATCCCGTAAAGCTTTTCTCCATGATCGAGCACTCTTACAAATATCACCAAAGAGACGATGTCTTTAGAGGACTCAATACTGAGTTACCTGAATTGTTCAGTGCATAGATCCATACATAGATCCATCTCCGAGCGCCCGCGTGTAGACATCTTGGATCATGTTGGGCGTGTGTTCGGATATGGACCAGCGGAAACCAGACTGTCTTACTGGCTCTTGTTCGGCGAAAAAGAATTACTGATGGACGGCTACCACATGATGGTGATGGCGAAAAATGCAGGCGAAGGCTTCATGGTGCACTCTATGATCAGTCAGGCATTCACAGATCGCGATTACGAATGGAGCATCTTTCCTCGATGGGTATACTTTGGCGTACACTGGCACACAGAGATCTGTTTTTCTTCGGCTGCATGTACGGGAACCTTCCGAGATATTCAAACGCAGCCACGAAAACCCCTAGCTAGTTTGAGGTAGGAGCCCACCAAGAACAGTGTCGCCAGCACCTCTTTCAAGAAAACACAAAACACCTTAGAGCCTAAACAGAGGCTAGACAATCAACTTTGCATATCTTTAGCTTAATGTAGTCTGCAACGCTGTCCAGAACTAGATAAACCCAAGAAGAGTACGAAGATCAATCTCCCAAACATACTATAGTGCTCTAAAGACCGAGTAGAGTCTAGCGACGGCTACGGACCTTTTGTAGGAAGAGATACCACCGGCAGCCTCCTTGCTTTGGTAGGCACCTGTAGCGTGTTCCCGCAATGTATGCTCGCGGCTAGTTGGCGCGACGGAGATTTTAAGAACGACGACGACGATAATACGGATGGCATAGACCAGACCGTAGTCTTAGCTAAAGTCGCACTGTGTTGTTTCTGAAACAACGATCTTTACACGCAGGATTTCGAGTACGTAGGACTTTTCGCCGAACTACCGTTACTATCTAATCACTTCAACGCGGAGCGACGATACAAGAATGAGTTTTGACACATGCTTCCATTATGAATACATTCATGTGCTGTCGTAAATTAGTCCGGAGATCTTCGCTCTATTGCTCAATGCGGCTCGTGACTTCGTGATTGTGCTTGACTGGTCGATGTCAGTACTTCCAGCACGTTGCGGCCGAACCCGGAGCTAGAGTACCCGCGAATACGACGATTGAACCATGTATTTTTAACCGCTACAAACACCAAACTCCTCCTGACACCCCTTCTCCATCTTACAGTAATCCTCCGTAATCCCGCAATTCCCATGCCTACTACAACACTGTCCCGTCCTACATATATACCCCTTCCCCTTCCCCTTTTTCTCATTCCCACACGTCAAATCGGGAGTAATCCTCTCCCACGGAATGCTGTCGTCCGCGGTATCGCACTTTGCGAAGGGTGTTTGGCAGCTGAGTCTAGATCTGGTAAGGGGATATGGAAGGCGAGCGGTGCGGTACCATTGCGAAGGTGAGGGTTCGCCGAGGCATTCCGCGACGGTAACAGCTACACGTCATTCATCAGTCAAAGTTCTTTTCTCGATGCACGGGGCTGGAGTTGCCAACTTACTCTTAATCCCCCTCTCCCTCACAACCGCAATCATATAATCAATCAACTCCCCCTGCGTCCAAAGCTCCTGATCATGCGCCTCAACAATACTCTCCCCCCTCTCCAGGCCCTCGACAAAAAGCCGCTTCGCCTCCCCAACCGTTTCCTTGGTCTGATACTTCCAGTCTTTGGTATTCAGATCCCCGATGATGACGTGGTATTCAAGTTCTTGCAGCACACGCAGTGCCTGGCTGTTCACAGAGAGCAAGGGCGGGCGCATGTAGTACGGGAAGAAGCCTAGGATATCCAGCATGGCGTCTTCGAGGAGAGTCATCTCGCTGCGTATGGCGGTGGGGGTGAGGGAGGAGAGGTTCGCGTGGCTCCATCTAGATTGACGAGAGATTAGTTGTGTTTCTTCTGGGTATGGCTGGCCCAGTTCTTGGTGGAGTGAAGTGAAGAAGGCAGGGTAAAGTAGAGTTTCTTACGTATGCGACCCAATCTGATGCCCCAAATCCACCATCCGGCGTAGCGTCGCATTGTGATCGTATATACTGCCCCTATTCTCTCCATTGATGAACCACGTCGCTTTGAAGCCCGCGACTTCCATCCTGGATAAATCACGTCAGCGTGAGTACCTAACTTGCCGACGTCGATTCAGTAATGATGGAACCTTGGAATGGGCATAATACCTACCGGTCGAGGATATCTGCAGAGTAAACTCCTGGTCCGTCGTCGAAAGCGGGGGCGATGACGCCGGGTGTTGTACATGAGTAGATTTGTACGCCGAAGGGAAGTGCGGAGGCGGATGATGGTAGAATGGAGAGAGCGGCCAGGGTGCCTGTTATGGAACCAAGTCTTGGGCCCATTGTTGAAGCTGGCGTATTGTTTGACAGAGGGTGGGAGATTGGAGTTCCGCGTGTCTAACGTGGGCTTTGGACGAAGAGGATGAGTAACAGAATAATTGACTTGCTAGTAAGCCGGCCCTGAACTTTCCCAACCTGTAGCTTATGACATGTGCATCGACTTGTCATGTAACACGAGCTAGAAGTTCGTGCTCAGAAAAGGCGTGTACGTGTTTTACGTTCCCACGTGGTCCACGATGACGGCTGGGCCGCCGGGGCCCTCCAGGGCTATATCCAGGTACAAACATGGTTGAGTAATCGTACATCGTACATCGCATTTACAAACCCGCTCTCTTGTGGAGCGTACGCGTGTAAGCACGCAAATATCTGAATCGCGGATCCAGATCTCGAAGTACACCATCAGCGTCGGCGCTTACATAGGCGATACTAAGGTTTAATTGTCCCGGCTTGGGGCTGACTACGACTGGGATGAACCCGTCTTGCTGGAAAGGCTTGAGCGGGATCTACAGCACGTGGGGAGTTCTGATTACTTTACGTTGTTGTAAGTGTATACATATGTATTGGGTCTCCTTCGGTGAATTGCAGTGTGGTATTCATTACGGTCTAAATCAACACCTAGGCTAGCGCGCTAGTCATCAACCCCATCGAGGACCTAACTTGCCGCATCACAACATGAACCAGATGAACGCCAAGTAATGCATATCGCGACATACATGTCCAAAACAGTAAGGCAACAAACACCATCCTCTAGTATAATATCAGTTTCCTGTGAACGGAATGCGCCTACTGAACCTGCTTGATCTTGCACTGCCATCCTGAGTTTGCCTCAAGAAGTGGGAGACTATTTTTACGTTAGCACGATCCTCAATCTGAACAAGGGTACACAAAGACTTACCTAGCACCCAAACACCATCCCAACTCGTTGCCCTTAATCTTCTTCGCAATTTTGACCTCACGGTCAATCGGCATACCATACCCACTCCTCAACAGCTCATACTGGAAGTTAAGATCCAAGCACCACTCCGGCCTGCCCTTGAGCTCCTCAATAGCCTTGGGCACAGCGTTGAAGGAATCCCAGCCCTTCTCGCCGGTGCACACCTTGTTGGCTAGATCCTGTAGCTCACGGAGAGTGAAAGACTCGGGCATGCCGAGGTCTTGGGTGCGGTCGTAGAAGTAGGAGAGGAGGTATACGGCTTCGGAAGCGAAGGTCTGCTCGAAAGGCGGCTGGTGCACACCGCGGAAGGCACAGGGTGCGATGGCGCATTCGTCGTCTTTGTGGAGGGTCTTCTCGGCTAGGCCGCGGCATTGGGTGGGCGAGGCGGTGGCGGGGCCGGTCATGTTGACTGTGACGGACTCGCCGAGTGCGTGGCCCTTAGGCATTTGCACTTCGACTTCGCGGGTCATGCCAGGGGCGATGCAAGGGTTGACGATGGGTTTCTGGAGGTACTCCTTGTTGTCCTTGTTGTTCTCGTGGAGGCCAGCGAGGAGGGTGCTGTGGATGTTGTTGCGGGCTTCCATGAGGCCGTAGCCTAGGTATGAGTGCTGGTAGAGATTGAAGTTCTGGTTGGCGAAGTCGAGCTCGTATCTGTGGTCGCCCTTTGCGAGCTCTGTGGGGAGTCCGCCGCGGGGAGTGTCTGGGAAGGTGGGCTCGAAGATGATCTGGGTAGAGCCACCACCGAGATCGAGGACAGCGGCGGTAGGGTTCTTATCCGGGCCGCCGATCTTGCCTAGAAGGTAGTTGACTGTGATCCACGCGTACACTCCCTCCATCTCGCCAGGCATGACTTCGACGCCATTCTTCTCTTCTGAGACGAGCGGGAACGGGTAGTCGTTGTCGAGGTGGTGGCGCACGGCGGCGAGGATGGCATTGCTCTTCTGCTCACCGAGCTTGCGGAGACCGGCCGTTGCCTTTACAGCGACGGGTGTGCACGACTGGTATTCCTTGGGCACGTTCTTCAGCGCAACGTCCATGAGCACGTCCAGACTCTTGGCAGCAGCCTCCGGGTTGTCGCCGTATGCCGAAAGACCGGAGCCTCCATCTCTCTTGGGTGTCATCTCAAAGTTCTCGCTCTCGAGTTCGGGGCTGGGACCGCAGTTGTTGAACTTGTAGACGTGGATGCGGGAGCCGGTGCTGCCGGCGTCGATCATGAGGGCATACTGGATGAGCGGCTTGTCCTTGGAGAAGGACTTTGTGCATTCGGCCTTTGCGTCGCCAGCTGCTGTGTTGCCGCCTGCTGGACGGGATACTGATAACAGTGTTAGCACGTGTCTCCCCCAGCATGTGTCCTCAACCTACCTGCCGGCCTTGAGATGCCATCACGCGGTGCGACGAAATATAACACAAGCAGTATGAAAGCAATGACGCCACCTGTCTTCAGGTAGCGCATGCGCTGCCCTTGGTTCATGACGGCGCTGCCCTTGTGGTCGTTCATGAATGCGTCCGAATACGTGGAGCGATGGCGCGAGTGTCTGTCGGCTTTGGCGTTGGGGTCGCTGGCGTCGCGATTGAGGTCGACGTTGCGAGGTAGGGAGACGGAGACGCGGCGGCGTGGGCCAGTGAAACTAAAGTAGGACCAGATGCCGGGACGTCGTTGGCTTCCGGGGACCTCAACTCCACTGGACATGGGACTAGGCGACACGAGGGGAGAAAAGGGTCCAAGTTTAGGGCGCGGTCATTGAGCTGAGCTGGAACCGAGTTAGCCAGGGACTTGTGGCAATGTGAACACAGTTACGGGCAACGTACAACAGGAGTGACTGTTCAGAGCAGTGGGAGACGAGGTGAAATTGCGATTGGCGTTACGCAAGCCTGCTGCATTCGTGTTCGTGTGCTTGTTGAGTGAGGTCCCTGAATCTTGGCACTAACATTTCCACTTCAGCCCTGCCGCGCCACTATCCAATCGCGCCGGCTTATCGGCGCGGCTATATTTGGCATCGCAGTCAAGTCGAGACGTGTATCTTTTGATTATGCTACAGATACACTATGTTGTCGCCGTAGACCCCTCCAGTGCAACATATGGTCTTCTGATCCGTGTAGATATCTTCCCCCGATATGTGATCTATCTCAAACCAAGGCTTCACTGCCTCCGCCCCTGTATACCGGCCTCCCATGCTGGCGATTGAGTGCGCTCACTGGCGGGGGTATCGTCTGCATAGCATGGAGAAGACGGGTAGGGTGGAGCGCTGGGAGGACGAGAAGCTGAAATCCTTTCGCGAGAGGTCTTGAACGGTCGCCATAAGCGCGTTCAATAGTGATATTCGTAAGGGCTTCGCGATGATCGTGCAGAGCGGCGTTCCGTGAGTCGCGCATGTTCTCTCGAGGCTTCAACCGAAAGATAGTCCAGCCCTCTTCATGACGCTCTCAAAGTCTTCGAGACTAACCCCTCCCACGTCTCTCTCCTGACCCTTGACCCCGCCGTTGGCCTCGATGATCATATCCTTCAAGACTTCGTCTGGCACGTCTTCTCGCAGTTCCTTCGCTACCCTCCTGAGATGCCCAAGCGTTATCGGTCCCGCAGCGCCGTGTGTGAACAGCTTGTATGCCGCGCTAACTTCTTCCGCATTGCTCTCTCCCTGGAAGTCTTCGTCGTCGTCCTCTTCGTCGGACCCTTGCTCTTTCGAGTGTATGGCGATCGCAGCGTAGGAGAGGAAGGGCACGAACTCGACATAGCCGGTATTGAGAGGGTCGATGGTGGATAAGATAGAGGACATCTCGGACTTGTCGGGTGTGAGGTTCAGCGAGCTTTGCAGTCGTTAGCATGGGCGCGCTGCTCTCGGGCGCATTCGCGTGACCTACATCAGGACCCTGCGCACATCGCTTTTCTTCAACACGCCCTCCTTAGAGTCTTCATGTTCGGGATGCGACACGGCAAAAAGACCGAATGCTTCGCGAATCTCCGCCTCTTGCGCCGCGGTGATGCCGTTCTCTTTCGCGAGCTTTGAGGGGCGTTTGACAGGCGGCGCCTTCGTGGGAGGACCACGTCGTTTGGGCGGCTATCACGTATTAATTGCTATCCATTACCACAACCTGCATTGCAGAACTCACCATGTCGCGTACTCCAGGGCTTGCGAGAGTTGAAACGCGCCCCTGTGCTGGTGCTATCGTTCGTCATTCCATGCGCTTCGATGACGCGACTGCATGGGCCACCGCCAAGGAGAACACAGGCCAACTCCCGAACACCCAAATTCTTCGCTTCCAGCCCCCCTCCTTCGTGTCTCAGCTTATAAAGGCAACGCGACTTCCTTCGTGTCCTTTCCTCACAACTCCCTCATTCCATCCCCGTTGCGGCTCTGGACTGCTCTTGTTGCTCGCCATGTCTTGACATGGCACAATGTCGACGCGTCGGACGCGATTAGCGTCGACATCTTCCACTATGAATTATCCACCCCCTGAACCCACCCATCCCCCTTGTGCCCCTCTGGTCTTGCGAGACGAGAGGTGGTTTTTCGCAGGCGAGGAGGTGAATGGACGCAATGCTTGACCGCTGCAAGGCGTGTCACAATGTGTTAGTTCACCCGATCGTCTGGGATTAGCACAGGCGTTGGCTTGGAGGGTAAGTCTGCTCTCAGTCCAGCGCAATGTCTCCAGCACTAACTAAGCAACCAGATTTGTTTGAATCGTCACGATTGTTGAAATCCACAGTGTCGCTAGGGGTGGAAGCTGCTTTGCAGAACTATCCCTAGGTCAGACGGTGGTCCTATACGAACCATATAAACCGAACGCGTCAACATTTCATGGACCTCGCAAGCAGGGGATTTCCCCCGACACTGAGATATGGGGTGTTTAGAGGCTGGACCTCTTGCTCACAACAAGAGCTTCGGCAGTCTTAGATCCCTATCTCAGAGGAAGAAGCCAACAGATATGAAGCCGTCTTCGGATGGTCTTCGACAGGCCGCATGGCCCCTGGCATATTTTGCTACAAGGCACCCGTGGGTTGACGCGTTCAACTTTGTGGCCATGCATGAAAGCCACCTGTGTGGAGGTTTTCCCATGAGCTGACCCTTCCCCATTGTCGAGGCTAGCGCGTGAGCGTGGGACTTGATGATGGGGCTGTGTTGTCGGGTGCATGGCCCAGAACGACTGTTAACGCCCTCTAACAGTCGGTTCCGCTGCGGCGGAATCGGAGGGAGCGACTCGCCCATACGTCGGATGCTACCCTGCCATCAGGCAATGGCCCCGGTCGACTACGCGAACTCCCCCTCCAACGATTGGTGGCAATGGATGGCTGTATCCGTCACTATCGACAAGGCGACGCACTACGTTCCAGCGCCTTTCGCGGTGAGGTTGCTGCAGCGGCCTCAAAAGCGAGAAGCTCTTACTCCGGGAGGCTCAACCCGGAGATAGGGCACGGAACAGGTCTGACCAACCCGTGCGGCATTGGAACCTGGAGTTCCAGCCGATCAATATTGTTACAACGCCTTCGGGATGTTGTCTGAGGGCTGTGGGCTTATGCTTCATGTCGACTTCGTCGGCATTTAGCTACTGAGGGCTTTTGAGCACATACACGTTATACACGCTGTGGTTCTATGGTTCGTCATACACGTTACACACGCTATGCACGTCATACACGTTACACACGTTATACACGTTACACATGTCCGTCCCGTGGGGTGTTGGCTTTGAGGGAGTTGTCTTTATCGACCTTCGACCTCTTCTCATCCTTTCTCCATTGTTCTGATGGGGGGAGAATGATTTCCGCTTCTAAAATTGCTAGAGCTTGCCGTTACGGATTTTCACGTTGAGCAAGTGTGGACAGTGAAGCAAGATTAAACAACCTCATCTACCCCCTTCAAGGTGGTGAGGCCTTTGTTCCTCAACCCCGTTGAGCCGATTTGATGGCTCAAGGGCGAGGAATGGAGGAGACATACTTTTGTTGCACCAAATTCTTTGGTAGTGACAACGTTTTGGATTTTCCACTTGCCGCCTTTGCTGTGATGTGGCGATGTCGCTGCATCCCTGCGTGGCTTCGGATGGCTGTGTTATTGTGCAGTCTCCGGCCGCGTAGCGAGGCCTGTCAGTTCCATAACCGCGCATGCTCATCGCATGGTGTTGATGATCGCTAGTAATTCTTCTCAGCTCTCACGCTCGCAACATCAATGCAACAGTCCATTTACTTTTCCTAATGCCACTCCTGCAATTGAGTGAACCGATAATGACCGCAGCCTTGCAGCTGCTGCCTAGTGCATGCATGGCTGACGCAACTGCACAGACCCATCTCACCATAATCTCCTTCGATTAAGATGGCTCTTCCATCCTCACTCTCATCGATTCACTTACTCACATCAACATAATCATCCACTCCATCCCAGAATGAGGCTAATTGACTGTTGTAGCGAACCCTTGCAGATGATCGACTTCCTTGGGCGCCCACCGCATGCGTTTGCCATTCTCTCACATACGTGGGATAGCGAAGAACTTACCTTCCAGGCTTTCCACCACCATGCCACGCGCTCCGTAGCCAAAGGCTGGACTAAGATCGAGCAGACGTGCCTTGAAGTCCAGCGGTGCGGCTTCAATTATGTTTGGATCGACTCATGCTGTATAGACAAAACAAACAATGCTGAGCTGACCGAGTCCATCAACTCGATGTTTCAGTGGTATAGCGATGCTGCCCTCTGTTTGGTCTACCTGTCCGATTACGATAATGCCGCCTCCTCGAGCGACCGGAACGAAATGTTGTGGGGTGCCCGCTGGTTTAAGCGCGGATGGACATTGCAGGAAATTGTAGCGTCGCGAATCGTACACTTCTACGACCATGCTTGGCGCTGCTTCGGCACGCAAGAAACACTACGAGACGAGCTGGCGTCCATTACGGGCATCGACGCAGGCTTTCTTTCGCCGCCGCAGCAGCCAGGGGCTTTGGAAATTCGTGACCTTCTCGACGCTTTACCAGTTGGTCGACGCATGGCGTGGGCTGCAGGCCGACAGACCACCAAACCGGAAGACATGGCGTACTGTTTAATCGGGCTGTTTGATGTTAGCATGCCCATGCTGTATGGCGAGGGTGCCGAGAAGGCATTCTTTCGTCTACAAGAAGAGATCATTCATAACAGCAACGATCTCAGCCTCTTCGCGTGGACGGCAGCTAACGGATCATCCACGTATCGCGGCATACTGGCTCGCAGCCCGGAAGAGTTCGCGAGCCTTGGCAATCTCGTGCTCGAGCAGGACCTCAGGTTCAACCCAGACTATTCCATGTCGAATAAAGGCCTGCGGATTGTCACCTTCCTGAAACCCACTGAAGACTCAGAAGACGTCATCATGCCGCTACATTGTTACACTGCTGAAGTTCAAGGAAAGAGAAAGGTACATCTCGGAGTAATTCTCAAACATGAAGGCGCTAGCTCGTACGTTCGCGCAAGACCTCATATGCTTGGCGAGTTGATAACGCCGACTTCCACCGCGGGTGGGAATAGCATCTTCGTCGCCAAATATGTGCGGAAGGCGGTCGCCACCGGTACACTCAACGGCGCCAGCAGGACTCCTGATGCCTTCTACTTCACGATCCCAAGCGTCAACGCTCCGATCCGGTCCAAGCGCCACAAGACAGTAAGGCTGCTCGAAGTCGAGCCTAGGGAGCTCTGGGATGCCCAGAACAATGTCTTCCTTACGCGTGGTTTGCGGAACTTCACCGCATTTCTCAGGTTCAACGTGAATCCAGACGTAAGTTCAGACCGCACGGGCGAGGTCGTGTTGATATGTGGCTTTGCTGAGAATGTCTCGCCGTGGGTCTTGTTGGACGATCAATATGGCGAGCTGTTCCGGGCTACACTGCACAAGGACTTTCAGGCAATGGGCAGGATTGGTGTGAAAGGACTAAGCTTTAGAAATCGGAGCCAAACCATGGATGTTAATTCTGGTGGTGGAAGGTCAAGACTTGCGAAGGTCCATCTGCGGTGTGACCAGGCTGTTCACAACAAAGAATTGACTTTGAAGTTGGACCTCGAATTCCACTAAGGCTTAGTCGCCTTTGGTTTGCCGTTTGGCTGAACCGTCCTCTAAGCAGGTGACATCTGCAAGGTGCTGAAGCCCTGATGGGTATTCCTTGGCTCGTGGTCTTCGGTACTCATGGCTGAAGGATGGTTAAGCTGTAGCTGAACAATCCCGCAGTTGTCAAGCAATCTCGGGTAGAAACCCCTCTCTGGTTCTCCCCTAGGGTTCATCGAATACATCAATGCCTTCTTTAACTATGGTCAAACCATCGCACCCTTACCACACTCTTCCCTACCAATCGAGAAACACGCTGCACCGGTAGATTCATGCTAGTCAGATCTTTCAAAAGCGCCAACCTTACTGTCTAGATCTATTAGGATAAGCGTACGGGGTATTTCTCTAGAAGTGTTAGGGTCACGCATCAAAACGTGCTGTGCTAAAGCTTAGTTTTTGGGAATCCTTTACACGTGTTCTGATATGTTAACGTTGTGCCAATTTGTTAGGTGGGGTACCGCAACCCATGCTAGCGTGGGCGAGGCTTGCAAGACCCCACCAGCACGTCAGGAAATCATACCATCTCCACCATATCCCGTCTCCCGGCGCGTAACGTTTCGCAGCCGCGGTGCGAACTCACGAATCACATCACTGGTATATCGGCATGCATCGCCGTTATATGATGGGCAGCGATATGCTTACACATGTCCTTCTATTTCGGGTACCTAGCGACCGCGCCGCTCTCCTACCGCGTGTGGCGTGGGAGCGCGCTATACTGATTGTCAGCAACTACGCCTGCAGCATGCCTGTAAACTCGGTACCACCTACCATGAAAGAATGATATTCCCGCGACTACTCCACAGGCACTAAGCTTCTTGAAGCACATAGGCTACTGTCGGGCGTAGGGCGGAAAAAAGTCCAAGGTTCGTGCGGCTCAATCAGCATGAAGTCCAGTATGTTATGGGTGTACTTCCTAGGTCTCGTCCCAAAAGCTGGATCCCTTCCTACTTGGTAGACCGTCCTTCATCACTGGTACAAGTAAGGTGACCTCAATATGACGTTTCTAGCATCGACACCTCTTCTCATCGCCGTCGGTACTATCGTATTCTACACACTCAGCCGCTTCTTCTTGCGTAGGAACGACCATGATCTTCCTCTCCCTCCGGGTCCAAAAGGCATTCCTCTCATTGGCAACATCAATGACTTACCGAAGCCTGGAATCCTCGAGTGCCATCATTGGCTCAAGCACAAGGACCTCTATGGTCCTATAAGCTCGGTCACGGTTCTCGGTCAGACCTTTGTCATCGTCAACGATGCGAACATAGCAGTAGAGCTTCTGAGCAACAGAGCGGCGACCTACTCGGGGAGGCCACATATGGTGTTCAGTGGAGACATGTACGCACCTGGCGCCTGTACGGAGCGATGAAATGGCTGACGAACAAGCAGGATTGGCTGGACAAAGACGTTGGCAATGCATCAACCTGACCAGAACTTTAAACATCATCGTCGCAATATTGCCAAAGTAGCCAGCTCCAGCACGTCTCTTGCGGTGTTCGATCGCGTCCAGAACGAAGAAGCAGCACATTTCCTCCTGAATGTCATGGAGTCTCCTAATGATCTGTTCGAACACATCAGGAAAGAAGCAGGTGCTGTCATTTTGAGAGTCACATATGGCTATACGCCAAACGCGAAGGGACCAGATCCACTAGTGGATGTAGCAGGGCAGGCAATGGCCGAGTTTGCTGACGCAAGTGTGCCTGGAAGGTGGCCTGTCGACGTCATGCCGTTCTGTAAGCTTGCCTCTATATCATCAGGCTACCATGTATGCAGTAACGCACGCTGACTTCGCAAAGTACGTTTCCTCCCAGACTGGTGTCCAGGTACCGGCTTCAAGCGTACAGCTCGGCAGATGGCAAAGACCTTGATACGCACGGCCGAAGAGCCCTACGCTTTCGTTAAGTCGCAGATGCAGGATAAGAAAGCGAAGACATCCTTCCTCTCTCAAGCCATCGAATCTCTCGGCTCAGACGCATCTATGGAGTACATCAACAAATGGTCCGCTGCATCCATGTACCTGGGTGGCGCAGACACTACCGTCTCGTCGCTGATGACGTTCTTCCTGGCCATGGCCGTCTTCCCAGAAGTCCAGAAGAAAGCTCAAGAGGAGCTGGACCGTGTGATTGGCGGAGAGCGACTACCAATCACCAGCGACAAATCAAGCTTGCCATATATTGAGGCCGTAGTGAAGGAGACGCATCGATGGCATCCTGTGGGGCCCATGTCAATACCCCATTCCTGCACGCAAGAGGATAGCATCAATGGGTATAGGATACCGAAAGGAGCGATGATCTTGCCTAACAACTGGTACGTATGATGTCCATGCGAGGAGCAGACGTATTCGTGGCTGACAGCATGTAGGTGGTTCACACACGACCCAGCCGTCTACCCCGATCCTATGACATTCCGTCCCGAACGCTACTTCACGACACCAACCCATATCGCAGAGCCCGATCCACGTACATGGACATTTGGCTACGGGCGTCGAGTTTGCCCTGGACGTTATGTCGCAGACAACGCTCTTTTTGCGACGATCGCGCAGTCGCTAGCTGTCTTCAATGTCGAGAAGCCTGTCGAGAATGGGAAGCTAGTAGAGCCCAAGGTTGAGTTTGAGCCTGGTGTGATAAGCCATCCAAAGCCGTATCGTGTGAACATCGTACCGAGGAGTGAGAAATGCAGAGAGTTGGTCAAGCAAGCGGAGGAGGTGTACCCATGGGGCGAAAGTGATGCTGAGACTTTGGAGAATCTGAGCTAGATGCTGATGAACGCGGCATGGGGCGTTCCGAAGTGGAGATCTAAGGTCGACAGGTACTCATCGCGCAAGTTCGGAAGTCGCGTCCAAGCAGACGGACTTGGCTGTTCACGCGTAATCATTGGATGGTGCCAAGGTATGTACTACTGCCGTCGATAATTCCACGTATAAGACACTTGTAGTGCAGTGATCACTGCAAGCCAAGAATGATGAGAATTGGTTCTGGGTACGGCATATGAAGTTGTTGTGACTGCCATTCGGGAAGTGGAGGATGGTCTATCCTCCTTTGGACAAGCGTTCCCGAACTCGAGCCGCAACCCAGGTTAATCAAACGCGTGCATGCACGCGCGCGTCACCAACAGAAAAAGAGGCTGGCAGCTACCCCGGCTTTTCACGCATTTACCCCAGTAAGTTCCCCGCATAAAGTGCAGATCTCCAACGAAGATACCAGAAAATTGACCGAGGCCATGCTTTTCAATTGCCGCATGACGTCCCAGTCAAGATCTCCGTTGCCGGCGACGCCCATAAACAACGCGCAGACTGCCTTCAAAGTATGGCAGCGACGATCCAACGCCCACGATGTTACCCTCAATCAAGTGCTCTCTTGCTGTTGCAGCTCTCGGTGCTTTTTTAAAGGCCGAGGCTGCTCACATCTCATCCAGGACAAAACCAATTGCGATTCCAAAGTCTGCACCCAACGATGCCGGTGTTCCCTTGGACTCTTTCGTATCCTATTCGTTTGAGTTCTCGTCATGGCCGGACTTTGCTGGTATGTCTCCTGCAATATCCAAAATCGTCACGACAGCTTGACTGACGATCACTGCTTGTAGGCAATCTGTCGCATCCCAATGCCTTCTCATACAACCTCATGAGCAACCTTGGCAAGCTGCAAGGCTCAATGCCGATTGCTCGCGTCGGCGGCAACACACAGTAAGACGTCCCCTTCATCGCGATTCTCTATACATGTAGCTTACTCAATAATTAGGGATATCGCCATCTTCGATGAATCGCTCGAGACCAGCATCGTCGGCATCATTCGCCCAAACATCTCCGCCGACTACCCAACGATCATTACTATTGGCCCGTCCTACTTCGAGTCCTACAAAACCATGCCTGAGGGCACGCGATTTGTTCACGGCTTCAACATGGGCGCCAACTCCAGCGCTGCAAGGGCCGCAACTTGGGCATCAGTTTCCTATGCCTGCAAAGCGATAGGAAGCGACCTACTGTTTTGGGAGTACGGTAACGAGCCCGATCTCTTCACTGCTTCTGGATACCGAAACGACAGCTGGGCGGAGGCCGACTATGTATCTGAGTGGCTGAATGGTACGACTGCCATTGAAGAGGCCACCAAAGCAGCATGCCCAGACCTCGCTGGCACCAAGTTCATGGCACCGAGCTTTGCAGGCATCGGAGTCAACGACTACTTCAGGTTGGACCCCGTCGAAGTCTTCAAGCAGGGATTGGACGAGAAGCAGAACATCGGCCTGATCGCTTCGCACAACTACATGGGTGTCTCCACCAACCCCGGTATCACACTACAAGGCACGTTGATGAACCACAGCAGTGTCCTCGCCAAAGCAGACGAACAGATCGGCGTGAAAGACGGCATCAAGGCACTGGGAGACGCGCTAGCTCCAAACGTCCCCTTCGTCATGGGCGAGCACAACTCGCTCGCCCGACAAGGACGACCTGGTCTTAGCAACAGCTTCGGCGCTGCGCTGTGGGGTGTAGACTGGAACACCTATCTCGCGTCGCAGAACCTTACCCGCTCTCACATGCACCAAGGAACAAACTACCGGTAAGTGACTATTCCACCAGCATGAAACCGTTCGTGAGCTAACAGTGTCCTCAAAGCTACCAATCCTGGCAGCCAATCGAGACGAACCTCACAGCTCGAGGAACAAAGCCGCCATACTACGGCAACGTCGCCGTCGCAGCCTTCATGCACAAGCCTTCATCCGAGTCTGAACTCAAGATCTCCTCGCTTCCCTCATCCTCCATCTACGCAACCCAATACGCCGCCCACGTCGACGACACGCTCGCCCGCATTCTCCTCGTTGATCTACACACATACAACACGACCGCCGATAACAACTACACCACACCTTTCACACGTCCGGTCGAGAAGTACTCGTTCCAACTCCCCAGTGACTGCAAGGGCGAGGCGCAAGTGCAGAGGTTGTTGGCGAACGGAAGTGATGCTATTACGGGTATTACTTGGGATGGGTATAGTTATAACTATGAGCTTGATGATGGAAAGCCTGTACGCATGGATAATGTGACGTGTGGGGAGAGTGTGAAGGTGGATGGGAAGGGTATGATTAGTGTGGAGGTGCCGTGGAGTAGTGCTGCGATTGTTAGTCTGGACTGCTGAGATATGTTGCGTACTTCTAGTAGTCGAGATAGATCAATTAGGGATCTACCAAATTTGTTTTTCATGACGGTGTGCTTTTCAGAAAATCAAGGTGATGCCTGGCATAGACTCCGCATGTTCAGCTAACCTCTACAATTGAACTCAGCGACGACCTCACATCCACAACCGGGTTTCGGCCGCGCAGCTTCTACCCAACCACACGGACTTTCGCAATAGCAAACCGGCGGGCTTTCGCAATGTTAGTGTGACGAAATAACGAACACTGAGTGTACTTACAACATCGCAGCAGGCGTAACCTTGATCTCCGCAGCCTTGTCCGCAAAGTCCCGCCTGACTCCATGCTTGAAATCCTTCCATATAGGTTCCCACTCCCACCTCGTACTATTCTTGACATCCCCACTCACACTCACCATCGGCACATTCCCGCCTTCCCCATACCCCAGCGCAAACTTCTCATACAACAGCGTGAGAAACGCGTCCACCCACACTTTCTGACACTGAATAACAACCGGATCGAGCTTGAACTGCGTGACAGGATGTAGTCCATCTCCGAAAAGCTGGAAAGGGAGGGGAGCTTGGAAGTGCAGATCGAGGTAGTCAATGGTATCAATATCCGTCAAGACACGCAGGCTATCCCCTTTCCCAGCGGGAAGCGGCGCGAACGCCAGTTCAGCGGTGGTTTTATACCCGAGAAGACGGAGGTATGCGCGGTCGCTGAAGTTAAGCGAGACCCGACGGAGTGTGTTGAATGCGTGGGTGGAGAGGTGGGGGATTGTACGGGTTAGCGTTGCTACATTGCCGAAGTTTTTGGTTGTGCTTTCCCAGATTGTCTTGCGGGCTTCGAGGCTGAAGGTTTTGCTGATGAGGAGGAGGGTTTTGATCCGTTGGGTGGAGGAGCGGGTTGAGCCGTAGGGACGGTGGGATTGGGGATAGTGGCAGGATACTCTGTCTCGGAGTCGCGGGGCGTTGATGGACAGGCCCCGCGGCCAGGTGTTGGGGGTTGGTTGCGCGTCTTCTGCAGATGTGGGAAGTGGTGTGTTGATTTGATCGTGTTGTGATGCAGGTGCTGGATCATATGCATGGAGGCCAGCATTCCGGGGTATTTCCGACTCTTCAGCAACTCGATAATCAGGCCATAATACCGGCCCTATCGATGCTTCAAAGACCATAAACCGCAGTTCAAGCGGAAGGTCCATGAACCGGAACGATGTATGGTAACGATCGAACCACTCATCAAGTAGGCCACGGTGCGTGACGTCCCCACCATATTGCTTTATCAGCCAAGATCTAGCAGATATGAACATGTCCTCAGCCATCCCAGAATTCTGAATATCGAGCTCCGGCTCACCGTTGATGGATTTCCATTGCGTAACTATGTCATGCCTGGCCGCACTCCCGTCTGACCCTGTTTCGACAATCGTGAAGTATTGAACAACACGTTTAGCATGGTAAAGAGGACGAATCCCAGCGCGTCGCTCGATTCGAACGCCATGTGTATTCGTGTAGAAAGTGAAACTATTCCGGCGCTCTTCATTCAGTATGAGTCTTAGTCTTGGCAGTGCATCTGGTATGCTCTTTAGCTGTTCCTGCTTATTACGTCAGTCTTGTTTGGTAGAAGGACCGATGGCACGATAGCTTACTTGCACAGGGCTCGGCGGTACAGTACCAGGAGGAACCCGGGTTCTGTCGACTACCAATTGACTGGCATGGTTGGGGCTTTGCCAATATGGGGCGTGAACGGACCACGCGTCAGACATTCTTTGACGGTATGATGGATACTGTTTGGGGTATCAAGGAAAGATGGTAGTGCGCATGGTATACATCCTCATCTATGGGTGGAGTGGCGGTGTGGTGGCGTCCTTTCCGTGGGTAGTGGCGGGTCGCCATCCACCATGCGCTTTGACCACGCCCCGCACTTCCCGCACCGCGACCTCAACACCGGCACGCTATCGTGATGGTGTTGTACGGAAAGGGATGGACCATGACATGACTGAACACCGTGGGGCCTGCTTCGCTAGACCTGCTAGTCTGCTTGGTTCACGCTAGTGTAGTCTTCAGATCTGTTCGGCTTTGGCCTTGAGTGAGGTGCGTGTGGTTGCGACATGCCTTGTCCTACTTCTCTGGTGCGCAAACTATGCGCGTGCTGACCCGCGCGAAACGATCCAGGCGGCTTGATTTGAGTAGGTACGCGATAACTCACAGCTTTGTATTACTCCAACGCGAATCAAATACACGAGAAAACAAGTCCTCTGCCTACCTGCGGTATCCGGGCGGGCTCGTTCGGGTGCGGTGGTGCCAACAGCTCAGATTGCTGCCTAATTGAACTTCGAGTATCTTGGAGAAGCGCTTACCGTTTTACGTAGTATGAATGGCTGCTGCAGGTCTAGTTCCATGGAAGCCTTCAAGGTCGCGCCAAACATGGGAAACCGTACGTGGCCTCAACTGCAAGCTTTGTATTGCGCATCATCCTTTACCTTTTAAACTCGAACCAAGCCGCGAAATTATCACCAAACTTCCGCCCAGCTCTACACAACTCTCTCAACACAATCGCCACCCTGCGACACCAGCCACTGAGGCTCTCAGACCCGCCCAACGATCCCGCCTTCAAGCATGCCGTCCTTGCTAACACTCCCACGCGAGCTGCGCGACCTCATCTACGAGTACTACCTTCGTTGCGATGGTGGTTACATATACCATGCGGAGTCCCGAAGGATAACGCAAACGAACGGGAACGCGGTTTGTCACGCACTGGCCCTTACCTGTCGACAGACCGCGTCCGAACTAGAAGGTCTAGCTTTCAATCTGAACGCAATTACCTTTTCAGCTACGTATTCGGAATCTTTGCATGAGCAAGCGGCGCTTCATCATGCCGTTGTCCTCATGCTCAAAACTTCGAAAAGAGGTTTGCTGGAACAGATAGCTCCCAAGCTGTTCACACTCGAAATGGCCCAGCGAGCTAGCGAAGCCTACCCACAGTTCGCTGGACTTATCGATACCTGGGTGACCCAGAACGACATGAGGTCACTTTGGGGATATAACAACACTTTCGGCGAAGCTCCGTCCATTTGGGATGACTTTGTAGAATACATTCTGGATCTGGTCTCAGAACACCCCGCCTATACCGAAACTGTCAAAGCTATACCGTCTGGCCTCGGAGGCGTAGAAGAAGGCCGCAATGCATTGCAATTGAAGGACCTACGCCTCCAACCTTGGCTCGTTGTCGGTCTGTCGGATCTCAAACGCATGTCGAACGTTATTCTTAGTGCTTCCGGAACACCGCGCTATTACAAGAAGACGCGATATGCCTATTCCGCGGCTGCTTTGGCACTACAATTCCTGGCCTCGTTATCCGAAACAATCCGACTATCCGTCCGGAAGATCGTACTCGAGGAAGACCATGTATCAGTAGCGCGACCAGAATCTCACGGCCGAGGTTTCATAAGCGTATGCCAACTGAACAGGAAACTCCAGGTTGAGCGCCGTGTACATCTGTGGACAACGGTATTCCCAGTCCGATTGAGTGAACGCTCTCGATACATAGGCGGTGCTGAGCATGACATGGAAAGCAGTGGTGTTCAGGGTGATCGCCTGCTTGCGGTCGACGTTACGCGATCGGTGGGGAGCTGGATAATCGAGGCAATGATGTTGCCTGGCCTAGGAATGCCAGATGGTTCCTACTCACTGGTTCTCGATGGGAATCCTCTGCCAGAGCACACATCCAAGATATTTCGAATCCTCCAGCGCGATGCCAGCTGGTGCATAGCCATGGATACCGCCTATTCCAAGGGTCACTTCCCTGATTTGTCTTGGTTACGGCGACGTCGTCATTCTGGCTTCCTGTATCGAGGCCTCCCCCACGCCATCCGCACGCTCTCGACCGAAGCCGCTCCTATTCGATGCAACTTCAATCCTGGGCCACTCTTTGATATCGAGAATATGTTGGAAGACCGTCGCGGGTGGTGGTTGGAGAACTGGGAGCGTGATTGGCCAAAGCACGAAGTTCGCGAATTTCAAACCGAATCGCCGTTGCCGCCGTGGCATGTTCTCCATTGGAAGCGAGTCCTACCTGGTGCCTCCATCTGAGGTATATAGCTATAGCCAGGACAGGTCACTCATAATCATCGTTGTCTTCTATAAATCGTGGGCGAGATTGATGGAGTCAGTCCTATAATCTACTGTTAATGCCAATTCGTAACATGTTGATATGGACGCTCGTTCGCATTGTTTTGAGCATGCAAGTAGACTACCTTTGCTATCGGCGAACCGCACCGCATTGCGAAGTAGTCAACTGACACCCGGATTGGTCGGATGCGCTCGTCGCATTGACGGTGCTGAGGACAGCTGTTCATCGTACCTGCAATGATTGAAGAGACAGTGCCGTCGGTGGCCATGGTCGTAGAAAGCCTGCTGTTGTGTGTTCAAAAGCGTCAGAGCACGCGCTGCGATTTTGTAACTCTGACAATGAAGCTTCTGGATTGGTAGTTGGTGAGGGCCCCGGGGTCCATAGGTGCGACGCGTGTGTGATGTCAGGTGCTAGCGCGATGTTGCAATCGCGTCGCCCGAGCGTTCGTCAGCCTTCCGGAATGTTCTACGTCATCTTCTTATCTACCACAGCACCCCGAACAACGCCTTCACAGGTCCACGAAGCGCAATACCACTTAGGCACTGTCATAGTCGTCTACAAATCTCCTTCAATATGGACGTCGAACTGTACGTGTATGACCTTTCTCAAGTAGGTGGCTAGAGCAGATGCACATGCGCCGTCTTTCGCGACGCTTTGCAGACGTGTTCAGAGCTGACAGCATCTAGGGTCTTGCGCGAAGCATGTCGCGGCAATTCTTGGGCATTCAGGTAAGCCAGATTTCTTCCAATACTCGGTACATCCGCTGACACATCCTTCCGAACAGATCGATGCCGTATATCACACCTCAATAGTACTCGACGGCATAGAATACTACTACGGATCAGGCGTGCAGACATGTCGCGCAGGCACCACACACCACGGGCGACCGATGGAAGTAATTAAACTGGGGCAGACTGCGCTTCCAATGGAGGTCATATTAGAGTACCTCGAGTCTCTGAAGGAAATATACACGGCCGAGGTACGGTTCCGTTTAGCACTTTTGCGCAGGCTATGCTGACAGTCCATCCAGTCATACGATCTATTTGCGCACAACTGTAACAACTTCTCCAACGACTTCGCCATGTTCCTTGTCGGGAAAGGAATACCAGACCACATCACTTCCCTCCCGCAGACCGTCCTGAACACGCCGTTCGGACAAATGCTCAAACCGCAAATCGACGCCGCTATGCGACCCATCGTCCAAGCGCCCACACCGCAGCCGGTACAACCGCAAGCCCATACGAAAGCGTCGACTGCAAGTACATCCAACGGGGTCTCTTCTGGGGGCAGCGCTTTGGAAATGAACACGGGCAGGGTCAACAACATAACAACACTGAAGGACGTAGACCGCCTTCTCGATCTCGCGAAAGACCGTTGCGCCATCATCTTCTTCACGAGCTCCACATGCGCTCCATGCAAGCTGGTGTACCAACCCTACGACGACCTCGCCGCCGAGACTGGCACCAAGTGTGTCTTCATCAAAATCGACTTCAGCCACGCCGATCGCTCCATCAACGCCCGCTATCCCGACGTTCGCGCGACCCCAACATTCATAACATACCTCAAAGGCGAAAAGCGTGACGAATGGAGTGGAGCTGATCCCAGGCAGCTGCGGAACAACGTGGAGATGCTGGTCAATACCGCGTTCCCAACGCACCCACATCTCGAGAAGAGCACACCCATGCTGTTACGGCAAAGTCAAAGGCCTGTCAAGTTCACCAAGGTGCCGCCACTGGAGAAGCTTGTCGCGAAGATGGGAGATGCAGGAAAGCAGCCAGCTGTGTCGTCAGTTGTATCTTTCATACAGACCCGCGAACAGTCTGGTGCCATAGAAGCACCTTTAGGAGATTTGCCGCAGTTCGCCAGTTTCCTGAGGAGCAGCACCTCGATACTTCCACCAGAGCTTCTGTTCACGGCCCTGGATCTGCTCAGGGTGGCCTTAACCGACGTGCGCGTGGCCGGCTTCTTTGCGGAAGAACACAAGGGAGCAACTGGCACACCGGCCACTATACACCATCTGCTGGACCACGTCGACAAGCTAGGCGATTCCGCACCTTACCCTTTGAGACTTACCACATTGCATCTCGCATGCAATCTCTTCTCGTCGCCACTCTTCATACCGCACCTCCTCTCTCCCCCGCTCTCATCAACGCTCATCTCCATCCTAACAACCGCCCTCCTCGACGAGAAGCACCCCGCGCTCAAGGCCTCGGCTCTCAGCCTAGCCATGAACCTCGCGTCTTCGAACCACCACATACGCATGAAGAAGCACAGCGCAAACCCGTCGGCCTCGTTATCTTCCGAGGCCGAACTGCCGGACGCGGAGCAAGGCGAGCTTTTGGCTTCGCTGCTGGAGAACATTGGCACCGAAGCCCAGTGGAGCGAGAACCAGAAGATGGGTGTTATATGTGTTGGTTGGTTGGTCTATGCAGCCGATATGCAGGGTGAATTGAGGGATACGTGGAAGGTTATGGACGCGGCGGGTACGATTGGGAAGGTTCAGGCGAAGGCTGGTGAGGATAGCTTGATGGTTAAGGAGGTGAAGGGGTTATTGGAGGTATAGCATGTAATAATAAGAGGCACCAACATGGGCTGAATTCCACTTTTTTCCAATAATGCGATGGGGGGTGTTGAAGGTGAATCGCCGACCCTTGTGTCATCACGGATCCATGGTACGCTGGCAATTTCACGTGCGCATTCGTAATGCGCCCACCATAGACTTTTCGGACTCAGACTATTCGCAGTCACATTTACATCGCAACGATCATCGGCCCAGCCTGCTCACCTTTATCATCTATTCCGCTCACTCTCGCCCCTTCGTGCCGACATCATGTGCGACGAAGACTCCAGATACCCTTCGGTTGCAGTCCCGCCAAGTGTCTACAAGGAGCTTGCATCACCATACCGCAACGAAGATGAGATGGATGACGAAACCATTTCCGCACTCATAAATGAGTATCATCTGAGTCAAGAAGCTGTCCTTCTGAAGCTTGGAGGCTCAGAAGCAAAGCTGGTATGTACGTCCCATCGTCTTCTTCCATTACTGCTAACGTTTCCAGGGCCCGATCCTCGCGCCTCTGCAATGCATACTAGACGAAGAATGCATACGAAGCCCTACATTCGCCACAAGAGTTTCCAACTGCATGATCATACCCGTTGCACAGTAAATACTTGTCACCGAAGTCGGTTATTATTCGCATTGCAGAATTTATTTCCACGCTAGTAAGGCTAGATTTAATCTGTTCGTACGGCGAGGGCACTTGCAGGACGCATCAGAAGTGGAGTTGTACGAAGAAGATTCTTATCCAGGCTCACAGTGCTACTGGGTATCTGCTAGGCAGTGGATGAGAGACCTTTACAGTGGACATGCTGTCAGACAGACGGAGCTGGAAGTATGTCAAAACAGCACAGGAATGCCTTTCCGGTTTATGAATCTGCCTGCGGGGCTGCGATTGCTGGTATACAAACTCTTAGTCGGGAAGCAGATTTGGCCGCATCTTGCTAACCGCCGATCTGATCCGGGAATCTGTAATCACGAAGGCCACAGCCACCACGGGGCTAGCCGAATCATCTTTGACAAGAATAAAGATTACTCAAAAGGCCTCTTCGATACTACACACCCGATAGCCTTCGCTACGTACCAGAGGAAGGTCGATCCGGTTGGACTCTGCGCCCCGCCAGAAGACTCGCACGCCGAAATTGGTGCGACACGGGCGGACGAGATATCAGCAAACAGCTTGATGCTTGTCAACCACAAGGTCCGTAAAGAAGTCGCAGTCGTCGTCTGGGGTATGTCTAAAAAGCGCTTCAATCTACTCTACGTCCTCAAAGACGTCGTCTTATACTACAAGAGCTACTGCACTCAAAACGAACAATTAAGTCCTGAGTTCTCTCCCCACGGCTACTCCCTCCTAAGCCATATATCACTCAGTCTCACCAACGACGACTGATGGTGGTAATACACTAGCTACAATCGTCAAAGATGTGGAAGGTTGTTATTCATTATCAAGTTTGAGGCTCGATCTTCAAGCAGATAACTAGTCAAAGACACGGTGCAGTCGAAGCATATGCCATGGTGGTAATGGGGCTGCAGTATCGAATCCTTCCTGTTCGTGCATGTCCCAATTGCGGTCCCAGTCTTGTGCAGTCCAGGAGCTATGCTCCTCCAACAGCTTTTCAACGTCATACGAAGGGCCTAATTCGAAGTTGCAATTGACGGGAGCATCTTCTTTCGCCAAGTTGTCGATGATACCCGAGAGGCCTTCGTATATATGTGTGACCTGGAGCCGGCGCTCCTGCCAAGATGGTGTTGGCAACATACCACGAGAATAGGCCGTGTCCAGGGCACATTGCCAAGCGACATCTCGTTGTAATACCCGGAATGCGTCGGCTGTAGGTGTATCCGGTGAAGTAGGCTCGCCTTCGAAGACAAGACGAAATGAACCCTCCGGCATCCCGAGATGGGGCAAAGCCAGGGCTTCCGCCATCCAGGAGCCAACCGCTTTGGAGATGTGCTTAGAAAGCAAGCGATCATTTCGAATTCTTGTCAAGGCCCAAAGATCTAATTCACCATTTTCTCCACCATTTTCTCCACAACGCAGACTTGCTTCCCGATAGTCGAACTTCCGATACGGCGTTACTGGGAAAGCGTTCCGCCAAAGACTGACAACGCGCTTGACGCGAAGCTTTGGATTAGACTGACACAGTTTAATAAACCCTCTCCCATGACGACTGGGATATGCCACAGATTCGCGGTCTTCCAGAAGCGTTATGCTTCTTATCTCGCTTCGCAGAACGTCTGGCAGAGTGTAAAGGAAGCGAAGCGCATTCGAAGCCGCAGAGTATGTGAACTTCGTGTTGGGTTCGAACTGACTTCGTTCGAGCTTGTGGTTGATGATACTTGCTAATCGCTCAAGCTCAGTGAGATCAGGAATGAGCCAAGGTTTTGGTGACTCATCGTTAACTTCAATTGCCCGGCAGATGATTTCTGGTACCCGTCGTTTTGGTGCAGCGGGCGCTCTTGCTGCGAACCAAGAATGGCTTGGTATTAGATCCAGAATGCGGTTTACGAAAGTAGGAATGAACCAAGGTCTCAATGATGTATGATCCGCTTGATTGGGGCGATGCGTATCCCACATCCCGGGTATAAAAGAAGCTCTCGTATCGAAGCAAGGATGCTTTGACATCAAATCCAGAATATGGTGTTTAAAGTCCAACCAGACCGAAGGGGCCTCCCCGCAATGGAAACTCTTTTTGTGAAGGATAGGAACATCACTTCCTGGGGTCCAGCCGTCGAACACCGGCGCAAATTGTGGATACGATTTGACCGCCAGCTCCACCTAGAACGACGATGTACGAAGTCAGCGTAGGTCTCACACGCATCTCGTACAAGGGGGATCCTACCATGTCGCGGGTGAGAAGCTGAGACACAAGCGAACGAAGCATGATATGCTTTCGGTATGCAAAATCACCCACCACAGCATGATGTACACCTGCAGCCACCTGTTCGCGCTGCAAGTCAGACGTTGAAAACGTAATTGTGTTGATGCGAAAGGCGAGACCTCGAACTTCGCACGCGACCTGTCGACAGGTAAGAGAGAGGGACAGCGATATAGGCGAATGATCGGCCTGCGTGAGTTTTTCGAGCTCGGAATCGTAGAGGTAGCCGTTTTCGACTGCAAAATATTGCTCGTAGATCATATCGCGAAGTTCGCGCGGCAGTCGGAGGAGGCTGAAGGACATCGTTTGTATAGCGTCGCGACTCGGTTTGGTGAAGTATTGTGGGATGAGGAGACGAACGTAACGGAGTAGAAGTTTGAGTAGTTGTCCAAAGTGCAGAGATGGGGCGCTTTTCGCAGAAGTGTACTCTGGTGCGTGGAGCCGCGTAGTTTGGTAGAGAGGCCCGCTTCCACACAAAATCTGCTCAGCCACCCGTGGACGTCCCCAGAGTTGTTCAACGCTTCGCACCCCATACAAGAAAAGAGCCAAACAGTTTTACAGACTACATAAAAGCAAAAACTTGCAAAGTATGCGACCTCACGTAGACGTAGGCTCTAGGGTGTAGAGCTTTTATGCTAGGTTGGCGTGCTCGGATGGAGTTGCAGGTAGTCAGTGCGCACGCGTTACCGTTCACGGGCAAGCCTCGGCTCGTCCCACCCGTGGACCTTTCGTACTTTTCCCCAATCTCGCCACAGCAATAACGACGTATCAGCACGACATGCAGATATATCGCAGTAACATCACATCAGTCAAGAGGATCGGTGAAGCAAAGGATTCTATTGAAGTTGATTGTAGATTACATGCTTGATAAATGCCTTGGCCGTTAGTTCGCAGTTGACACTGAATGCCACTCTTGTTCCAACAAATCCCAAAGCCTAGGGCTTCCAAATGACATGTCCCCAACGAAGCACATGCCAAGGTGGTAGTGGTGGCTCGGTCTGAAACACCCTCGGCTCGTGTGAGCCCCAGCCCATATCCCACTCTAACTCAGACCATCCTTTGTGCTCTTCTAGCAGTTGCTCAACATCGTGAGGTGGAGGAACCTCAAAGTTGGTTCTGATGAGCGAGCTGTTGGTGGAAAGAGCTCGAACTGCTTCTGGTAGTCCTTCATAGATGAAGCCACTGGTATTTAGTCGCCGATCGAGCCAGGAAGGTTGCGGTAGGAGTCCCCGGGCGTAGCAAGTATCGAGGGCGGTCTGCCATGCGACGTCGCGTTGGATAATGCGGAAAGCGCGGGATGAAAGCTCTGGCACAGGATCGCCATCGAGAACGAGAGTGAAAGAGCCCTGTGGCATGCCGAGTAATACAAGGGCCTCGGCCTCCTTCATCCACGTACCCACCGCCTTAGTCATGTCCTCGGCCTCACATCTGCTGAGGAACAAATACCCTTCATCACCTCTATCAAACAAGCTTTGATCGTTTTCCAAATAACTGGACAAGCTAAACGAAGCGATAGGGAAGACATTGCTCCAAAGACTGGCGCGGCGTTCAACTTTGAGCTGTGGATATGTCTGACAGAAAGGGATGAATCCTCTGCCATGGCTCTCAGGAAGCGATATCGATTCGCGGTTCTCAATCAACAGGATCTCCCGAATGTTCTCGCGTGTAGTCTCGGGCGCGGAGTGCAGAAAGAGAAGAGCTCTTGAGGCTGCCGAATAGGCGTGCTTTGTGCGAGCAGAAAGGTGGAAAGTGTCGAACGGCTGTCCCGAGATCCTCCGCAGCCTCGCAATTTCCGTGCTGTCTGGGATTTCCCAAGGCCTAGTATCAACATCGCTAACCAGATGATATTCGTTGTTCTTGAACGGCAGCTCAGACCATACTCTAGCGTTCTTCAGAAATTCAGGGTGCTGAGAGACTAGAGCCAAGGTGAAGGCTACAAAGTCGTGCCAAATGGATGGAGCCTCACCACATATCAGGTAAGGCCTGAACAGGGTGCGATGGATTATCGAGCGACGCGGCGACTGCCAGTGATCAATCACGGGCGTGAATTGCGGATATGCTTCCCTCGCCGTCTGTGCTTGCTCTTCGCTGAGATAGTCATGCGTTGCGTAGTTGAGTATGGACTCTTTGATGTAGCGAATGGCATTGTTGCTTGCATGGAGCAAGACGGCATCTTCCTGCGTGGCGCCCGAGTGGAAAGTCGTGAACCGAAGTGTATTGATCCGCAGGGCAAGGCCATGGGTTTCGGCGGCGATTTGCCGGCAGCTCAGCACAAGAGACAACTCGATCGGTTGATCGTCGGCTCGCCTCAGCTTGTTCGTTTCGAAAACGTGTGTATAGTCCCCATCACAGCTGAAGTAGTAGTCGTAGATGCGATTGCGGAGCTCGCGCGGCAGTTTTAGAAGAGGCGACGTGATGGTGATGGTGTCGTTGGGCATGTTCGTCCTTTACAGATGCAGCCTCGGCTTGGTGGACTATCTGACGATTAGCTGCGGGCGAGGTCGTCTCGCGTTTGATTACGTACATTCTTTTGCGGGTGATGGGAATGCGGCTCAGACTCGGAGGGGTTGGTCTTGAATCGAGCTGGTTGTAAGAAGTGTGCTTTGGCACGCCGGCTGATTGCAATAGCGGAGAGGTTTGCGAGCGAGACCACTGAATTGTAACTAACACAGCATCGTAAATTTGTGATAAAGATGTTGTCCGATTTTGTACTTGAGGAAAAGCGAAACTCTTAGGCCTGCAACGAAATTCTTTGCTCCTCTACCTGTACCATGGTACTTACATTAGGCTGCTGTCTTGGCGAACTTGCAACACCGGTAATGCCATTGAACCTGATCCAAAGAAATATTCCACCAGTCCATTGGTCCGCCATCACTGTTCCGGAACTACAGCATCACCCGCAGCCACTTGAGCACATGCCACAAAGGCAACGGGTCCTCGGTTTGGAAGCTATGCGGCTGGTGCCAGTCCCAACTCAATTGCCACTGTTGTAAAGACCAACCACGGTGCAGCTCAAGAATGCTCTCAACGTCGACCGGTGCACCCGTATCGAAATTGCAGCTGGTTGGCCCATTGCCAATTGACATGTCGCGGATCGCTGCTGGAAGCCCTTCGTACTGGTATCCAACGCGAGCTCGTCGCTCATACCATAAAGGAGTGGGTAAGAGTCCGCGAGCATATGCAGCATCGAGAGCCAATTGCCAGGCAACGTCTCGCTGTACGATCTTGAACACAGTAGAAGTGTGTCTGGGCGTAGGGCTGCCATCCAGCAGCACGCTGAACGAATCCTGGGGCATCCCGAGTGACGATAATGCCTGGGCTTCAACGATCCACGCCCCCACTGCCTTGGTGATTGTCGATGAGAGCAGACGGTCATCTTTCACGATATCACTATTCTCCCTGAACGCGCTTAGGTATTTGATAAGTGATCCAGGCCCCGCTCGAAACACGCTGCTCCAGACGTTCACGATACGCTGAACGCGCAGACGCTGGTTAGATCGACATAAAGGGATGAATCCTCTTCCGTGAGACGCCGCATTCGCGATCGATTCGCAGTCTTCGTGAAGTACGACGTTCCGCACTTCGTTGCGGGACGACGACGGAATCGCGTGGAGGAAGCGTAGGGCTACGGACGCCGCCGAGTAGCGGTACTCCAAACGAGAGGAATATAGCGTTCCGACTTCGACATCCGCGATGCTTGCGAGTCTGTTGATTTCGGAAGTAGTCGGTATGAGCCATGATTCTGGACAGGCCTCATCCAGAGCTGAAACGTTCCAGGGAGCCTCCTCGGTCCAATGATGAGGCATAGAATCTGCTTCGTCTTGACATGTGGGGTGGTCCGACAGCAGACTGAAGACGCAGTTGATGAAATCTTCCCACGTTGATGGAGCTTCTCCACAGTCAAACTCATGCTTGTACAAAGCGAAGATTTCCCGGGGCGGAGTCCAATCGTCAAAAACGTGAGTGAACTGCGGGTATGCGTCAATTGCCCTTTGTACCATGTCGCTAGAAAGAAGCCGAGGTATGAGGTGTCGTAGCAGCATGTGCTTGCGGTGCCTTATAACATACATCGATCCGTGTAATAGACCGGCTTGCTGTCGTGTGGACTCTGAGAAGTGGGTGTAGAAGGTGATGGTATTCTGCCTGAGCGCGAGCCCTCGCAATTCGGCTGCAATCTGGCGGCATGTGAGAGCGAGCCCGGTGGAGATAGGGAAACCGTCGGCCTGTAGGAGTCGGTTCGTCTGAAGAGCTAAGGGTCAGCGCGTGCACAAAGTCCAGCCCATCGTCGTTCCCATACCTCGAAGTTGTGGATGTAGCCACCGTCGACCTGGACGTAATGCTCGTAAATGAGATCTCTCAGCTCGCGTGGAAGGCGTAGCATTGCCGGCAGTGTGGATGCGTAATCATTCATACGTTCGAGATGAGAGCCGGCGAGCCCAGGTGTGTCGGAGTGGTTGATGGATTGAGGTGGCTTCATAGTGGAGGTTCTGTGGGGGTCGGTAGCAGGAAAACGAGGGACGGAACGGTGTTCCTGTAGCTGAAGAACTCATCTGGTCAAGCTACGGTGGCCAACCAGAGACCGTGACAATATGTAACCGTGGGCTCCCAAATTTGCACAGCTGCGACAATTCGAAGGTCTCGGTAAGGCCATGATGTGCCATTGCTAGTGGTTACGTGTACCAGGTATAGCTCTCTCGTCTAGAGACCAGTAATAGACGCATGGTGGTGGAAGGCGGGCGGTATCATGTTGGTGGGGAAGCTCGCGTCCGGTACGCGGTAGTGGTGAATGGAAACAGACGCGATGCGGTTCGTTGGGACGCGTTGATGACGTCAGCGCCGATGCACCAAAGCGTCTCAGGCAACCACATCCAACGCGCCGACGACAAGTTCGACAACGACATAATCCAACAAATCAGGTATGGCCTATATTCAAGGAGACCACGTCAAGATAGGCATTTGACGGGCCCAGATATATGCAATACCGCGCTTTTGTCGCAAGCACACCGTCAAACGGAGGACAACTCCAGGACACAGGCTGAACTAAGACCACACCCCAGTTTGCATCGAAGACGCACCCCAGTCTTCGGTTGTATATCGCAACGTCGGTTTCGCCTTTGCTGTTTCTACTCGTAAGCCACCTCTCACCGCGGTATATCAGGGTAATTTACTGCCAATACGCCCTTTCGGAGTACCTGACTCACGTCTTTGGATGCGGCTTTGACAGGCTCCATTAGAGATGAGTCACGCTTGCCCGCTATATGTATATCTTCCTCACGGCGACAACGTTCGACACATCTCATCATTCATTTCACCAAGACATGACAACTGGGTATCTGCTACCTCTCCGCGACGGACTGTCTTGTGGGCCTCCACCATCTGTAGTTCAACGCGATGCAAAATCCACCATGCCGCTTCCGAACCCTCAGCTTCAATCGCGCCTCTTTCGTCTCCCCAGGGAACTTCGAGATCTCATATACCACCATTACCTGTTCAACGAAGACGGCCTAGTGTACAATTCCGAGACCAACAAGCTCCCTGTCGATCTGTCGTTGACGTACACTTGTCGTGCGGCCGCACTCGAGCTTCGAGGCCTTGCTTTGCGGCTCAACAAAATCGTCTTCCACACAACCTGCACGACCGCTACCCAAACGCATGCGTATATATTCCACGGAGCGCTCATCAAATTGCACGCCCTCAAATTCGACCTGCTCAATATCCAAGCTCCGCGTCTAATGACTGAAGCAATCGAAAAAGAGGTATCCCTCAAGTATCCACAGTTCTCACCAATCCTACCGAAACTAGGTACACTAGGTGGACGTGCGAATACCTTGGGAGAGCCACCCTCGGCATATCGCGACTTTGTTCACTTCACTTTGAATCTCTTGTATGACCGCAAGCACCACCCCAAACTGGGCGGGAAGCGTTCGGAACGCCAGCGCCGAAGTCTCCGAAAAGTGAATCCTGAACCCTGGTTAACACCCAACGAGGGCAGACTCCCACGTGGTCAAGAGGGAAAGTTTGGTCATTGCGCCCGGAACAAGCATAGTCGCGACCTTGTGGCTACATACGACCGCGAGCTCCAGCGACTAGTCGACATAACCAGGACTCATAATGGTGTTGGGAGCGTGAAGCACTCCTTGTCAGCAGCGGCATGCGCAATCCGTTTCCTTCGGTCTCTCCGCGTCGAGACGCGTGAGCATGTGCGACAGATTGAACTCATCGAGGACCGAGAGTCTATCTCATTCCCAGAATGCCATGGCAGGGGTTTTATACCGTTTTGTCGTGCGCACCCAAACCTGCGCGTTCATAGGCGTGTCAGTCTCTGGGCGAACGTGTTCCCCGTAACCTCTGTGATACGGTACCAGTTGAACGGGCGATACTCAGAAGACGATCGACTTAGCTCCAGCTACGTCTCAAAAGCAGTTGCGAAGTGGATGGTAGAAGCATCTATATTACCCTCCCTGGGTATGCCCGAGGGCTCTTTCAAGCTAACTTTTGAATGCGACTCCGCCTCCGCAGAGACTACACAGGTCTTCACCGTCCTCCAGCGAGATGCTGCATGGCAGACTGCCTTGGATCTAAGTTATGCACGGCATATTCTACCGCAGCCAAGCTGGCGCCAGCGCAGACTCCGCAATGCATACGTATACGAGACCTTCCCAGAGCTTCTGAAGCAAGTCACCAACGGTGACCACCCTTTTATCCATTGCGACTTCCACCCAGGCACGGTGTGCGACCCGGAGGAAATCATCCGCGAGCGGAGGGGCGACTCACAGGAACAATGGCATGCAGCCTGGCTCGATCATACGCCTCGAGAGTTCCAAACACCCGCCAACATGCCGCCGTGGCACGTACTACGCGCTGGCTTTATACTTTGGGACGTGTGGGGAGGAGTCCGAGTTCACGGTTAGGGTTGTGATCATTCCGGTATAGCTTACGTCATGATCATGACTTCGGAACTGACCTTGGGCGGTGGGTGCATGACGCAAGTAGATTCATTGCTTTTGTTCCGGCGAGAAACCGCATCAAAGCCACTTCAATAGAGCATTAACCACTGTACAAATCATTTTAATAGGAAGGCTAAACTTCCCACTCCCCACCCCTTGATCCCCGCTACCACATCGCTATCTCCTCCTCCGCCCCCCTCCCCAGCTTCGGCCCCTAAACGCCCGCGTCACCTCTACTCCCAATACTCAGCCACGTCAACCAAGCAACAAAACTAAACAGGCCCGCAGCCTACATCAACATAAAACCTACAAGATAGGTAACATAGCGTCAATAGAAGCTCTAGATCTATTCAGTTTTTTTTCTTTGTATAAGGTGCAGCCTACTTCCTCCTCCCATGTTTCGCAATCAAACTCCTACTCTCCCCACACAGCCAGATATGCGGTCCCGCCTCGCCGTCCTTGAGACCATGCTCATTGATGATATGCTCAATCTGTTTTGCGCGCCCGCGGTTCGCACTCAGGGTGGTGAGGCTCTCGGCCCAGCCGTAGAGGAAGATGGATTTATTGAGGTGGCCGAGTTCGGCGGCGACGGCGGTGGCGGCGTGGGGCAGGTTGTCGGTAATGGTGGAGACGTTGGGGTATTTGACGGTTATGGGGAGGGTGAAGGAGGGCGGTGGTGGGTAGTCGGATAGAGAGGCCTGGTGGGGATGTTAGCTGGGTATTGTGTGGGGTGATGTGATGGGAGAGGACGTAGCCATTCTTCAACGAGCTTCTCTTGTGACCACGACGCGCAGTCTCCTTGTCGGAGTAGCAGGTCCGCTCTTGTCTTCTCCGTGTCAGTTGCTAGAGTCTGTACTATCAGGTTCATCTGCTCGGCCGCTTCGCGCGTGCACACCATGGGATGTGAGCCGATTGCAGGGTACAGATGTGTTGGTAGCAGGTGCTCTTGAGCCTCCTCTTCGATCTGGGCGCGTACTTCGCCCGGATACCAGTCCAGTATCGGGCATGGTTTGTGAGAAATGTCGGATATGAGGGCCAGTAGAATAGTGCAGTCGATGTTTAACGTATCGCTGAGGGCCCGGGACCTATCGATAAGAAGGCGCGGTAGAACAGCATCTATAGAGAGCGCAGGTGGAATATCGTCTCCGCATTGTACTATCGCACCGGTAGCGCGTATCTTATTGATGATCATATCAATAGCTGGTGTTTTCCCAGCAGAGATTCTTGTCAAGACGAAGCGCACCTTGGGTGGTCGGCCGCGAATTGGGTTCGCGCGAGCAGCTCTCGCAAGACCTCGAGCGTTCCGCACCACGTCGATTTGGTCTTCATCGTCATCGTCATCTTCCGGTGGAGGCGGCATATCTTCGTCGTCTTCAGAGTCCGAGTCGTTTACCCAACCCAACTTCGCAAGATCGAATAGAATACGCTTCTCTGAGACGGTTGATACCCGTATCCACTCTGCACCTTCTTCTGCAACGATATCAACGAGCGCGGAAGTCTTGTTCTTGGCTTGGCTTCCCTTTGCCAGGCTGACTCCTTTTGTAGTGCTCTTTCCTGCTGGTGCTTTATGTCGGTCCCAGAAGAAGTATTTGCGGAAGCTTTGGATTCCCATTGAGCGCTTTGCTGCGCCCCATAGTGCTTCATAGTAGAGAAGATTCGAAGATACAATGTAGTGTCGGGCCTTTTCCTCATCCATGCTCGATCCCGCAATCTTCTGTAGGAAGGCTAGCTCGTTGCGCATGTCATTGCGAAGATTTCGGTATCTAGTACAGTCAGCTATGATCTGAGGTTGCCAATCTAATCACGAAGCAGCTCACCCCTTCTCAGATGGACCTCCCCTGGAGGTATACGCTATGTTGTGTACTGCCGACGTGAAAGCAAATCCACCGCGAACACCTCCAGGGTCATATGAGGTTTAATCTGTGAAGGCGGGGAGAGTTCGTTTAGATGACTATATCACGGCAATTGCATATACGTACTCAACTGGATTATAAACCTTCCCGACCTTTTGCTTCTCCAGAACCGCGGCAATATACGTCTCTACCTCGTCGTTGAGATGGTTACCACGCGCCACTAGCTCTTGAATAGTAGCTTCGAGCTCAGCCCTTGGGGTGGGCATCTTGCCGTCTGCCGGCTCTTCCCCAAGATCGATCTGGCTGAAGTCTTGGGCGATGGAGTCTGCCATGATCACCTCAGACTTTGCAGACCACACTACGATGAAAGTGAATCAATCGGCCGATCTGGCGACAACGTAGGCTCCAGAGTGTTCAGTTTGTTCCTTGGATGAGGTGTGATGGTGAGGGTAAGGTAATGGCGTGAACAATGCGAAGGCTCTTTACTTCCACTGCGCTGGCTTAGAATCCAGAGAATGCCTCCTTGTCCTACTCAAACTCCGGCGTCCGATAGTTGTTCCTGATAAGTAGTAGTCCGAGGTGGTGGAGAGTTGATAGAATAGATTTCGATTTCTGAAGATGAAGTATGGGAGCCCTGACTCAATCACTAGTCAAACCGTGGAAGGTTCTCGGGTAGTGGCGCAAGCATCAAAGTGCTGTTGCCTGATAGGTCGGTTCTGGTGTCAGCCCTTTTCTGCATCCTGGGTTCCCGTCGCGTGCGTGGTACCTGGGTAGAAGTCGCGACTCTGGCCCGACGATTCCCCGGCCGACCCCGCCAAAAGTTGCCCGCATACCGAACCCACGCACCGACCATCCCTCATCTCTCTCTCACCCTCGACCCCAGACAACTCCAACCCACCATGCCCTACTTCGCGACAAGCCAGGAGTGGTATGAGCAGTCGTCGCTCCTGCTCAAAGCGCGACCGACATCCGTATGCCAAGCTCCACTGCACACGCACGCACGCGACCCGCCTTCTAATCTCGCTACTAGACACGCATCACGTCCAAGTACTCGGTCCTCAAGCCCACGGCCTCCAAGATAAAGAAGCGCCAGAAGTACGAGGAGAAGCGAGCATCGAAGCCTACAGATACCGCGCGCGCATCATCACCGCCGCCGCAATCGCAGAATCCCGAAGAAGTCACCGTTTTCTTCACGCTGAAGACGTACGACCCGGAGTCAGGGACATGCCTGCAATATGAGACCAACAAGGGCGCCGAAGTCGGAAGATTGATTGGAAACCTGGGCAGGCTGGGAAGGCACATGGCAGCGCTGCCGGAGACAACGGACGATCTGAGCATGCCGGCTGCCGGCGAGGCCACATCCACACCACAGGTCGACGAAGGCGGAGACGTGAAGATGGGCGGCGTCCCAGCAGCTGGTGCGGGAACCGGAGGCAAGAAAAAGAAGAAGGGCAAGAAATGAGTAGGATTACATCACAACCATACAATAATGCACGCGCCGGGCAGGGCGCCCAAGGCAAACGAAGACATTGCGACGCACGTACACGATACCACGAGGCTCAGGGATATCGATTGCGGTTCAATGATTGATAAAGGGCCAAGGCATACATGGCGCACAGCCTGCGAAATGAAGATACCCAATCCCACTCCCAGCCTGCCCGTCCGTGAACTTCTCACAGCTGCCGTCCATACTAAAACTTCTTAACAGCCGCACCAGCAGCCGCAGCGTACGAGACACCCTTCATACGCTCCATGCGCTCCAGAAGCTTTTGCTTACGCTTCTCAGCCTTGCGCTCTTCTTTCTGCTTCTCCATCCGCTCCTTGCGCTCCGCCTCCTCCTTTTGCTTCTCAGCCGCCGTCTTGCCGATGATGGTCCACTCGGCCTTGTCCTGTTCGTGCAGCGCTTCGTCCTTGTCAACGACGTCCCAGTTGTCCTCGCTGTTGGCGCTTGACTCGGGTGCGTGTAGACCGGCGTTGTTGGTTTGATCGAGGAAGTCCTTGAGATCTGACGGCGGGGTTTGCACCGTGGTGGTGGGGATGCTGGAGGACATCGTGGTGACTTGATGACTGGTTTGAGTGAGTGAACGAAGGGTTGAGGCAAAGTGTAAGAGCTAAATATGGTGAGCGTTCGACGATAGTGGTTTACTTGGGTCTTGAGAGTGGTTATAATGCTATACTGACAGGCTACAGAAAGTATATGTACCGGCCCGGCCGGTGGCAGTGCCTTCAATTCGCAACTCTCATTCACAGCTAAGTTGCTGCAGTGAATGTCGAATCATCACCGCGCAACCATGCGTGCGTCACATTCCGACGTTGAAAGGCGGCCAAGTGTATTATCTCGACCAAACCATGGTTCTCGCATGGTGGGCGCGCTCGCACGCGAGATCCTGATTAAGGGATGGATAAAACTTCCTGGAAATTGCCGAGTCACAGGTATCATGGATCCGATACATTATGTTGAATCTGGCTGCGAGACTGCACGGCGGGCGCATCCATGCTGCCAGATTGACGTTGCTCACATCGATGGCGGCATGTGTTGCCACAACTCCGAAGGGCGCAGTTGACCGAAGCGCACTCAAGAGTGCCTGGCCAATGTGCGATGCCGCGATACTAGATGGCGATTTCTTCTTCTTGGTCGGAATCGCATATCTCGGCTGATGTTGTCGGTTTGACGGGTACATGGGCTGTTCCTTCCGCTTTGGGTTAGGTCTGTGCTGCGGCGTCGCATCAACATTGATTAACAAGGGGGAGTCGCAATCTCTGAACCTTTTTTTTCAGACTCGTCGTCTTCCCTTCTTAACACCAGCAACGCAAATGTAACCAGACGACATGGGCGCCTTTTACGAGGGTGAAACATATGGGCCTCCCCCGGGTGCCGGGTTTCCTTGTTACTACCAACTCATCTGTCCGGAGCTCGATCAACACTATACACTTCACATGTACGAACACGACACCCCAAGGTTATTTGACCGGAAAGACGAGTACTGGTTTCACAATATGTTTGTAAAGCGAGACGTGGAACGTGTCCAGCACTTCTATCCACCCAGTGGAGACCTCTTCGAGCGCCTGCCAAACGAAATTATTGACCAGATCTTCGATTACATCCTACTTCGCGTAGAGGTTGACTGGGAAGCACTCGGCTATGAACGCTGGAATAGGCGCCCCTCAGTGCAAGAGTTCAATCGGGAAGACTTCCTTGCACTATGCCTCTCGTCCGCTCGTTTATGGCCACTCGCCTTGGCCCGTATATATCGGTCCTATCAGAAAGCCAACTGGGTAGGCAAAAAGGTTGGGTTCCACTTCGAGCGGTCGAAGCTCACCGCGGCACAAATGCGGAACTATGGTATCGAAGACACTCCTGTCATGATCAGTGGACGTCAGCAAATGAGGTCGCAGCAGAATGTTGGAGATCAGGGATGGGACAAGACATGGAACCATTTCAGGTGTCGGCCAGAAAATGATTGGTGCTCTCTCATGCGCCCCATGCGTGGATACACAGCCGGCCGAGGATTGAAGATGGCAAAGTATGAGCTGACGTTAAGACCGGGGGATCGGGACAAGATCGAGCGGGATGTTGGTCGGGCCAATCTACGAGTCACAGACAGAGACTGGGTGCTTCGCAACATCACGACTAGACAATACGTACGTTCGGATCAGTTGCAAGAGCCACCCTCTCCAGCACCAGATTGGGACTCACTACCCAAGTTCCACGAGCCAGTACTTCCCAAGATGCAACGCATCTACCGCGAGCTGTCGGAACAAGTGAGAAGAGTTTCGGTGAACAAACCGCGACCACTACCGGAGAGCGACCAAGCGCTTACATTGGCGAACATATTCTTGGTTCTCACATGTAGCAACCCAGATTGTCCTTCCCCAGGACAAGCCTTCAACTTCTCAAATGGCCCATGGGCTGGGTGCGCATTTGAAGTTGTTTCACTGGACGACCATCTGCAGTCTCAGCAACAAGTGTTAGAGTTCAAAGAACAATCAGGCGAGGCATGGGTGAACGTCAGTAAAGAGGTGGTTGCGGATGTCGCCAACTTGCGTTTTTGCATTCGCAGGTTGCAGGAGATGAGGCATCAGGGTCACGAGCGGTATTTCCGCAGCCACGACCCAGCAGTCAACAAAGCATACTGGGACAACTTCTGGAACAAGATCGAGATGACAAGAAAGCTACATCGGCAGTGGGTGAGGACGTGTCCGCCTAGACCTTGGATAGATGAGAGCGTGTATGCGGAAACGTAGGTAGTCGAAGTGACCGGAACAATCCCACCTTCACTTTCACCTCGCTTCAATACAGCACAATAGGAAAGAGATGCTTCTACCTAACCCTATCGTCTTCTGCAAAGCTATTGTACACCTCTATTCTAGTAGTTCTATTGTACCTCCTGTCATCCTCTAAGGTATCAAAACCTCGCCATCTCCTCTACAAAACCTACCCCAGACACCTACAACACCTTCCACCCCATCATATCTTGCTTCCCAAAAGCCTTGACATCCTCCCCGCGCCCCCAAGACCTACCTCTCCACCACCCAAAAGTAGCTGGACTACTTCGCGGCCTCACAATGAGCCCCCACTCCCGCCTCTGTCGCCGCCTAACCTGGCACCTCTGCCGCGCGCGCCGCCAGCTCGAGCGCCGAGCAAATGGCCCACCAGCCATGCGAACGCGAAGCCGCTCTGCCACTACATCTTCACCAACACCAGCACCAACACAAGGCACACCCGCAACACCACTTACCCTCGGCGGTGAAACCGGCACCCTCACCAAAAAGCCCCCCACCAAGAAACAACTCCTCGCGAGCTCAAAGCGGCTTGGACGCAAAAGACTAGCGCTAAAGCGGGTGTTGGAGAAGAAGAAGAAAGACATGGAGGAGAAGGGGAAGAGGACGTTTGGAATGGGGCAAAGGATCAGGCTGTTGAGTCAGCTTGGTCCGGCTGGGGAGTTGGAAGTGTTGGAAGGGAGGAGGTTGGTGCCTGCGCAGCGGAAGATTACGAGCCCGGAGGCTATGAGGGCGAAGAGGGAGGGGGAGAGAGTGGGCAGAAGTCCGTTGAGGGAGATGTGGTGAGGGGGGGTTTGTGGAGGGGAGGATGTTGGGGGGATGTTTTCTTCGGGGGATGGTTTGGGGAGGGGATTGGAGCGCTGGGCGCTTGATGTATTCGTCAAACGTATGTTTACTTCGACGTTTGAAGCGCTGGTCGCTCCATGTATTCCTCAAACGTACATGTACTCCACCGATTAAAGCGCTGGTCAGTTCACGACGTCTCCCAGCTTCCTCCCATCTACAAGTTCAACAACACACTCGCCAACCCCATACCAACACCCCACGCCGCACCAACACCCAGCCCCCGCTTCTGCGCCTTACCCTGATACTCCGGCATACCCGCCCCAGCACCAAAGTCATACTCGAAGCTTCCATTGAGCGCAACAGGACCTTGAACACTTCTTCCAGTACCAAGAATAGTAATGTTCTTAACCACACACTCCGTCTCGTATCCAAAGTCACCGTCCATGCTGAACTTGCCGTTGTCGTAGGAGAAGGTAATCATGGATGTAGACGGCTGCTCGATGCTATCGCCGTCGTCGAGGTACAGCGAGCCCTCCGCCTGGTTCGTAGCGTTCGGCGCGATCCACAAGACAAAGTCCTGCTTCCGCAGCTCGGTCGTCGTGTTTGCGGATTCAGCGCGCAGAGGCAGGATGGAGCCGCCGCGGACGTGGAGGGGAATGGAGTCGAAACCGATGTCGGTGAGGTCGATCATGCTTCCGTTTCCTTGGATGCGCTCGCCGGTCCAGTAGTCGTAGAAGACTTCGTTGGGGAGGTAGATGGATACGGAGGTGGAGTTTTCTTCCAGCACGGGCGACACGAGGATGGCGTCGCCGTAGAAGAATTGGTATTCGAGGGCGAAGGTGTTGGGGTCGGTGGGGTAGTGGAACCACAGCGGGTTTAAGCTGGGTTCTCCGGTGGTGGTCTGACGGTGGAAGGCTGTGTAGAAGTAGTCGAGTAGACGGTAGCGGACGGCGATGGCGTTCTTGGCTGCGGCGGTGGTCAAGGGCCAGCGGTAGTACTCTTGGTCGATTGATGTGTCGCCAGCGTGGTTCCTCATGAAGGGGTAGAAGGCACCGAGGGTGGCCCAGCGTGCGCAGAGGGTCTCGGTGGTGTTGCCGGCGAAACCGCAGATGTCAGGTCCGACCATGGGGATCTGGAAGATGGAGTTGAAGTTCAAGATGCCGGCGATGGAGAAGCGGTATTGTGTCCATTCGGAGACGTTGTCACCTAGCCACTTTCCGAGGTAGGTACCTAGACCGACGAACTAGATCTCGTTAGCTGTTGCGCGATGTAATGACTTAATAAAGACTTACAGTGGAGCGGGTGATGATCAAAGGACGACGTTCAGGACGGCGTGCAAGCATACTCTTGTGCGAAGCAATCGACATCATCGAGCCCCAGAAGTTGTGGGTATCATAGTGGTACGTTCCGTCGTAGTTCTGGATGTCGGTGTCGAGGGTCTTGTTGCTGATGGAGCCAGCAGCGTTGGCAATCTGGTACTCAGGGTTGATCAGGTCACGGCCGGGAAGACCGGGGTGCGCGGCAAGGTCTTCGGTGTTGTTTGAGGCTTGACGCTTGAAGTTGGAGCGCTTGCTGAGAGGGGAGCTTGAGCGGGTCTTCAGCGTGGAGTTGGACTGGGGCTGGAGTCCCGCTGGGAAGCCAGGGATCTGGCGGCCGTCGGCGGAGGTACGGACTGGCGGTGGCTCAGGCGGGTTCTTGGACTCCTCTGAGTAGGCTACAGGATCCTCGCAAGGGTACGGACAGAAATTGGCAGGCTCGTTCATGTCGTTCCACAGACCGTCAATGTCAACACCAGTCGCCGGGTCAAAGAACTCCGCAAACTTCTGGTCCCAGTACTGCTGGGTGTTGGGGTGGAACCAGTCGGGGAAGACAGTTGGGCCGGGCCAGACCGCGCCTTCGAAGAAAGAGCCGTTCTCGCGCTTTTGGAAGACATCGAGCTCAGCACCGTCGTTGTAGCCATCGTAGTCGCCACTCCAGACAGCCGAGTTGACCATCATGATGTAGTGCTGCTGGTGAGCATGGAGGTAGTCAACCACCTCGCGAACGAGTTCAAGAGGGTAACGCTCTGGATCCAGAGTGAACAGGCGACGGAGCTCCATGTAGTCGATGTCGGTCCACATGGTCTGGGTGGTATTAGCAAAGATGTATTGGTACTCTGTAACACAGTAGAACTCACCTCAAGAGGAATGTCGGCAGCGGAGTAGTTGGCAACTACCTCAGCAACTTGCCAGACATCACGGTAACCGTACTTGCATTGATGAGATCCGAAACCCCAGTAAGGCATCATAGCGGGAAGACCAGAGAGAGCAGAGTACTGGACTGCGACTTCCTTCGGTCCAGGACCAGCGAGGAAGTAGAAGTCAAGAACACCACCTAGAGTGTTGTACTCAAGGAACTGGCCCTCGGAGTCGTCGATCTTGATGTCCATACCCTGGGAGCTGGCCAAGAAGACACCGTGAGTGCCATTCTCGCCGCGGTGATCAAAGTAGATGGGGTGAGCTCCGTAGAGGTTGGAACCCTCTGGGGTACCGTAGGCATCACGGTTCCAGAGAGTGCGGGTGTAGTTGGTGGTGTTCAGATGAAAATGGTCAGTCGATTCACCAAGACCGTATAGGTTGGGCGAGGGAGGTAGAGCAGTTCTCAGACGAAGGTACTGCGACTCAAAGACGAGCGATGCAGCGGAGGTGTCGAAGAGAGTCTCGTTGGTCTCCTTGCGCTTGATGGCGAACGAGAACGGGCTGTCGGTCCATGTGAATGACAGGGCAGAGTCCTCGGGGCTGACACCCTCGTCATCGGAAGGACGAGGCCAGACAGATTCTTGGATCTGGAAGACTTGCTCTTCAGCATCGAAGATCTTCACGTGGAGGCGTTCGGCTGTAAAATTGGTTAGCACCAATAATGATTGTAATGGTTGGAGAACGCACCCGTCTGGTACTCGACTTCAAGCTTGAGGTCAGTCAAGTCGTCGCCGTAGACATTGCAAGCGGTGCCCGCAAGCGTAAGGTCCGCGGTAACCTTGGAGCCAGAATCCTGAAGGTTGCTGGCCGTGTATCCAGGGCAAGCTTCAAGTGATGAGCTTTGGCGTTGAACCAGCGAACTTGCAAACGCAGGTACCGCCACCCCAAGAGCGAAAAGGCCTTTGGTGATCATGGTGCCTGAAGGTATTGAGAAAGCCAGGACCGTGTTGGATGCTGATCGTCCGAGGGAACCTTCGCCTTCTTATACTCGAGCGCGTGCAGCCGTGTGTGCTAGTCCGATGCACTACAACAACAAAGCATGCATCGTGATCTCGGTTCAGACTTACCGTTTGCATGGCTAGGATAGGCGGATATGCACCCAAGGCGCGCTCCCCGCAGTACCGTCATCATGGAGGTCGGACTTGCATGGCTTGGCAACGATGCGAGGGCCAGAGAGGCAACATAGCGGGGTCATTGGTTCCGCAGATTCACGCTGTGGAGAGCTTGTTTACCCGGAGAGAATCCCGTTTGGGGTTCGGCTGGCATGGAGGACATGCGAGGCGCAAAACTCTGGGGTAAACGATCAGGTTTGTTTACGCGGGTGCGAGGCGCGACGCACGGCGGCTACGCTGATTCGATGGAAGTCGGGAGTGCGAGATGCCGGTCCGACATGTGGTGCCGACGTGCCTTCGCGCTTCCATCGCCAAGCAGACGGCTGAAGAAAGCCAAGATAAGGCTAAACTTGGTGACATGTCGTGAGTCCAGGATTCAAACGTCGAGTTCCAGGACGTGTTCTACATGTTTTCCCGAAGTTGAACAGCGCTTGTGCGGTATGTAGAGGGCGGGAGCAGCAGGCCGCATTTCTTGAGCCCTACGTTGGATTCGTTCAAGGCGGCAACATTGAGCACGCGAACCTCTTGCACGGGAACTCAGCTTTGAGGGACAGTATCTCAAACTGCACCTTGGCATATACACATGACTCTACATCGCTACCTATGCAGAAACAGTGCCATGTATACTTCCAACGTGTGTCTTGCGGTGCATATTCCTGAGATATCCATGGGTCTGGAGTATCTAAGTGCACGGACGGAGACTAGCGCGCCTCTGGCCCAAGACCGAAAAGTTCACGAACGCGACAGCAACAACCTCCAACACCACTCCACGTCACCATGCTTTGCGCAATTTCTGGCGAAGCTCCCCGCGAACCCGTTGCCTCGCGCAAGTCGGGCAATGTCTTCGAAAAGCGCCTGATCGAGGCGCACATCTCGGAACACCACACCGACCCCGTTACTGGCGAAGACCTCGCGACCGAGGACCTCATCGAGCTCAAGTCGCCCAATGTCGTCACCCCACGCGCCCCCAGCTTCACCTCGATACCCGCCATGCTCAGCGCCTTCCAGAACGAGTGGGATGCCCTGGTACTAGAGACACACACGCTCAAGCAGCACTTGGCGCAAACGAGGCAGGAGCTGAGTACGGCGCTCTACCAGAACGACGCGGCGACACGGGTCATTGCGCGCATATCAAAAGAGCGAGACGAGGCGCGCGAAGCTCTGTCCAACGTCACCGTCAGTGGAGGCGGCGGCCAGGGCGATGCGATGCAGGTGGACGGCCAGGGCCTGCCTGAGGAGCTTGCCGCCCTCGTTGACGAAACACAGAAAGAGTGAGTCTTGTCCCCTCCTAGATTACATACCATGTGAGAGCCCCCGACTAACGCACTACAGGCTGTTCGGCTCGCGACGAAAGAGACCTGTACCCGCAGGCTGGGCCTCTGGAGACGCCATCTCCAACTACGACATTGCCAAGACGACCGACTCGCTATTCCCAGGCAGCAGCTGCATCGCTGTCAACGAGGCTGAGCTGGTCCTATTCGGTGGAGCTGATGGTACCGCGGGTGTCTACTCGCTGGCCCAAGGCAAGGTTCTGGAGACATTCAACGCTGGCGGCGCCGTCACTTCGACAGCATGGTGGGGAGAGCGCGCTCTTATCGGCACTTCGACAGGCACAGTCAAGGTCTTTTCCAACGGCGATGAGGTTGCCCAGATCGGATCACACGCTGGCGCCGTCACATCCATGTCGCTACACCCCAGCGGCAAGATGCTCGCTACCGCCGGCGCCGACAAACGCTACGCAATCCACGAGCTCACCACTTTCAAGACCGTTTCGCAAGTCTACGTCGAAGCCGAAATCACCTGCGTCTCCTTCCACGTCGACGGCATGCTCTTCTTCCTCGGAAGCTCCGACGGCAACATCCGGATATACGATATCAAGACTGGTGCCAAGATGGCTGAACTCGAGACTGGCGCGCCCGTTGCGGATCTGAAGTTCTCCGAGAACGGAACGTGGTTCGCCGTAGTACAGCAGAATTCCTCCAGCGTCGCGATTTGGGATATCCGGAAGCAGGCAGCAATTCACACATTGGAATCTGGCAGCCCAGTCACCAGCTGCAGCTGGGACTACACCGGCACGTTCCTCGCGATTGCCGGCACGGGCAGCGTCTCTGTGCAACAATACACCAAGGCGTCGAAGAGCTGGGCTGAGCTGGTGAGGAAGGCAGCTCCAGCGAAGGACGTCGCCTGGGGTGGTAAGGCCGAGAATGTAGTCGCCCTGAACCCAGAGGGTGGCTTGGTTGTATTGGCAGCAGTTTGAAGTGTTTTGGGCTTCAGGGGTGACTTTTGATGGCGTAAAGTTTTTGTGACAGGGCAGGCAGATGTGTACATTGGCTGCTATTTCATCAGTGTGTAGAATCAGGAGCTCGCGGATGCATTTAGGCTGGGGGGTTTTACGACCAAAATTTGAATAGGATACTACCACATGCTGTAAAACACTACGTCACGATCCATCTCGCACATGCAAGAGCAAAACAATGCGCTTTGGTGAAGGGGCTGGGTCGCAGAAGACGATAGAAACGAACAGAATAGCGGTCTGTAGTCATTGTTCGATTCCAATCGACGGTGAAGGGTGATAGGTGATTTTGGATTTGACGTTCTGGCGTTTGTCATACTGCCCAGATGGATGTTGGAGCGCCACCACAGTTTCGCCGAACTCAGCACCCCCAACGGCACGAGACGGGCCCAACCTTCCCCCTTCGACACTCGCCGGTGCTACTATCGCCCGCCGCCAACCTCACCACGCACCCCGCAACCATCACCAGCCTGACATCCGGCATGGAAGGCGAAGGACGACCGAGTGGGTTCACGCACAGACAGCAGAAGGTGAGTGCCGTCGGCGGTAGTACCGCCAACATAAACAACAACAGGGTGAAGATTGGCTGACCACGGCTGCTGCAGCGCTCACATGCACAAATGGACGGCGAGCAAGCGTCTGCCTCGCCTGCCTGGAGACATGGCTCCTTTCCCGACAACCGCGAAGCTCCCCCAACCTACCACGGCCTTCCCTTCGGATACGATTACGACGATAGGCAGAGCCCTGCTAACGACATCTACGACCCACCCGCCCGCTATCATTTCGACCGCCAGCCCACCCCGACCTTCGAGTCTGCACTGCGATCGCACGCCCGCCCGCCCATAGAACGCGCCTCCTCAAGCGCCCAGCACTCGCATACCGCCGGGTTACACCTGCCAAGGTTGGGCAACATGGCGTCTTCGGCATCCAGACGGTTCGCGGGCGATGGCTTCGACTACAGGCGGCCGGCTGGCTCGGCAAGTCAACACACAACAGCGTCTGTCGATCTGACGGGGGACGACGAGGACGACGTGGCTATCGACCTGAGCCAGGACGACGACATCATTGACTTGACAGCCGATGATTCGGGCGACGGGGCGAGTCACAATGGCAACAATGCACGCGAGCAACAACAGGATAGAGGACAGCAAGAGTCGCATCGCGGTGGCCGTCACCCACGTCGTTTGCCAAGGGGCTTTGACATCATCATCGACCTCGACAATGGCGAGGAGGAGTGGCACCCCAATCCACCAGCGCCGCAACCAAGCTCGCCCGAGATCGAGTTCATTTCGTCGCGCACAATACCCGGTCAGCGCCACCTTCAACCAGTCGACGAGAACGAATCCGATGGCGAGGATGTGCGGTTCATACGGGCGAACGCGTTACCAGAGGCCGAGGCACGGAGACGGCAGAGGAACGAACAGTTGGATAACGTCATGGATCTCTTTGGAACATTGAACGGACGTTTCACCCACCTCCGAGCCCAAGTCGATCGATTCCACGAACAGGTCAATCAGACCGCAAACCGCTTCCACGAACCCGTCGCCCCTTCGCGCAGTGCCTCTCGGGGTCGAGCGCCGCACATCCGAGTCGGCGCATTCCAAGCGCCCAATTTGGATTTCGATATCATCGGCTTCGACATTGGCCCACGGGTACGCGAAGCACCGCCCCCTCCAGCTACCTACGACGCGCCACCACCAGCCCCGGAGGGCTTCACGCGGAGTCCAGAAGAAGAAGGAGATGCGCTTATATGTCCCAATTGCGAAGAACAGCTGTGTGTCGGCAGCGACGAGATCAAGAGGCAGGTGTGGATTGTCAAGGGATGCGGTCATGTAAGTCTCAGCTTGTGACGGACGGCACGACGACAAAACTAACAATGTGCTAGGTATACTGCGGCGAATGCACAGCCAATCGATCGGCGAAGCGCAGTGCTAAAGGCAAGGAGACGCGCGCAAACACGAACCCTTTCAAGGTCTGCGTGGTCGAGGACTGCGATAAGAATGTGTCCCACAAGAAGAGCATGATTCAGGTATTCTTGTGATCACACAGTTCAAGAGATGGATACTGTACCTTTCTTTCTAGGACCTTTATCTCGGCTCAAGTCATGGTTGGGTGTTTTGACGATACCCTTGCTCGCATCTCTCTCTCTCTCTTATCATATCTATTCGCATTTTGTTTGCATTTGCATAGCAGGGCGTTTTTTGCATGGATGTTTTTCCAATTGAATTTACATATGGTACTAGTACCTACGAGCGGTCGATTCTCTGAGCGTGCCCTATTGCCCCCGGTGAAATATAAGAAGAGCGAGATGAGGGATGACCGGTGTAATTAGTATGCGAGGATTTAGATGAATCTGCGATATGGATGATTCTGACTCGAGTGCTTGTGAATATTGATGTGCTACGTGTCCCGAGTATCTTGTTCATTGCGATGATGAAGGTCGTGGGCGATCACGTCGAAATAATGTATGATGATCTCATCCCACGTGGAAGGACCTCGGGAATCCGGCGCCAAGAACAAGGGTCCTCAGGTACGCGAGACCGAGCTGCATGCGAGAAAAGGGCAGCTTGCTACATGCTTCCCTTGGGCCTCAGGCACACACAAACCCCGTCACCTCACTTCTAACTTTGTTTCAAATCAATTGCATCACAATCGACCCACGAACATGTCCACCAAATCCAAAACATCCCAGGCTGCGCGAGCCGCGGCCCCCAACGACCAACGACCTTCCAAACCATCCGGAGGAGCGAAGAATGCCTACCTCATGCTGTACAACGCCGTCTCCGCCGCACTATGGGCAGGCGTACTCTTCCAGACCGTTACTATCGGTGCAAACGAGGTGGTGAATGCACAGAAGGCTGGTGCGTTTTTTGGCAAGGGCGATTGGTTCACCGCGGCGAAGAGGGGATTGGGTAGTGGGAAGGTGTATGGGAATTTGGAGGGGTATACGAGGGGGGTGCAGACGTTGGCGGGGATGGAGGTGTTGCATAGTCTGGTTGGTGAGTTACTATCTCTTAAGGGTGGGTGGGGAAGGCGGACGGGAGGATGGTGGATCGAATTCCACTCCTGGTTCTTTCTTTCGTGCTCGCACCTGAGTGGGTGTTACCGCATGAGGAGCCTTGGTTGTGCACATTTGGATATGGATATTCGGTGGCCTGATCAGCCTCACTAACAACATCACAGGCCTCGTCCGCGCCCCCCTCCTCACTACACTCATGCAAGTCGCATCCCGCTTCCTCCTCGTCCACCTCATCGCCTCGCCCCCCGCCTTCCCTCTCTCGACCCGCCACTCGCCCGCCTACAGCACCATGCTGCTCGCATGGAGCGTCACAGAAGTAATCCGCTACTCCTACTTCGTCTTTTCCTTATCTGGTGCCGGGGTTCCGAAGCTCTGGACCTGGTTGCGGTACAACACCTTCCTCGTTCTCTACCCTCTTGGTATTTCGAGTGAGTGCTGGCTGGTGTACCAGGCTATCCCTTTGGCTAGTGAGAGGAACGAGTTGTTTGGGTACGCGCTTTGGGCCATATTGGCAATCTATGTTCCGGGAAGTTACATCCTGTTCTCGCATATGTTGGCGCAGAGGAGGAAAATTGCTAGGCAGAGTAGGGTAGCTTAACGGGTGATGGGTGACGACGAAGCGCGGGAGAGAGATGCATCGGCAGTCAGACGGAGAATATACACATGGAATAAGTTAAGCCTGTGTTTGAAATGCAGCAAAGATACAATGCTACGTGCGATCGATAGCCCAAGTTGAGTGACTCATCCGCCAACCACATCAATACACAGCCTCATAGATATTCACTCCTTCCCCCCCTCCTTCGGCCCCGTCTGCGCATTCCTCTCCCCCACATCCAACGCAACCAAAAACCTACTCACGCAATTATACGCCGCGACCGTCGCTGTAATCTCCACAATCTCCTTCTCGCTAAACCCCACTGTTTTCAACTGCTCGAACACGCTGTCTGGCACACGCACGTCTAGTGTCATGGCATCCGTGTATGCCAGTACAGCGCCCAGCTTCTCGCCTAAGTCGGCGAGTGGTTGTCTGGGGGAGGAGTTTAGGACGGCGAGGACTTGGGGTTTTGTGACGTCTTGTTGGGGAGTGAGTAGGTGTCTGGGAGTGGGGGTAGAGGAGAAGAGAAGGGGGGAAGGAATGGGGATAGGGGAATGGGGGAATAGGCATACCTTCAGCTGATTCTAGAATGGGCGAATGAGACTCCCATTCGTACCATGCCTTGTTTAGAACTGCAACGCGGCAAATGGCTGTTTCGCGGATGGATGTGGGAAGACTGGTTTTCGTGCGGATGGAGCCGAGGAATGAGTTCCTGGGTTTGGTTGTTAGGTTGGCGGATACTGGGGTGGAACGGTGGTTGGAGTGGATATGGCTGTGTTATGCGCCCGTTCATCGTGTGCGGACTGGGACAGCATGACATGGAAGATGTGAGCATGATGCTTTGGAACTTACCACCCGTCCGCGACCGGGGGAGCATGAAGCAATGTCCGGTCTAGAGCTATGAGGCCCTTCTCGCCTCGCCGTTGTCTGACGCGCTGCTCGACGGCTTTGTCTTCTTCGGACGTGAAGTTCGGCGGGTCGGGGACGTAAGGGAGACGCATTGTGAGGTTGGTAAATCGATGAAATGTTCTTGTAATCGTGAACGTCTTCTTGTCGACTTATATAGATAGAGACTCAGTCTGAGTCAAACGCGTATGCTCCTCTTCGTCGAGATCGAGATGAGTCAAGCTGCGTGCTCGTCACTACATATCCCGAGGTCGGCAATAGAGCTGGAGCCGTCGGAACGCATTCCGAGCACTGAGCTGGCGGGGACGAATCACAACTCTCTTCGCTTACCACTTATCGATAACGAGACTTTCACCATCCTTTCCCACCTAGTCCGATGACTGTCGCACCCGGCTGTAAACAACAACACCAACGAAAACAGACATGGCGCCCAATTCCAAGCTAAACGCAAAGCGCAAGGCGCAAAGAGAAGGAACGCAACCTGCGAAGCCCAAAAAACCGGAAAAGCGTCTGGCGAATGGCGCTAAAGGACCTGGGATTTCTTACATTCCGATTGAACTCCAACAGCTTTTGTTGAACATTTTCCGCAACTCGTTCGCGGAGAGGATGAGCGCGGATATTACGCCGCTGTTGCAGGAAGTCAAGGGCCATCTTTACAAGCGCGACTTTGCGACTGCCTTTGGGAAGAAGGAGTATTTGGAGGCGTATGCGGCGAGGTGGAGTCCGAGTCGCGCGTTGGGATATTTGGATCTCATGTGGGAGTTGAGGGACGAGATATGGATTGATGAGGAAGATGAGGAAGAGGATCAAGAAGTCAAGACAGGGCAAACCAGGCCGAAGAACAGGAAGATTGTGTGTTTGGGTGGTGGAGCGGGCGCGGAGATTGTGACTTTGGGCGGCTTGCAAAAGCTCATGTCTACCACGTATTCACAAGACGGGGAAGATGTAGATGGCCCGAGAGGTCATGTGGAAATTACCGCCATCGACATCGCCGACTGGAGTGTGGTCGTGGAGAACCTCGCCAAACAACTCACAGTCCCAGCCGAACTGTCGAAATACGCATCCGCCGCTGCAAGAGCCGCAAACGTTCCACCTCTTAACCCAGAAGACGTCACCGTAAAGTTCAAGCAGCAAGACGTACTCTCAGCCTCAACTGAAGAACTAACCGAGCAACTCGCCGACGCAAACCTCGTCACACTCCTCTTCACCCTAAACGAACTCTACACAGCCTCACTGCCTCTAACCCAAAAGTTTCTTCTCCTCATGACAACGATCCTCCAACCCGGCGCTCTCCTCCTCGTCGTCGACAGCCCCGGAAGTTACTCATCCGTCACGCTGAACGGCGCCGAGAAGAAGTACCCCATGCAATGGCTCCTCGACCACACGCTGTTGAAGCAGGCCAGCGGGAATTTGAATGAGCGCGGCAAGGAAGAGATTGTTAGGTGGGAGAAGGTTAAAGAGGATGATAGTAGGTGGTATAGGTTGGATGAGAGATTGAGGTATCCGATTGAGCTGGAGAATATGCGTATGCAGGTTCATCTTTATCGGAAATTGTAGAACGTCGCAATACCATCGACAAAGATACAAAACTACCCTTCAACCCTTTCTCTTCAGTGGTCCTCACCCATTACTTATCCAGCTGCCACCACGAAGCCGACTCATCCATTAAGTCTGACTCCGGTCACCATCGCCACTCGCCTACGCACTGTTCCTGCGACTTGATTGAGGTACTGTATACCATCGAGCCTGGACAGCGTGGTTGTCAAGACGTATTCCACAGTCGCTTGGGAGCTGGTCGCCTTATCCGCGATAGTAGCCAAACCTGCCGCACCACTATCGCGGTGGTGTGTGTCGACAAGCGGAGTTTGAAAGGTCCGTTCCATTCATCGCATGGCGTCCACGCATGCGACATGATGGCCAGTCATCATGAAAAGCAATATCACAAGCCCCCCCTCCCTCTCACCCACCCCTAACCTCCGTACAACTCCACCCCCTCTCCCTCTCCCTCCCCTGCCCATAAACATCCTCCGGCCTCCGAACTCCACTTCCCGAGTCCACCCTCTCCATCTCCATCCTCATACTCGATCTCGACAGCTCCTTCGTCACAAGTATACTCTTCAAACTATGGTTCTCCTGCACACTGCGCAGACTTATATCGCTGCTTGCCTGACTCTGGCTGAGCTTGGGCGTCTCGCGTAACCGTGTCTTTTCGTAGCGGCGGAGCAGGATGGCGATGATGGGGACAAGTAGGAGGAGGCATACGATGGCTATTACGATGCCGATTATGGCGCCGGGGCTGAAGCCGTCGCGGCGGGAGCTGCCGTTTGGGATGGGGATTATGGCTGGTGGGGCTTCGGGGGTGAGGGTTGTGGTGGGGATGGGGTATGGTGGCATTGTGGGTGTTGGGGTGTTGTCGTTGTAGTTGCTGTTGTTGTTGTAGCGGGTCGATGTGTTCTTGGAGTAAAAGCGATCGAAGATGTAAAGACGTCGTGCTCCTCAAGGAGAAAAGAGTGATGAGACGGAGGCCCAATGGAAAGATTAAGTGTAACGACAGTATTATAGTGAGCGAAATTCCAAAGTATGACGGATGAAAAGCGACAAGAACGAGGTTCAATAATAACAGAAAGGATATGCCAGGCTGTCACTCCCAATAGTAAGAACACGAGGGGTTTTCATGCCACGAATAATACCCCATCACGCCTTACCGTCACCTTCCAGAACAACCCCCAGCCCACCCCTACCAAGCCTATCCCGACCAAATTGCAGCACCCGCTGACCATAAAGACGTGAGGACAGCCTAGCGCACTCCACGACCCTCGTTGTAGCGATCAGAATTGGCTGCAAGGCAAAGTTAGTGGCGTTTACAATCAGCCAATCACGTCCCATCGTCGCACGTAGGAGGCGAACACCTGAGCCAGAGCCGCACGCCGCCTCGCCTCAGACAGCGTAGGTTTGCGCTGAAGGATCAAGGTCTACAGCGAATAGTAGGCGGGAGGGGTAGAGGGGTAGTGATGGCCTTTTGTGAGGCGCATGTGGAGGGACGTGGGGACGCGGTCTCGTTGGACCGGAGGTGCGCGAGGTGAGGCTTGCGCAGGTACGGGTTTGGGGGGAATGGGGATGGGATGTGGTGAGGGGTTTGCCGCTTGTGAGTCGCGTTTAATGAGTTTGCCGTATGGATAAGTGTTGCAGTATCACGAGGTCGTTGTGGAATGCCCAGGTGTTGTTGCCAGTTGCCAGCCGTGCCTGCCCCTTGATCGTAGGCGAGGCGGCAGGCTGCCCCTCATTCGCACCCTTCGTCGCGCTGTGCCCTCGCTCTACTAAGCATCCATCACGACAAGCATTGCGCAATTTCTCTTCCGAGTATAACGGACTTGTTCCGAATGGAAATCTTTCTCCTGGTGGTAGTATCTTCCTTACTTGTCCTTATGTTCGTGTCTGGCGACGCGATACCCTCCGTCGCAACATGCCTTCAGCCAACGCCGATGTTGTGCTAGTAATGATTCGACACCGTCATGAAGACACGGATGAAGGCCATATTCAAGGTAGCGTTCTTCGGAGGCTGTGATACGTACCAGTCGTCTTATCTTCGAAGCCGACTCCTCCGGCATTGCGGAAGAGACTCGTCCGGCTCTCTCGCCAGGGACCAGGTCATTGCAAGCGGGGGTTGAAAAAACTGATCCCCTGGAGATGATCGCGGTCGTCAGTTAAATTCGAACATCAAAGACGAAAACATGACGACGATTTCTGATGCAAGGAGTCGTCGGCGCAGTCTGGGAGTGCGAGTGCGAGACCGACAACGAACTGCACCGCGTATGCACGGTCCTCTGAGCCGTACTCTTTCCGGTATACGACTTGTGCCCCAGATGTGACGTCGCCCTGCGCTGTGCTATTCAATCCGCGAGAATATCATTGGCCAGATATCTCGCTGAAACAAAGCATCTGGGGCTTTTAGATCTCGCGCTTCCGCGGATCGACACCGGAAGCATGGCTGTGCGCCCTTCCCGGCGTGCATCACCTAGGATGCGGGCACTATGTTGCTATCTATCTGGTCTTAGTTGCGAAGCTGGTACCACAAACTAGCGATAGTTGTTACGCGTATACCATACGGACGAAGGTGTTTACTAATGTTGTTGTTAGAGCTGTCAAACCTGGGGTCTTCAAAGAGACATATAAGACATGGCACCATTCTTGTCAATCGTGTTGCAACAACAGCCTACACAGCAACTCGATTCGCTTCTTAAATACCATATGTCTATCACCGCTATCTTTAATTCCATCATGAAGTTTACTACCGTCTTCATCGCTTCCACCGCGACACTCGCCTCGGCGAGACCTCAGTACGATGCCGCACCTGCGGATCCTCATGCTTGGATGGCGGCGTCGCCAAACGACTGTATGTATACAGGCTATTCTGTGGAACGAAGATTTAATGCTGATATCCGTAGTCCGCGGCCCATGCCCGATGCTTAACACCCTAGCGAATCATGGCTTTCTTCCCCGCGATGGCCGTAACTTCACCCAAGAGAACGTAGTCAAGGGCTTGAAGGACGGCTTGAACTTCAACGCGTCTCTCGGCGCTCTTATGTGGCAGCAAGCAGTTATTGCCAATCCCGAGCCAAACGCGACTTTCTTCACTCTCGAACAGCTCAACGTCCACAATGTTCTCGAGCACGACGCCAGTCTCACGCGTACCGATGCGGCGTTTGGCAACAACCACGTCTTCAACGAGACAGTCTACAATGTGTCGAAGCAGTGGTGGACGGAAGAGGTGGTAACAGCCAAGATGCTGGCCAACTCCAAGATCTTCCGTCAGTTGGAGAGCCGAGCAACGAACCCGAACTACACCTTCACCGCTTCCACCGAAGAGTTCAGTCTGGGTGAAGTCGCAGCGCCTATCATCGCTTTTGGTTCTCTTGATGAGGGTACTGTCAACCGCACGTTGATGGAGTACTTCTTTGGTGAGTCAACCCAGGACTTGCAAGATTGTCGAGCGCAATGTTGGACTGGAAGTTAACCTCAAAGCAGAGAATGAACGTCTTCCCAATGATTTGGGCTGGACAAAGAAGTCGGACGAGATTACTCTCATGAACATTCT